TAATTTCAGGCTTTTTCACTGTCCACCTCACACAGATGCAGGAACTGAATATCATAGAGATGAAGACAACATAGCTGAATCCCTGCCAGCTACAAGCCTGCCATATTTACCAGTTTACAAACAGGATAGAGAGAGCACAAGTGAGGAAATTTGGACAAGTAACAAAAGTTGGGAGACAAGGGAGAGTCAAAGGTGTAATGCCTACCTGTTCCGGCACTCTTTCTCCTAGATCCGAGGGCAGACAGGCGCTGCGGGCTGCTTGTGCACATCAGCTTGTAGTCAGTCGCGCCAATGTTAGAATGGCACTACTCTAGCCACCAATTCGGTCGACGCGCCAGCAAAGCATTTAGGCGTCTACCAATAGTTTAAGTGCGGTGGCTATTTAAAGATAGAGCTTGATGCAGCAAGGTGCCCTGTTGTGGTTCTTGTATACCTAAGAGTGTGTTTATACTGTATTTGTTTCTCTGTTACTGACCTTGGCTTGTTTAACTGATTCCCTGCTCTTTGTGTTCCTGAACATTTGGCGTGTTTATCAATTTTATAACATGACTATCTTTACTAGAACTCCACAGCAGCACATTAACACAGAGAAAATCAACCAATCAGAAAAAAGTTAGATACACTAAAGCTCCCCTCCCCACACATAACTCCCTCTTTCTTTGCTGCTCTACATCAGTACAGGTTAGAGTACCACTGCGTCCTGCTCTTAGTGGGTTGCTGTGGAATTTTATATTACTGATTTCTTGTACCTTTATTGATTAGTACTTATTGGTATAGTTTGCCTATAGTTTAAATCTTGTGCTTTTTCTGGTCACTATTTCTATCCTTGTTTCCCCCTTTCTCACCTTCCTATCCTAACTTTTACCTTGCACTTTTCAGTGGGTAGATTCCCCCCTGTGTCTCCCTTATCTGGCTGTCCCCTTGTGTTTCTGGGGCTTGGGGACCTTGTGAGGCTTCTTCCTGCCTCCCTCCGGTTTCCCCGAGCACGGGGACCGCAGAGACCGTCTCTTGTGGCCATTTGCACGAGATCCCAGCGGACATCTTTACTTTCCCCAGCTCCGCAATTGCGATGCTGCTGGGCTGTGATGGCCTCTACTTGCAGCGGCTGGGGAAAGTGCTTTTCTCGGCAGCTAACCCCATCCCGATCTTGGCCCCCACTACAGAGCAGACCTAAGAGGGTTCGGGGGGGGGGGGGGAAAGGTGTAGTTTTCTCCTTCCTAACCTTGGTGTTGCAGGGGACTCACTGTAGAGCAGTGCTGTGCTGGTTATTAGGCAGCTGTATGTGGATTCGCTGCCTCAGTTATTCTTGGGTTTAACCCTCTCATCACTACCCCCGAAGGGTACACTGTACTAAATAAATATTTTACACTATATACACGGTGACTTTTTACTCCTGTCATTTATATGCATATTCTATTTCTTTTTGTTTGTCTTCATGTATATTTATGTATATTTATGTAAGACCTACAGTGGTTATGGTACTGCGGTCTTCTATTCCTTTCCCAATAGCTGAGCATAAGTGATTATAACTCAGTTGGGAAAAAAAGGAATAGTGTAGATGAATGCAGCTTCCAAGATGATTCTCCCCAGCAAGTAGACTATTCCTCAAGCATGAGCCTAGACTTCATGAAGGGTGTAACAGGACTGATTTTTATTGAGTCCACACTGGCTTTTATGAGAATCCTCCTGCAAGATGACCTCCCACAGTAAACAAAGACAATAACCAATCAACATACAGATTTACAGTAAAACCCGCCCTCTCTCTGCCTGAGAGATATTGAGATAAGTTAAGGAATAACTCAATTATCTCCAGGCAGAGGGCACACAATTTTCCCAAAAATTAGAACACCCCTTTCCACACAAGGTATCCCCACAAATTACATATCCCCCTGATAGCTCCGATGTGGGGGACCAACATATCCAAATTTCACGCAGATCGGTTCAGGGGCTCTCAAAAAGTATGGAAGTCATAAGTTACCGACCACACACGAGGCTCCTGCCCAAAACATTTCCACAAATTCAGCATGTGCGGTCGGACAATTCAGTAAATGGCATAAAAATTAATAAAGTCCCGAATGGATCCTCCTGGCTCATAGGAGCGTTTGCTTCCTTGTTCGTATGAACCAAACTACCGAATGGTGCTCTCCTGGCTGTTCGGCAACTAAAGGAAGCAGGCGTTCGGTAGTTTCAGCGGTGGTTCGGGAGGTCGAGTGTCCGATTTTAATTCCAGACACTCGACAATCAAGTCCCACTGCCTCCTTTCTTGCAAACAAGATGGCCGCCGTTTTCTGTTCCACGTGGCATTCGTCTATACGAACAGCGGCCGCACAGAGAGACGGTTCTTTTAATGAACCAGGAGGGTGGTCGGTGTTCGGTAGTTTTAAACTGCCGAACCAATAAATCCAAAATGAATGAAATGGTGCAGAAAAGCACGAACACAGAAGAAAATACAGAACTCAGTTTATTTTCTTCACAATTTAGTTATCATTTTTTGTCTGCCTTAAATTGTTATTTATTTACTTATTTCCTGTCATTATACTTTTCCTCTTATGTCTGCATACTTTCCTTTATTTCAGCCGTATTTAACTTTTCTGTATTATTTTGTTTCTTTTGTGCTTTGTTTTGGAACCTTTTTTTCCCCTGCTCGGGACTTCGAGAGGCCTCTCCTCTAGCCTCCTCCAATTTCCCTGGAGCTCTAGGGCCGCGGAGAACGTCTTCATCATTTTCCTCAGGTACCCGGACGCCATGTTGGATCGCGCGCACTGGCGCATGGTCCCGGCAGCCATTGTTTTTTCTGCTTCTTAGACTACGGGTTAATACGACTCGTAATACTGCTTCCTTATTAGAGGGTGACCCTCTCATAAACACAACCCTATGCTGTTTTCATACTGACGCCGGTCAGTATTTTTAACGGCTTAGATCAGTACATGATACTGACTTCACTATTAGAGGGTGAGCCCTCATCAAAGCTCAGCCCAATGCCGATTGTTAGACTGCTTCATATCAGTTTCTCTGTTTATCCTACAGATTACATTAATACATGATTCTGATTTTTCATTAGTACAGGGTGAGCCCCTCTCATTTGCTCAGCCCTACACTGATATGGATGCTAATTGCATTATTAGAGAGTGAGCAGTATTGATATGTATTCTGCTTCCTGTGAGTTCTCTGTTTTGACTACAATCTATTACAGTATATATTACCGATTTCTTTATTGGAGGGGGGAGCCTCCTCCCATTCACAGACCAATATGGATAGTTTTCTGCTTCCTGACAGGTTATTTGTTTTGTTACGGTTTGTCGCAGTACATAATACTGGAGGGTGAGCCCTTCTCATGAAGACTTCCTCATATCAACCGGGAAGTTGGGGGCGAGCCCCTACATTACATATTACAGCTCATCTCATTATATTTTATTATTTTTATTATTATATATGGGCTTCTGGGGCGAGCCCCCTGATTTCTAAGAGTGCCCTAGCTTATGCTATCTACTACTATTACTGGAATGTATTCTGGACGAATATTACTTGTTGAGCCCCAGTTATTAGATATGTATATAATTTACCCTAGCAGATGCTGTCTGCTACTATACGGGCCTATATTCTATACTATTTTACTGGGGGTGAGCACCCTGTCATATTCTTACACATCCTGGTACCTTACCTTGCCTGAAATTGGCTATTTGATCTTGCTGCCACTGTTACAGCCCTATGAGTGGCCTGTTTTTTTCTGTGCCACTGTACCTCCCTACTGAATATACTCCTCCTGAAGGTTTTATTATTACTTGGTGAGCCCCAGTTATAAAGGATACATATATATATATATATATATATATATATATATATATATATATATATATATATAAATATGTTTTATAATATGCATGGCATTGAGCAGACTATCACACAAGGCTTTTATTTACGCCAAAATGGACAAGCCCTCAGGCATTTTCTTCTGTTGGAGATAGCAGAAGATTCAGATGCTTCCAAATACAGAAATAAACAATCCCTCAAGCGCTATTGGAACAGGGAAGACCCACTACTCGATGTCAGAAAGTGCATGGCACACACCAGGCGCGTGAAAAAGACCAGAGTCTCTGGTTAGCCCTACAGTTCCAACCCAGTATCTATTTGGGATAAATGGCAGGAGGAACGCTCAACCTCTAAGGATGAGTATAGCTGACAAGGTTCGGAGGTGGAGGACTCTCCCTTTGTACAAGAATCATTCACAAAAGCTTCCCTTGATTTTTCTCCTGTGCAACCAAACACGTCAGGTCCAAAAGGTGACATCTGCTTGGATTTGATGGGGGAAACCTCTCTTTGATCCACATTCCATAAGTCACCTGAAACCTGGCTCCCGGTCATTTATAGAAACATAGAATGTGACGGCAGATAAGAACCATTCAGCCCATCTAGTCTGCCCAATTTTCTAAATACTTTTATTAGTCCCTAGTCTTATCTTATAGTTAGGATAGCCTTATGCCTATCCCACGCATGCTTAAACTCCTTTACTGTGTTAACCTCTACCACTTCAGCTGGAAGGCTATTCCATGCATCCACTACCCTCTCAGTAGTTTTTTTGGCCCAGTATGTACATTACTAGACTTGTAGATCCCTAGACCGGGAAGTACATACAAGATTTGGGAGAATGCCCAGACCATCTCTTCCTGATAAGGTTGCAATGACCCCAGAGTGCGACATTGGGACCTATACATACTTCCCAAGATCGAGACCTGACCCTTGCAGAGGTATTGATCTCAGCCTGAGACTGGCTCAAATCAAGTTCTTCGACGTTCTTAAAACCCTGGTTAAACTTACCTCTTTCTCCAGCGCTGGGCGGGGGACTCTCCTCTCCGTCTCCTCTCCTCCTCCTCAGCTGAATGCGCATGCGCGGCAAGAGCCGCATGGCATTTAGGCAGTCTCATAGGAAAGCATTCACAATGCTTTCCTATGGACGCTGGCGTCTTCTCACTGTGATTTTCACAGTGAGAAGCGCGGAAGCACCTCTAGCGGCTGTCAATTAGACAGCCACTAGAGGCTGGATTAACCCTATTATAAACATAGCAGTTTCTCTCTGAAACTGCTATGTTTATAGAAAAAAGGGTTAAACCTAGCTGGACCAGGCACCCAGACCACTTCATTAAGCTGAAGTGGTCTGGGTGCCTATAGTGGTCCTTTAAAGAATTCACGAACACATGGACTTACACACCACACTCAATAGAGCCCACTCTTCAGTGTGACGAATGTTTCATCAGACCCCATCTTGGTTTTTCCGGCAGGACTGAATGACAGCGGGGTCATTACTACAGCCATTTTGAACAATTCCATTCCATCACTATACAGAAACCATTCTCACCGTACCAGGTCTGGACGGCGGACCGCCAAGAGCTTGTAGACGTCAAACTCCAGACCCTGGTCGACTAAAGAGCATATCAGCTTCCCATCTGACTCCAGGGGTTTCTAGTGATCCAGCCTTCTTATTCGTAAGAAGTCGGGCGAGTTTACACACTGTCTTTAACCTCCGGAATCGGTAGTTTTCTGTTCCATGTACCAACATTTGCTGTGAATCCTGTGGAACGACCGGCCTGGCCAGGTCAACATATCTACTCTCCAAAATAAGTGCAGGCTCTTGGTGATTCACCAACTGCTAAGACCAGTGACAGCTCATCTTCGTTTACAAAGGTTTCCATTACCTCATAGCTGGACTCCTTATTACTCTCCCACGAGGATGCCCTGGACTGATCTCAACCTCACTTTACGATCCCCTTGTTCATATACCTGGGCTTGCAGTCTTCCAAGGAATGTCGACCCGCACCCTGTCCCAGGTGGAGAAGTCCTGGGGTTCAGGATAGACGCGCCCTTAGGAGTGCTTCGTCAGCCACAGTCATGAATACTTCACAATTCGCATGGTGAATTGGAGAATTCTATGGGTGACTGCATGTTTTTTCAGAGTACATTTCATTATCTAACCAGTCCTTTAAGCTATGTTTTTCTCGTTTCAGTTTATAATCTGTCCATGGCACCACATTTGAAATTTCCTTTTGGCTGGATGACATCGTTGACTTCACTGCCTACAAGGACTTATGTTACACTGCATGGTTTTATTCTGTTTCTTATTCTGTTTTGTCGCAGCTTGAAAGAGGAAGTTATGTGTGGGGAGGGGAGCTTTATTGTAACTTTTTTGTGCTGCTGTGGAGTTCTAATAAAGAGAGACTTAAGCAAATATTCGCCTCCTGTCATTAATAAAATTAAGATTATAGGTACACTAAAGCTAGCATAATCTACAATTGTCCTGTTTTCTCCTACTCTTGACCTCGACTTTCTTTTTGACTTTTCTGTACGGTAAATCCGGCCATTCTAAGGCCCGGTAATATGGGGTATACCTCTCTCAGTAGATTAGGGTTTGTGAATTTTGGGTTCCCTTATATAACCATGATAAAAGGGAAGAGACACACTGTGAGACAGGGATAAATGGGAGAGAGACACCAATGGGAGAATTTCTGGGAATTTAAAGTAAATTTGAAGCAAATTCCAAAGTTTAGGATGAAATAGTAAAAATGGGGAAAAAAAGTCAGTTATACTTGCAGTTTTACTAATTTGGCCTTACATTAGAAATTGACTTTGAATTAATTTTGAAATCCCAACAATTTTCAGTATGACAGTGCCACAAAGCAAATCACTGAGCTCTTCTAAATAGACAGTTCAATCACCAATATTTACAGACAGATATTGCCTTGAGATTCATGGAAATTTACAATATTTACCTCAGAATAAATAATTAACTGAGCGAGTGATTTTTATCTTTTTTGTATAACTTGTTTGTGTTATTTCCTGAGCTTCTCAATACATACTCTAGGCAAGCACAGCTTCATTTAAAATAGATCAGGGAATCTACCTGGTCTGCAGTGCCCTAAATAATTATTTTAGCGTGTATATTTCATTTTTATCATATAACCATGAGATTTATATATGTATTGTTCATATTTTTTTCTTCCTTGATATCGGGTCTGATGGCTTATAATTGCTCTTGTGCAAATATAACATGCCCCCCACGACCTGTAAATTGTATTGGCAGTTATACACTTGATCCTTGTGGATGCTGTACACAATGTTCTAAGAAAGAATGGGAACCTTGCGGTGGAGAATCCTGGGTACTTGGCTACTGTGCAGCAAATCTGAAATGTGCAAATATCACTGGACAGACACTTGTTGAACTTCCACATGTTGGAGTCTGTAAATGTAAGTATCGTTATACACACACACTTACATGCAGATGTATATTTTCATATACATAATACATACATATACATATTACCTCCACTTGAAAAAGTATTTTAAGGTGAAACACGTTGTGGTTTTTATTTGCATATTATTTTAGATTGTATGAATAAAGGTATTTTGGTTACTTTCTGTGCCATTTTACTCTTTTTTAGTCTACATTTTATTCTTGCTACTTTATTATTACTTTTATTCTATACTGCCTGGCATCTGATTTTTTTTATCTTCAGTGAGCATCACTCTCAAGATATATCCTTGGTGGGGATTATTCCACCCACACCCTATCCATAGTGCAGTTTGCCTGCTCTGGTATAAGTGTGTACAATATCTGTTGTCTATATTCCTGGAGTTTTATACTGTGAGCACTATTTGTTTTTTCTTTTTATGTTTTATGGTCCACACACGACTGAGACGCTATATTCACATATCATTAAGTGGGGATTGTACCACTAAACGCTATCCATAGTTCAAGCTCCATAAAACGTGAGTAGCACTATATCTTATCCTTTTTAAAATACTCCCTGCAAGTACATACTGCACCATTATCTCCTTTCTTTTTTCATATACGGATTCACTGCTGACCCTCTCTGGCATCCACATAGAGGAACCCTGCAAATAACCTCCAGATATCCCCTCTAGCAAGTGTATATTTGCATCCACATTGGAATACTTTTTTGGACTTATTTGACCTCTTGACTTTATTATTTGGACATTTTGTGCATATATATCTTTACTATTTTAATTGTTTTTACTGTACCCTAGTGGACACTGTAACGGACTGTTTTGCACATAAGAAGTTAAAAAACGTTTAGGCAATATTCCCCTTTCCAGATGCACCGACAGCTACTGTAAGCACCAATCTCCCGAACTGCAAACACGAATACTGGAAACAGCCGAACAGGAAAAGCATACAATCAGCTTACACTCCTGGCGATCAGCATACAATCCAATCCCCCCCAAGAACGAGACGACACTTCGTTTTGAGGGTCGATTGTTCGATACTTTGTTTGGTAGATTGAATCTACCGACCACCCCGGCAGAAAGGCACGAATACGCTTTTCTGCAGGAAAATGAAAGGTTTTAACTGCCCGGCCATAGTCTAAAGGGAGCAGGCGAGCAACCAGGCTGTGGCCATTCTGTGGCCTTCTACTGTTTTTACCTTATATACATATTGAACATATTATGCTACAGGCACAAGATCATCCAATGGCTTTTTGATAACTATGCAAAGTTTAACTAGTAACAATAGTGAAATTTACCTTACATGAAATTATAGCTAGTGTCGAAGATGTCTATGATCTGCTTGATATATACTAACTATTGGAGCAAGGGTTTACTCTGCTTACTGACTATCGATTTTCCCGTACATTTATGGAGTAAACCATAATGTCCATGATTAAACCATGAATGATTATCCCTTCGTCCCATCGCTTTAATGATGCTGTATAAGATGGCAAGACACTTGTTGTTATATAATTTGTCTGTGTTTTTTAAACATTGGGTTAAGTGTATGTCTGTGTGTGCATGAATGTGTATGTGTGTGTTTTGGATTGAATATATGTATCTCAAATTATATATATGTGGAGAAAGACATGCCTAGAGTAGGTACCTGTGTGCTTGTGTCAGTTAATATGTGTATCTTTGTGTAACTGTCTATTTAAGATTGTGTGATGGTTTTGTATTGGGCCCCAAGACGTCTAATTCTATTCCAAATTGCCTAGTTTTTACAACAATATCTCTAGGCTCCAAAAGTCAAAGTATAATTTATTTTGCTTGCTTACATTAACAGCTATGAGAAAGCACTCCACAGGTACACACTATTTTGAAGATGATGACGAATTATGTCCCGAATATGAAGCATGTTTTAAGGTCATGGGAACCTGTGACTGTGTTAAAAAAAGGACTTGCTTTATGAATTTTATGACTGAGGCTCGATGTCGCATGCAGGTGGAGTCCGATCAGGGTAAAGTAACATAAACATGCTTTGTATACTAATTAAAGTGTATTTAGTTTTGTACACGGTTTTTTCTTTCAATCAAGTAATAACTATAATAGAAATTGATTTTGTTCTCCTCTTAAAGTATTAGTACCCTTCCTGTCTAAGATATTTTTTAGATTATCTTTTCAATTAATAGAAGAATGCTCATAAATGACAGTATTTATGCTTGAAGCCATGAAAACTCTGTGCACATCAACCACTGCATTGTTTAAAGCATATACAATTTATTATGCAATATATATTTGTCTCTGTACTAGCAAACATTGATTCATTAGATAATTGCAGCATATACATGTAAAACTTCCTACCAGTCAAAAAAACTGTTCTGTAATCTGTTTATTTTTATTATTATTATTGTCCTAGCAACCTACTTTTCTACCCTACTCCAACCTTTTGTGTCCCATTACCCCACTCCCTCTAGCATGTAAGCTCATTGAGCAGGGACCTCAATCCCTCTGTTTCTGTGTGTTCAACTCAATACTTGTCTGCTAGACCACCTTTTGTACAGTGCTACGGAACTTGCTGGCACTTTATAAATAATAATTATTATTATTACTGAATGTAGAATACATTATTAGCATTCACATATTGACAATATAATTGCATACAGGGCCAAATTACATGTCAGGTGCCTAAAGGCACAACATTTGTAGGCACGCCTTGCTCCCCAACCCCAAAGTAAGGCAGATAAAGCAAGTATAATTAATTTATTAACTGGGTTTAAAGCAGGGACATATATACATCATCTTCCATGTTTATGTCTCTCATGGAACCTTTGCTTGATTTGGATTTTCATGAAAAATGTAATTACTTTCTCTATATAGAACTGGTTATTTCTAGAATGTTAATTTTATAAATTGGTATATTTATTTTTATTCTTTATTTTTGTAGTGCGTACAAAACAGACATTAATAGTGAGTCATTTCTGAAGAACATACATGTCAAGATAATAGATAGCCATATCAGTAAATGTCAAGGGAACCACACTTTTTGTGAAAATAGGTAGCAGGAGCAGATATCAATATAGGTTAAGCAAGGAAAGAGTGAAGCAAGCTGAATTAGTGAACTGCAGCTGATTATAAGATATGGTAACCATTGGGACAGATTTATCTATGTAAGATAAGTATAACAGCAAGAACCTTCCAGCATAGAGTCACAGCCAAGCAGCATGCCTGGTCATGAGCCTATCAGCCTATTCCCGGTGGTGGAAAGTCCAGGCACCTGTTCTCCTCAGCAACCACGCTGGTGCTTCTCCACCCAGGCCAGTCACCCATTGAGCCAAATAGGATGACCACAGCAGGATCTTACGTCAGTTGACAGCAGGACTTGTATAGCTGGGAACATGTGTGGTGGGCACCTGGAACAGGTAGGATGTGTCGGGGGTGCGTATACCTGTTGGTTCTGTTCTGGGCTGCATTGTGTGCGAGGGTCAGAGCTATGTCGACCAGTCATCCGCTGCACATGCTTCCTGCGCTGTCTCTGCCTTGGCCTCTTTACGGGGTGATACCTATTCCAGCATAATCAGCCATTAGGATGAACTAGTTGGGGCCGCAGCTCGGCATACAGGAGAGGAGGGATGTCCCCGGATGCTCAGCATTGCCCAAAAGGTCGAACAAATGTGGTCGAAGTGCCAGAGAAGTCGACAGGTGCGGGTGTCTGTGGGAGAGTGTTTCATGTTTTAGGTCACAGCAGTGTTGCTTTTCATTCTTGGCCCTTGAGGCCCGCTTAAGTAAGATGTAGATCCGTCGTGGCAGCCATCTTGGTCGCACCATGCAGTTCTCAAGTCCGCATTGAGGGAGTTCTGCCTCTGAATTTGTAGTGGGTTAAGTGGCAGCAAGTGGTGGCTCAGAGACATGCGCTCAGCATCTAAAATCGTCCGCTTCTCCACTACGCTGGTGCAGCAGACTCAGTAGGCCTCCAGGTCAGGCAAATTAGCTGCTCAATAAGATGTCCCAGGCCAGTACCAAAATGGCACACTTGGTGATAAGCTTAGCCTTTCAGCAGTTTAGGGCCCTCTTGTAGCCAGATTATTAGCATGAAATGCTGGAATTTAGCTTCGTGAGGCAGGAGCTACAGAGGGACACATCCGGCCATCTTGGGTATCAGGCCCCGCCCTCAAATTGGTATTTTTGATGTAATGTTTAGACTGTATTTTTGTCTGGGTGAACACCCTAATGCAATGGAAAGTGAATACCTATGACATACACATAATCATTCTCCTGTGATGTCTTTGAGGGAGTTGCTAGAATTATAGCTGCAGCAATTTTTGGCACAGATATTTTAGACATTGTATGCCTGAGCACAGTGATACAAGCTCAGTTAAGCAGGGTCCTTAGCAACTTTGCTTCCTGTAAATCCAACTCGTCTTGTTGTAACTACTTGTTTGTTAGTCAATCTATTGTACAGTGATGCAGAATTTGATGGTGCTTTTTTAAATAATAAAAATAATAATAATAATATTCTTGGACCATAAGCAATGTTTATTAAAGTTCTTTAAATAAAGTTCTTTAATGCATGAAAAAATACTCCTAGTTTTTATCCATTTCTATTTTCTCAATAGATCATGAGGAGGTACTATACAGAAGATACAATATACAGTGCTATACAAGTGGATGTAACATCACTAATGATAAATGTGTATGTGGACCGGTACCTTGTGGACAAAACTATGAATTTAATGATCAAATGCAATGCAACACTGCATTGGGTAAGTTTATTTCAAATGTATTGAAATTATGTAGATGGGATTAATAATGTAGTTCCTAACCCCAGTAATGGAAAGTCCCAGAGTATACCCAGCCCCTTTGTTCTATTATCCTTAAGGTCTGCTATGAACATTCCCTGTAACAGAAAAAACACGCTCACTTTGATGGTTTGCTGAACGTGACAATACCACACTCTTCTTCTCATCTCAGTAGCTCAGAGGCTCCTCAGCAGGATGTAAATTAGGTTCAGACAAGTAAGCTCTGACCATTTCAGAAGTAACCTCTCAGGTAAACTCCCAACTTGACATGATACTAAATGTCACCACCATGTTTAAACACTTTGGGCTGTCACCAGTGTCCGGTCAAGTAGAAGGCATGGTAGCCACTAAGAAGCACTCAACAAATATGTGGTGAAAAGCACCTGCTGAACTACAGCCTTAGCCTCTAGTAGCCTACAGGAAGGGTAAAGTGATGAGAATATCTTCCTGCTGAAAGTGAATCACAGGGAATGTTCATATTGCGTAGCTGCTGTATCAGCTGCTTAAAGGGCTCTCCTTATATCCTTATATTGATCAGGGTTATTGACATGGATTGATAACTAAATATATGCCAATATTCTATCTCCTACTCAAAGATGTCCAAGTGCTCCTATCAGTAGCTGCTAACTAGATAAAGTATAAAGCTAAACCTAGTGTCACACTTTAATCAATGACCCAGGCTATCTCACACTTCTACACATGCATAGCAAGAGAAAACAAAAAGGATCACTGATGGTCCATCACCCTCAATAACTGAAGTAAAAGTGTCTAGAAGAATCTTGTTTGGTTGTTACACAGCATTTCCTTTTTTAACTCTCTATTGGCTAAACAAAATTTATTCTGCACTGCCACATACCTATTCCTGAAGCAAAACAGCCAATGGCCAAGCCCTTTCAGTTGTTTCTGACTTCATGGTAAACTATTTGCCCACTGGCAACATTAGCAACCAGTGGACAAATAGTTAAAAACTGCCTTTGGTGGTCATCATGGCCTCCACATTAGTAGAAGAGTTTTTTGTTTTGTTTTTATTGGGGAGAAGGACTTCTTTTGAGGGTTGACAATGGCATGTCCACCCCACAGTATTTTCAATTAGAGCCCCCACCTGCTGCCCATGGTTGTGGGTTGGGGGGACATTAAAATTCTCCCCTTCTATGAATGTTAGAACAGTCACTCACAGCCGTTTAATGGGGCTGCACAAAATAGTAACATGTAAAAAAGTAATCCTTCTTCACCTATGGAGGGCCTTGTGCAGAATATGCTTTTATAGTGTGGGAGCCTCCAGCTGGTTGGCCCTCTGATTAGGTCCTCTATTTATTAATATTATAGCCACCACCTGCCTGCCATGGATGAGTGCCAGGGGCAACTCCTTCTGATGCACAGGCACTAATTTGCTGTTGAGGGCATGAGGGAGTTATAAAACCTACCCTGTACTAAAGGTAATCATATCTTTTTTGGAAGAAAAATAGAATGGATAGATAGATAGATAGAATTAAATAGAATAGATAATATTAGAATATATACACTGATCAGCCACAACATTAAAACCACCGACCGGCAAAGTGAATAACATTGATTATATTGTTGGAATGGCACCTGTCAAAGGGTGGGATATGTTAGGCAGCAAGTGACTAGTTAGTTCTTGTATTTCATGTGTTGGAAGTAGGAAAAATTGAAAAAATGAAAAGATCTGAGCGAAATAGTGATGGCTAGACGACTGGGTCAGAGCATCACCAAAGCAGCAAGTCTTTGGGGGTTTTCCCAGTATGTAGTTGTTAGTATCTACCAAAAGTGGTGCAGTGAAGGACAACCGGTGATGGGCGCCCAAAATTCATTAATGCACGTGGGGAGTAAAGGTCCATTAGGTCTGATCACTCAGACCAGCTACTGTAGCTGTATTGGTATTGGTCCCAAATACCACAGGACACATTCAGAGGTCTTGTGGAGTCCATGCCCTGATGCATCAGAGCTGTTTTGGCAATACAAGGCAGTACAAGGTGGACCTATATGATATTAGGAAGGTGGTTTTAATGTTGTGGCTGATCAGTGTTGGCAGGGCACAAAATTTCTATGTCCATTGGTGACTGAAAATTGTGGAAAAATTCACCCCCTTTAAAGCATTGCTAGTAGTATGGGACTTGACATTTTAAGCCTTGATATAGATATATGTAATTAAATCATTATCTAATTATCATTATATCAATGACATTGACAGTATTGTTATGGGCAAATGCAAATATTACAAGTTTTAGAATGAAATGTTGTATTTCTTAAACTGTGTACTTTGTCTTTAAGAGATATTGCAAACTGACAAGGCGTTAGAAATGGAACATATTGTTTTTCATAACGGTTTCTTTAACCCCTTCGAGACCGAGGACGGTTCAGGACCGTCATCTGCATTTTTGCGTTGCCGACCGATGACTGTCCTGAACCGTCCTAACGGTCCTAGTTACTTAGCTGATCGCCGTCGTTCCCCCGGCGGCGATCAGCGTGGCTCCGGTTGTGGGGAGACTGCCTGCAGCCCAGACAGTCTCCCCACACTGAATTAGGACCCCTGTGGCCATGTGATCGCTTAACACAGCGATCACATGGTCACAATAGATGTCCTAGTGTCTGCCTGCAGGGGGACTGCCTGTGCTGACAGGCAGTCTCCCTGCTAGTGTAAAATCAAAAAATAAAATAAAGTTAATGTTAATAAAAAAATAATAATAATTATATATGTGTATATATGATATATAGACATATATTATATCTTTATAATATATGTCTATATATCATATATATAATGTCATACTAAGTGTATTTTTATATTAATATGTACTTATATTAATATAAAAATACACTTATAATTAAATTACACACGTATATATATAATATATATAATAACTATATATATTGTATATATATATTATTATAAAATATAAATAATAAGTAATTTAAATTAAATAATTTTTTTTTTAAATAATAATTTTTTTAAAAAGAATTATATATCCATATGAAATTTTATTCTAACTGTATTTTAAAATTAATATATATATATTTATATCAAAATACACTTAGAATGAATTTGTATATATATCTATGTATATATAAATAAATAAAAATAATACGAAATATACATATGTCCATATACAAAATTACATAAATAATTATATAAATATACACGTAGACTTCAAATATATAAATATGCATATATATTTAAATTCTACGTGCGTATTTATGTAATATTTTTACATAATTCAGTAATTTTATTGATTGCAATTTGAGGGACCTGCCTGCCAACCCAGGCCGAAATTCCAGAGAATTTAATTTGCTAGCACTGTATTTTACCCTGTAACGTTCTACGACACCCTAAAACCTGTACATGGGGGGTACTGTTTTACTCGGGAGACTTCGCTGAACACAAATATTAGTGATTCAAAACAGTAAAACATATCACAGCGATGAAATTGTCAGTGAAAATTACTTTTTTTGCATTTTTCACACACAAACAGCACTTTTACTGATGATATAATTGTTGTGATACGTTTTCCAGTTTTTAAACACTAATATTTGTGTTCAGCAATGTCTCCCGAGTAAAACAGTACCCCCCATGTACAGGTTTTATAGCATTTTTGAAAGTTACAAAGTCAAATATATGGGTCAAATATTTTTACATTGAAAATGGCCAGGTTAGTTACATTGCCTTTGAGAGCGTATGGTAGCCCAGGAATGAGAATTACCCCCATGATGGCATACCATTTGCAAAAGAAGACAACCCAAGGTATTGCAAATGGGGTATGTCCAGTCTTTTTTAGTAACCACTTGGTCACAAACACTGGCCAAAATTAGCGTTCAATTTAGTTTTTTTACTTTTTTCACACACAAACAAATATGAATGCTTACTTTGGCCAGTGTTTTCGACTAAGTGGCTACTAAAAAAGACTGGACATACCCCATATTGAATACCCTGGGTTGTCTACTTTAAAAAAAATATGTACATCTGGGGTGTTATTTAGAGATTTATGACATATAATAGTGTTACAATGTCACTATTGATAAATTTTAAAAATGTATGTTTTGAAACCACAATATCCTACTTGTACCTATAGCCCTATAACATGCAAAAAAAAAGCAAAAAAGCATGTAAACACTGGGTATTTTTAAACTCAGGACACAATTTTGAATCTATTTAGCAGTTTTTTTCATTCGCTTTTGTAGATGAGTAAAAGATTTTTCAAGTAAAAGTAAAAAAACATGTATTTTTTTCAATTTTTCATCATATTTTTTTATTTTTTTTAAATTAAAATACATGAGTTTATATAAATAATGGTATGTAAAGAAAGCCCCTCTTGTCCTGAAAAAAACAATATATAATTTGTATGGGAACAGTAAATGAGAAAGCGAAAAATTACAGCCAAACACAAACACCACAAAAGTGTAAAAATATGCCTGGTCGCAAATGTACAACATCACAAAAAAGGTCCAGTCCTTAAGGGGTTAAGCAATAACCTCAGTGCATAATATGTTTGCGCCATTTTGTCCCAGACGAATTACAATAACAATAATGCATAAACAAGCTATAAGGCTATACTACGACTCTTTCAATACACAATATACTGTTGTAACCCCAAGTTAATGGAACTACCCCAAATCCGGGAATCTTCCACGACCGTGCACTTACGACTTAGTATAAACAACAGATAAGCTATTCAGACTTTAAGATGCCATCTTGAACTAAGTCAAGAAAATTTCCATGACGTATACACCCTTTAGTTATGACCTTGTATGTTTGCTAAGTTAAGGGAGGTCCTAAAATGAATAAAGTAAAAGAAGTGTTACTTTTTCAAATATGAACTACGGTAACCCTAAAATGGAGACACCTAAGGTATAAATAGGTGTACTTTTAAATGTTAAAACACAGAGGAGAGACTTGGAGACAGACGCTGCTCCATCTTAAAATGGCAGAGAGGCTGACATGATGACATGTTCAGAATTAACCTATTAATGATATTTGCAAGCATTTAGTTTAATCTTATAAACTCTGCTATAATGGATTTTATATTTATATTTTTATGTAATAAATATCCAAAAAGACAAAACTATTGCTTCCAAGACAATCCTTATTTTATATTGTATTCTCAATTACTTATATATGTTAAATAGAGGATCTCTTACTAACTATATAAAATTATGGTTAAGATATCTGTATGGTTAGCCCTACTAAGTTCTATGCTTTAAGACATTATAGTGGTAAATAAGGGAACCACCTGCGGTTACAGTATTTCTAAATAATAATTTGGGTGGGGGCTAGAATTACTTATTGGACCGGAGGAATTGGGTGTCACTGTCCATCTACAGTTCGGCAATTGAATTATGATCCATGATATCTAGAGTGAGTCTCTGACACATCTATACTAACCAGCACCAGCCAGCACTGGATCCCCTTTTTCCAAAGGTACATTGCCTATAATGGCCTAAATAATATATATACTGTCATTGTGTGCCAGTATCTGAATATCAATGTGCATGGGTCAGTGGACGTGTGTCAGTTTGTGTGTCTGTATAGGTCAGCATCTGTCTATCAGTGTATATGTGCGCATAGGTTAGTGTCAGTGTGTGGGTCTGTGCTGGTGTATCAGTGTGTGGGTTAGTGTCTGTGTGTCAATGTGTGCATGGTTGAGTCTGGTCAGTGTCTGCACTGTGGCTGTGTGTGCATGGGTCAGTGTTTGTGTGTCTGTGTGTGTGCGTGGATCTGTATATGTGCTGTATAACGGTTGAGTGTCTGTGTCAGTGAGTGTGCATGTGTGTTTATGGGTCAGTGTCAGTGAGTGTGTATAGGTCAGTGTATGTGTCAGTGAGTGTGTGTATGGGTTAGTGGCTGTATTGGGAATGTTTTTGTATGGGTCAGTCAGTGTTTGTGCAGTAGAGTAAATTACAGAAATTCTAATAAAGGACACAATAAGAGAAAAAGTATTAAGAGGATGATAAACTTGATATTTAAAAACTTGATTCCAAGTGTAAAACGAAGAATAAGGGAAATGACAGGTCTACCAGCAGCAGCAGAAGTGGAACAACATTCAATCAATGCAAACAATTTGCACAGGAACACTTGTGACCAGGGCCAGATTAAGAGCCCAGTGGGCCTGGTGCTGACAATTATGACGGGCCTAATTACAGAATCATATCAACCAAAACCAGTAAAACACTCCCAAGCGTCATGTATCTGATAGAGATGGTGCTGGAGAGAAAGAAAACAGCAGCTATAAGAAAACACATACCCTAGGCTAATCTCTCACTAATTTATGTTTTCATCTATCAAGTAAATCCATAACCCCTAACAGCATTGTCCAGTCAAGCAGGAAGTCAATGGGCGGGGTAAAAGGGTGTGCCACTGACACAAATCACGTAACCTGCCAAAAGGGGCGAACATGCCCAAAAAGAGGACATGTCTGCTCAAAGAATTAGAAGGCCAGCCTGGTATGAATGCATGTCAGGCTGCCTGCCAATCAGGCAGCTGGCCAACTAAGGGCATACTATGCAGACAGCACCCTGAACTTGGCATAAATGCATCTAATGATGCGCTCGCTCAACGCTTTCTAAGGACTGTCCCCTAGCACTCGCTGGTCCACTTGTCTCCTTACCTTCTTACTAGCAGGCAGAAGCTCCTGGTATATAGTCTGTGAAGGAGAAAAGCTGTATGTAATGAGTATAGAAGAAAGGGAACATGCCACAGTGTTAGAGAGACTGAAGTCAGCATTACCTTAAAGGATCACAAGAGGGTCAGGATCACAAACATGAATTCATGACCCTATAGTATTAACACCACCATCTAGCCCCCCTGGGCCCCTCATGCCTCCATAAATATAGCAAAATCTTACTATATTCAAGCCTGAAGCTGTAACTCTGCATGCTGTTAGACTCATAAAAACAAGCAGTCTGCTGACATCATTAGAAGTGGTGGCCTGATCCAATCACAGTGCTTCCCCATAGAATTGGCTGAGACTGACAAAGAGGCAGATCATGGTCAGAGCCAGCATGATTCAAACACAGCCCTGGCCAATCAGCATCTCCTTATAGAGATGAATTGAATTAATGAATCTCTATGAGGAAAGTTCAGTGTCTGCATGCAGAGGGTGGAGACACTGAATATTTGGATGCATTTTAGGCAGCCATGACCCAGGAAGGATCTCTAACAGTCATCTAAGGAGTAGTCAGTGAAGTTACCACTAGGCTGTAATGTAAAGACTGCATTTTCTCTGAAAAGACAGCGTTTACAGCAAAAAGCCTGACGGTAATGATTCTACTCACAAGAACAAATTCAATAAGCTGTAGTTGTTCTGGTGACTATAGTGTCCCTTTAACTATATTCATTGTCAGCCAGTCCACACAAGTTTTGTTCCCATACATCCCTCTTAAGTTTCCATACTTAAGTAAGAGTATGTAAAAAGTAGTTAGGGTTGCCACCTTTCTTGGAAAAACATACCGGCCTTACTAATTTGCATAATTAAATATGTATGGGTGACATCACATGATGTAAATCACAAGGAGTGACATAAGAGAAAATTCTGTAAAATCACCAAAAAACTACTTAGTTTGATTCTGCTGTATAGATGGATTCCTCCCAGTGCCCCCATGTCTCCCAGTGCCCCCATGTGTCGATTACTCCAAGTCTCAGTGTTCCTATGTATCAGTGTCTCAGTGCCCCATGTCTCCCAGTGTCCCCTAGTGTCGTGTCCCCAGGTCTCCCAGTGATCCTATGTATCACAGTGTCTCAATGCCCCATGTCTCCCTGTGTCCCCATGTATCCCAGGGTCCCCATGTCACTAGGACACTAGAAGACGGGGAGACTGGGGACACGGGGAGACCTAGGGACACGGAGACACCAGTGACACTGGGAGACTAGGGGACTCTGGCTGGGACACATGGGGACAATGGGAAAATAGGGGACACTTGAAGACATGGGGACACAGACACCAGGGACACAGACACTAGAGACACTGGCTGGGGGACATGGGGACATTGAGACATGGGGGCACTGGGAGACATGGGGACACTGAGACACCAGGGCCACAGACACTAGGGACACTAGCTTGGAGACATGGGGACATTGTGACACTTGAGGCACTGAGAGACATGGAGGCACTAGGAGACATGGGGACAGTGAGACACTGGCAGACTGGGGGCACTAGGAGACTAGGGGTCACTGGGAGACTAGGGGTCACTGAGACACCAGGGACACTGGCTGGGAGACATGGGGACACTGTGTCCGCATGTGTCTGTGTCATGTCTCCCAATGTCCCTTAGTGTCTCAGTGTATGTCTCCTTGCAGCCTTTCCCCCCATCCCTTACTTCCCTGAGCTGTAGGCTGTCTCTGCAGGGTGGGAGTTGCTGTCTGGACTCTCTGTAGCTGCACCCCTGCAGATCAGTGAGTATAGAGAGGCAGGGAGGGATATGCTGGAACTTCCTATCCCTGCCTGTCTCCACACACAGTGACCCCTACTGGCCAGTGCTGGTATTGCAGAGTAATCTCTTGTTTATACTGAGAAAAATACCAGCATTTGTATTGCCAGTATCACTGCAATATTGGCACCAGCCAGGCAGCCTCAAATACTGGCTGTGCCAATAAAATAAAAGCCAGGAATCCCTAAGAGTAGTGTGTGAAAAAAAAATGTAAAAATTTTTTTTTTATTTTTTTTTTTTTTTTAAATCAATGGGCCTATTTCATGGGCCTGGGCCTGGAGCTGCAGCTCCATCAGCCCCTATGTTAATCCGGCCCTGCTTGTGACAATGCGAACATATGGATGGTATAATAGGGGCTTATTGTTTCTTATTGATTAATAAAATATTTTTTAAAAATACAGAATTAAAGTGTAACTATCTTCAAACTTAACCCCTTAAGGACACATGACGTGTGACATGTCATGATTCCCTTTTATTCCAGAAGTTTGGTCCTTAAGGGGTTAAATATTTTTCTAAAGCATATAATTGTGGCAAATAAATAATTAACTGAAATTTGCATGAGTAAATATTTCCTAATCCCTAATATTTACCTTTCATTAGCTATATAACTGGCCTCTGCAGCCCCTTTTTTGCCAGCACTTGCTTCCTTGTTAGTGTCTGACACTGTTCAATCCAATGCTGCTTGTTACCAAGTGGTTCCCTCACTGTCCTATTATACCAGATGTATATTTTAACTCCCATCAGCTTCAGCTAGAATCTCTAGAGTTTTAGTTTAGCAGAGGCATGCAAATTCTCAAACTCAGCTTGATGGTTTCACAGCCAGGTGTGGCTAGAGCTGCATTACAAAAAGACTTGTAAATAACAGAGAATAGAGAACTGAGGATGCAGAGGCATGATCTTTACACCCAACGGCTTCATTAAGCTAAAGATGGTGCTTAGAGTGTCTTTCGTACATATGTATAATTATATAATAATATTAATAATATTTTAGCAGCTGCTCTCTTTCTTTCTGCATGGATCTGGCAGAAATCTTCCTCAATGTGCCTTTATCTGCACGAACCCGTCTGTGCTCTGAATCAGCCACAAATCTCTTACTAGTGCGATGATCACGCTTAAGTTTTCTTGAAATATCTATTGTTTTCATACCTCATCCAAGGCATTGAACTATTTTACTCTTTTCGGCAGCAGAGTGATCCTTTTTCTTCCCCATATTGCATGAAAATGGTGCTCTGCTTAATAATGTGGAACAGCCTCCTTTAGTAGTTTTTCCTTAAATTGGGCTCACCTGGCAATCTAATTATCACAGGTGTCCGGGATTGTTTTCAGTGATCAAAAGAGTCCTGAGACACAATGTCATCCATGAGTTAAACTGAAAAACTAAATATTTAATCTTTGTGACACTTAAATAGAATTTGCATAATAATTTGGGACAGGGTGTACATATATTCAATTGTTTATCTGTCTATTGGGCTTTCTTTGTAATCTTATAGCATTAATCATGCTGACATCGTAGTAGATATATATGATAACATTATTTAATTTTTCACCCATTGTTAATTAAGGTACAGTATTTTATAGTTCCTTGTACGTACATCACTCTGAACTTATTGGATGGTGAGATGCCATCATGAAAAAAATGTGTATACATGTATTCTTTTAGTTTTCTAATTTTTTCCGATGCTTTTTTAAAGTCGTGCAGAAATGTGTCAACGTTACCTGTCCGGAAGTAAAAAACCTGAAATGCCCCAGTGACTCAATGGCTACTAAGCCGCATACACCTGCTGGAGAATGTTGTCCTACAGTGCCAAGCTTTTGTACCTGTAATTTTAATTCATGCAAAAATGATTGTCCAAGGGGAAAGAGGAAGATAATGATCAAAGAAACAAATGGAATCCCAGGAAAATGCTGTGATAAGTTATTGTGTTTATTGTGAAGATCTCTGTTTCGATTGACAGTGTTCTTAGGAAAAATCTTCCCTCCCCCCCCCCAAAAAAAAAATTTTTTTTTAGATATTCAGGGGGTGATTATAGATCAGATTTAGGGGTGATTATTTCTGATGACTTAAAGGTAGGCAGACAATGTAATAGAGCAGCAGGAAATGCTAGCAGAATGCTTGGTTGTATAGGGAGAGGTATTAGCAGTAGAAAGAGGGAAGTGCTCATGCCATTGTACAGAACACTGGTGAGACCTCACTTGGAGTATTGTACAAAGTACTGGAGACCGTATCTTCAGAAGGATATTGATACTTTAGAGAGAATTCAGAGAAGGGCTACTAAACTGGTTCATGGATTGCAGGATAAAACTTACCAGGAAAGGTTAAAGGATCTTAACATGTATAGCTTGGAGGAAAGACGAGACAGGGGAAAATGTAAAAGTCTTTTACAGACTGAAACGTCGACTGGAACGTTGTGTGGATTTGTAATTGCTCAATAAAGCAACAGATGAAATTTACCTTGAAAGACTCCTGAGTGCTCTCTACTGGTGTCGTATACAATTTGGTTGGAGATAGCACCGGAGCATTAAAGGACCGGGAGCATTGAGTGCTGGGACCTGGGACATATATATTATATATATAATACATCTATATATATTTGATATTTATCTATACACGTATAATTACAATAATAAATAAATAAAATAATAAAATAAATAAATAAAATATTTTTTAAAATAATAAAATAAATGATATATACATATGAATTTGATTCTAAGTGTATTTTGTTATTAATATATTTATATTGGTAACAAAATACACTTAGAAAGATATTCTATATCTATCTATATATAAAATACAAATAACCGCAAATATATATATATATACAGATAAATATATATAATTACATAAATAACTACATAAGTGTACATGTAGACTTTAAATACATATATATATGTTTAGATATTAAAATTCTACGTGTATATTTAAGTAATATTTTGACATAATTATGTGATTTAATTATTTAAAATTTGATTGACATGCCTGACAACCCAGGCAGAAAGTGCAGAGAATTTGAATTGCAAACACTATATTTAACCCTGTAACTTTCCAAGACACCATAAAACCTGTACATGGGGGGTACTGTTTTACTCGGGAGACTTCGCTGAACACAAATATTAGGGTTTCAAAATGGTAACTTGTATTACAACAATGATATTTTTAGTAAAAGTGAAATTTTTTGCATTTTTCACACACGAACGGCACTTTTACTGACAATATTTTTGTTGTAATATGTTTTACCTCACATAACATATAAAACATCACTAGACAACATTTACTATTACTTAACTTTTCTCAATTAACCCTGAGGATGAGACTAGAATAGTTGGGACCCCACCACATTTTAATGCCATTTAACTACCATTATATTATGTACTGTTCGGGGGGGGGGGGCTAGATTTAGATACCTAGATCTGTTCTATTTTGCACAGACATTCTTTCAGCCTCTTCCTATACCAGATATTCCTTAACTAGATCCCAACATGGAACCTTAGAAGACTTCCAGTTTCTTGCCACTATTCATTTTGCAGCTAGCAATATGTGTAAAACTAGTACCGAGGATTGCCCAAAGATTTGATCAATATTTAGATGTAATAAAAATATATCAAACTTGATGTTAGTCAACGTATTTATTTTAGTGGCCAGCATGTTCCAAAAAAGAATTATCGACCCACACTTCCACCAAATATGTATCAACCCTCCTTTATGGAGGTCACATCTCCAACATCTATCGGGAACATTTTGATACATTTTTGCTAGTCTGCTTTGAGTTAGGTACCATCTGTTCATGATCTTGTACTGTACTTCAGATATATTTAAACAATGTATATTCTTATAAACGATAGCTAGTGATCTTTTCCCTTCTTCATAACTTATATTAATATTTGTGTCTCTTTCCTATTTGCTGATAGTGGGACGGATAAGATTTTCTGGATCTCTTTCATATAAATCTAGGTAGCTTGAGACCAGTTTCTTTATAGTATTTCTATTTTTTAATACTCTTTCGAATTTTACTTGTTTATCTGATTTATCTTTAAGTAAGTGATCATTAAGATATCCTTTTACCCTTGTATATGTAAAAATATCTTTACTGTCAATATAATATTCCGTCTTTGAAGAGTTGAAGTCTTTGATTTTACCATCCTTTACTATATCCTTAATTTCCATAATACTGAGGTTAATCCATTTCTGTACATTTAGATCCAACATATTGCTATTTAATTGACTTATGGGAAGGCTCGTAAATATTTTATCTTGCATTTCTGAATCCTTTCTGAGCTTGTTCCATATAGTTAAAATATTATTAAGAATTAAACTATTAGAATTGAATCTGTACGTCGCTTTATTTTTATCCTTGTTTATCCAAAATAAAGTACTTAGGTCCTCTTTCCTTTATTGTATAATATTTGTTCCATTTTATACCAAATTTGTTTCTTTGGATTATTTAATTAAGTGATAATTGCCTGTACAATATTACATGCTTTCCATGCCTGTTGTAACTGTGGAATACCCAAACCACCTTGTCTGATCTTTAAGGCCAGTCGATTTGAGCTAATACGTGGGTGTTTCCCTGCCCAAATAATTTTTTATTTTTTTTTAAATTAAAAAATCGACTTAACCAAGGTCAACCAACTTTCTGGACAGTGCAGAGGTCCCATGTGGAAGAGATAACCCACTTTGGGTAGATATATGGCTTAATTATATTGATTCTCCCCCACCATGATACCTCCACCTTCTTCCATTTATTTAGTGTTTTACTCATATCTTTCAGCAAGGATAGCAAATTACGTTCCATCATTCTAGTTGGATCGTTAGTAATTTCTATTCCCATTATTTGGATCAGTTTTTATGTGGACAATTTTTATTTGGATCATGGGTCTCTAAATTACAGTGATATTAGTGCAACAATAATTTCATCATATCTTCATCGTATTCCTTCTGCTTTTCTGACATCAATTCCCCCTTTTGCTTTGCCATTCGATATATGTAAGAGCTGCAACGAATCAAAATGTGTCAGAAATTATACTAAAATTCATTATACAAAATAACAGACATTCAATTTGCTTTGCCATTCGATATATGTAAGAGCTGCAACGAATCAAAATGTGTCAGAAATTATACTAAAATTCATTATACAAAATAACAGACATTCAATACTGTCTCCTTCTCTTGTTTATATAGATTCCATACTGATTGTGGCATGTACCAAGTTATTGCTAGATGTTTCTGGCATTTGTAGTGAGATGCAGGGGCATAATGCACCAAAACTGATTCATTAAACTAAAGTTGCTTGCTGTCTATAGTATCCCTTTAAGGTTGGAATTTGGGTTTAAAGGGAATTGGTGGTTACAATAAGATTTGTATCTGTTTTGTTAGTTGTTGAAGTTACTTGATAACAATTACAAAAAAATAAAAACCTACAGTGATGGAAAGCAAAACTATGCAGTCTAAATGTGTGAAACTACGGGAGGGTAATTGACAATTCTGCAGCTTCTAATAACGTTTTTACCATTAGCCTAATCAGTGGTTCCCAACCCAGTCCTCAAGTACCCCCTAACAGTCCAAGATTTAGGGATTGCCAAGTTGTGTCTGAGGTGTTTTTAGAAAAAAACAAAAAACAGGGTAATCCTTAAATCCTGGACCGGTAGGGTGGACTTAAGGACTGTGTTGGGAACCCCTGGCCTAGATGACTTTTATTATGTCAATTTAAGCAAGACCCATGCTCTATAACTAGGGTCAAAAATATCAATTTTTAATTCATGGGGCTTTGATCTGTTTATATAGGCATACATTTTAATGAAATAAGGGGCTTATTTTACCACATATGTATTATTTGCAAAAATTAAAGAAAATACCACATTAGATATGATGAGGCCACAGCATAATGACAGGGAAAACAGCTATAACTAGTCACGATTTGAAAATGAATAATAATTTGGCATTTGAGGCTGTCCTGTAATCACATTGCAATATATGCACAATAACACACCCACTCAGACACAGTATACACACAATGACACACACTGCAACAAACAAAATGACAATAAATACACACACCCAGACACAGTATTATGTAAAGACACACTGTATACACACAATGACACACACTCCTATGAACAATATACACATCACACAATGTTAAATACCGTACAGTATACACACACACATTATACACCCTGACTTACATTGCTACATACTCATAATACTAAACACACAGTCAGACACAGTCAATACAATCTTTTAAAGTAGTTTTTTTTAGTGAATTAGGGGAATTTCCCCTTCCAAATGTTTTTTTTCCTTTTCCTGTTATGTTATGAAACATCATGAGGCATCATGTCCAGTGATGCCACTTATACGTTTTCCAAAAAAAGGTAAAGAGGCTACTTTTATCATAATGCTGGACAATTATCTAATATATAGTAGATAAAGCAGAAATTCCTACTTCCGCATGAGAGCAACCAAATAGGGGACAAATTGATATGTCAGGTGTGGAAGGAAAATTCTGCTTTAGCTATATCAGACGTTGAGGCCAGATTGTGTAGGCAAGGAAGATCCAGGCAAGTGTCAAACTATTTGAAAAAAAATGACCCCCAAGGGACTGTGTCAGAGAACTTCTGGCTCCATAAAACTAAAGTTCACTGTAGTGATTATGATGCCTACACTGACCCTTTAACAAGTTTGTAAATAACACTTAGAAAATGTACTCACCTAATAGCAATCATTAGAAGTATCAAGACAGACCCAAAAATTGATGCAACTATTATTGTTGTTGTTGTTGATGATGATATGGTGTTCCGGTGGTGAGCAGCAAGTTTTTTTTCTTCTTCACCTTCCAAAGGAGGAAGTGGTGGTCGAGTTATATACAGTTTTGGTCCTTGTCTTGGCACCACTACAAGGGAAACAACAAGATTTCGAATTAAGTAAATCATGCAGTATAATTACAGTTTATTGTCATTACATAGTAATATTGTGAGAATAGGCTATTAGGTTGTAGCATACACACATTTCTTGGGGGGAGGGGGAGCAGGGTTCAGTGTTTTCAGATGAATTAAGTGAATCATACCAAAACAGGCCAATGTCAGACCTTCTAGTTGCCTCAGCTCCTCCAAGAAATCTCAAAAAGCCTATTTTGTAAGGAAAATATAGCAATAGTCCATTTAATTCTCCTCCCTACACCATTTGTTTGGATAGAATGAGATTGTATACCTTGCACTCTATCTTCCCACACAGTGTTCCTTTCTTCTTCTAGATGGTAAGCTTGTTGGAGTAGGGTACCTGCCTCTTGTTTTTGGTTAAAGGAACACTATAGAGTCAGGAACACAAACATTCATCCCTGACCCTATAGTGTTAAAATCACTATCTAGTCCCCCTGCTACCCTTTATTCCAGTCTGCTGATGCCCGTGATCTGCCTGAGGAATATTCAGTGTCTCCATGCAGAGGATGGAGACACTAAATGTCAGTATTGCACACTGTGCAGCACTGCCTCAGGAAGCACCTCTAGTGGCCGTCTGAGGAGTGGCCACTGGAGATGTTTCTAGGTTGTAATATAATCACTGCCTTATCTCTGAAATGACAGTGTTTACTGCAAAAAGCCTGCAGGGACATGTTATACTCACCAGAACAACTACATTAACCTGTAGTTGTTCTGGTGACTATAGTGTCCCTTTAATGTTTTGGTATATATTGATTTGATGTTTATTGATAATACATAACCATTGTACATCACAATACAATATGCTAGCATTCTATTAAAATGATAAATACTAAATAATAAAACATACCTCTTACTACATAATTTAGAGTACTGAGTGGAAGATGTTCTCCCTGTTCCGCATTGCAGATATAATTTCCTCTGTCCATAAAACCAGCACTTTTTTTCATCAAGTAGGGTGTATTTGTGAGTAGCAACACCTTATTTTCTTTTTCATGGACCTTAAAAAAAAAATTTTTTATAAATGTTATGTGTTACCCACCTATCCTCTCCTGACAATGCTGTATTTTATTAATTAAAAACATTTCATTCGCAAAGCATATTGATGGTAGTTCAGGTGATTTTTAAATCACCAATATATCACAACAGGAGCAACTATGGAACTTTGCAATCTGGGAAGGAAAGGGTTAAAAAATATAGTCATAAAAAATAATAATAAATGTTAACCCTTTTATGGCTGTGCATCAAAATATTAACATGGTTATTCACTAAAGTCAGACTTCAAAGTGTTTTTTTGTTAATTTCAAATTCTATATAACCAAGCTTCATTTGTTTCTTTTTAACAACTACAATCTTTCTCCTTTATTGCACCAATATATGCTAAATACCATTTTTAAGGGATAAAAAGGATTTAATATGATCTGACATATACAGGGGCGTACCTAGAGCATTTGGCATCCGGGGTAAAAAACAACCAATTTTTTTGTGTATAAATATATTTAGCACTGAGCACTGTTTGTGTGTTTGAATGTATGCATGTTTTTGTATGGAGCATGTGTGAGTGAATGTAGGGGTGTGTTTGTATGTAGTGTTGGCGTTTGAATGCAAGCATGCATTTGTGTGTTGTGTGGTATTTGAATGCAGTGGTATGGTTATATATAATGGTGGGGTTTGTATGTAGTGTTGATGTTGAAATGCAGGGGTGTATTTATTTTTCAACATTATTCAATTAAGGGTTCCTAAACCCTGGATGGATATGCTTCAACATTCACTTTCAAATTTTATTTGGAATGAGAAAACACCAAGAATAAAATCTCAAATCTTAACAAAAAAAATTAATCAAGGAGGAATGGCCTTCCCACTCATTAAATATGTATATAGCGCTAATATTATTTCCCATATCCATAAATTTCAGATTTCAGATTCAAGAAACCAACCTTAGTATCAGACAGAATCAATTAGAACAAAAGTAAAAGATCTAGCCCTTCTGATTTGGGATGACAATACTAACTACAAGACTTATTTAATCCAATCTAATTAAATTATTGTATCACAGCTTATTGAAGAATGGCAACGAATCAAAAAATTTCTTAACATATCCAAACAAATTGTTGAAGGAGCGAATATTCGGGTCCTAGAAAGAGTCATCCCCGATCTAAATGTCGCTACATGGAGAGCTCATAAAGAAAAATATAGTAAAGATCTCCTCCAAAATACTAGGTTGCTATCATTCGATAACCTTAAGTTAAAAATTGATATTTTGGATAGATCATTTTTTTCTTACATAAGAGTGAAAGGATTTCTAAATGAGTCTTTATTGAGAAAGGAAGGGGATAATAATAATTTGTTATACAGAATTGTTGACAAAAATGAAACTAAATCAATATGTTCCATTGCAATGGACCTAATAAGACAAATGTATTTAAACATTTAGCCTTCAGCTAAAAAGCAATGGGAGAAAGATCTTAATGTCAAATTATCTGACAAGATATGGTGTTCCCCTATAAAATTACTTAGAAAACATATACATTGTCTAAATTTAAACAAAACTTTTTTTAAAGTTTTGCACAGATGGTACCTAGTTCCAACAAGGATGACCAAATATCTCTGTCTAATTCCCCCCTGTGTTGGAGATGTTTAACTCAGGAGGGAAATATGTTGCATATCTGGTGGGGTTGTTCAAGGATATGTCCTTTATGGGAATCAATTTATATTTTTTTGTCACATTTAAATATTAATGTTAAAAAATGACCAGAAGCAGGTCTACTCCATATTAATTGGGGCAAACTTCAAAGGGATCAATTAATATTGACTATTCACAAAAAATTGGAAACAAATAACAACGCCAGATATGAAACAGTTTCTAGCTCAACTGTTATTTCAGCTTGAGATGGAGAGAGGAGTTGCATATTCAAATAACAACTGTAAATACATTTATCATTTGGATAAATGGCTAAAAAAGATTAAGATATAGCCTAATAAACATGTATTCTCCTTGGATTATCAGATAACACAAGTTTCTCTCAAACTCTTTTCCTTTTTCTATATACAAAGATACCCACTAATAACTGATGAATGTTTGTTATGTATGTTAAGTAAGTTTGGTAAGTAGTGATGTCCCGAACGGTTCGCCGAACGGTTCGCCACAAACGGTTCGCCGCGGACTCATCATTGAGTAAACTTTGACCCTGTACCTCACAGTCAGCAAACACATTCCAGCCAATCAGCAGCAGACCCTCCCTCCCAGACCCTCCCACCTCCTGGACAGTATCCATTTTGAAGCTGCATTCTTAGTGAGCTGTCCAGGAGGTGGGAGGGTCTGGGAGGGAGGGTCTGCTGCTGATTGGCTGAAATGTGTCTGCTGACTGTAAGGTAGAGGGTCAAAGTTTAGTCAATGATGAGTCCGTGGCGAACCGTTCAGCGAACCGTTCGGCGAACCGTTCGGCGAACCGTTCGGGATATCACTATTGGTAAGTCATGTTATGTGTCAATTAAATGCTCTTTCATATCAATGTTAACTAAAGTAATTTCATGTATATATGGATGTAAAATTATTTCAATAAAGAGAAATTAAATATAATATGATGTGACATATATAGGGGCGTACCTAGAGCATTTGGCACCCGGGGTAAAAAACAACCCAAATTTTTTTAATGTATTTAGCACTGAGCACTGTTTGTGTGTTTGAATGTATGCATGTTTTTGTATGGAGTATGTGTGAGTGAATGTATGGGTGTGTTTGTATGTAGTGTTGGCGTTTGAATGCAAGCATGCATTTGTGTGTTGTGTGGTATTTGAATGCAGTGGTATGGTTATATATAATGGTGGGGTTTGTATGTAGTGTTGACATTGAAATGCAGGGGTGTATTTATCTGTAGTGTTGTAGTGTTATCTGTAGTGTTGTAGTGTTTGCGAGATTTTGAGATGTCTGCACATATACACATACACGGACATACACTCATGCAGATACCTATACACACATGCAGATACACAGTCACACACAGATACACATTGACACACATGCAGACATCGCGGCGATGAACAATATATATGAGGGAGGGTACAAAAGATACCACAGTAAAAATTTTCACTAGGGGATGGGGTAATATGCTGCCATTGGCTGTCTGATGCCAGCATGCTGTGTTCTGCATACTAGCATCTGATACACATTTGCATATAATTAACATTAGCCACCCAGATTTCTTGTTGTGGGCTGGCTGACACCTCTTAATTTTAATCTTTGTTTAGCAGATAACCCTTCTATTTGCTATCCTTATGTGGGATTGCCGTATTTACCAAATAAGGTGCTCTCTGCTAAACAGCACCATCGTGTGGTATCTTTAAATACTGTATGGAAATCTCACATATGGGCACCAATTCAGGGAATTATCTACTAAACAGTTAAAGGATCTAGATTTAAAAAGCCCTTTTCTTAGTCTCAGTTGTTTGGCAGATACATCCCTTATTTGTTATCCTTATGTGGGATTGCAATATTTAAGGACACCAAATAAGGGAGATATCTACTAAACACATACACAGAGATACACTCAAAAGCACAGATATACACAAACACAATCACTGACCCACACACATGCAATCATAGACACACACAGACATTACATACATACACACATTTAATAATTAAGAGGTCCACCCAGCCTCCCTACTTTGCTCAAGAAGGGCTCGAGTGGATCCTTAGTCCCTGGTGGTCAGTGGTTGCTGCTGTGATCTCTGTGCTCTTCCTGCACAGGTCCATCGCATGCCCTGTAATGATGACGGGGTCGCGATGACATCATATCCCGGCTGCCGGCTCACACGGTCACACACACACACACAATCACAGTCAGACAGTCACACACACACACAGTCACAGACAGTCACTCACACACACACACGCACAATCACAGGCAGACAGTCACACACACACCCACACAGTCACACACACACACACACAGTCACTGTGACGAGAGCAATCTCGCCACATTGCATTGGAGAAGCCTGGTTGCTTGTCTGTTGCCTTTGGATTATGGCCCCATTTTAAAAGGCTTGATTTTCCCCTGCAAAGACAAGAAAGCCGGGTCATTTGTTGCTTGCCCTGTTTGAGCAGTGATACCCCAGATAGCTATGCCATGGAGCCCATTCGTATAATGAAAGACTATGGGAAAGACTTTGGCTCCATGGCAATTGAACTGTATGTGTGTGCTCTGAGCGCCATTCAGTAATAATGTGCGCTTAGACCTAAGCTATCTGGGATATGTTGCATGTCTGTATTTTATGTCATAAATGTAACCTTGTGTATTTTATTGTATTTTACTGTCTTTTGCTGCCATGTGTTCAATGGAGTTTTGCCTCTGTCTTTGGAGATAATTGGATTACTTCACAATTATCTCCAGGATAGAAGACTCTGTGGAACTGGTTTTGGGCAGAAAAAGCCATGCTTCCTGTGGTCACAAAGGACTACGATCTATCTTTTGAACCACTGGACCAATTTGTATGATTTTGACGTATGTTTGTATTTGGAGTATGCTGATTTATGTGAATGTGATGCATACTTTTCAAGTTATGAATAATGTGGGAAAATTGTATTTCTCTGCTTGTGCTAAATTACATTACCCATTGTGTAAGGTAATTGAATCACAAGCAGAGGGGAGGAATTTGTGTGGGAGTGTCTGAGTGTATTGTATGTGTTTATTGGTTGTGTTCCAAAACCCTGTGGATGGTACTAATGTGTAAGAATGTGTACATAAGCACAATAAACCCACAGCTCTGTCCGTTCACTGCTTGACCCTCAACACAGAGCTTTGTCTTGTTCTTGGGGGGATTTATTGTATGCTGTTCCAGTTTGACTGCTAGGAGTGTAAGCCTATTCGTATGGTTTTTCCTATTCGGCTGTTTACGGCATTCATATGGTTTCCTGTTCGGCGGATTGGTGTCTATAGTAGCTGTACCTGTGCATTTGAAAGGGGAATATCGCCTAAATGGTTTTTAACCTCTTGTGGGCAAAACGCACACAGCACAAACTCTCTCACTTACAGTAAGCTTGGGCTGGAGGAGGAGTGGATTCAGTCCCTGGTGTGTTGGAGTTGGGGAAGCAGGGACTCCTTCCTGCTTCCCCTCGGTGTGAGCAGTAAGCGGCTTGGCTACACCCCCACGGCAGATCTGGCTCTGCCCCCAAATCTCCGTGCAGGTTTCCTGCTCCCAGCCCCTGCGTGTGTGAGCTGTGTCGACTGCCCTACTGCTATGGCACCAGGTGAAGCCACACAGCTCACTGAACCCCAAGCCTGGCCAGCCCTGGTGGCACCCCCCTACCTGATGGCACCCGAGGCGGACCGCCCCTCCCCCCCCCCCACCCCTCCCTTAGTACACCACTGGACATATATATATACATACATACACACACAAGCCCAAACTTTGGTACTCACCCTTCACCAATAATCTAAAAATCTAAAAAAAAAAATGGTAAAGTAACCACCTGGGTGCTTCCCAATGCCAATATGCAGAAAAGACTAAACAGGAGCACTCTCTGGGATTTTTCAAATAAGTGTATTTAAACAATGAATGTTTCGACCCTCCTCAAGATACCATAGTGCAGAAAATACATTATATTTATAGAATAATACCAAAATGCAAACTTATCCAAGGTGTGTGTGAGTGACGCCCAGTCCATCCCCGCTCTGTGACCGACCAGTGTGACATGCCCATGTGTGACATGATAACAAGTGCTCACAAGTTGATGGAATGCGCATGCATGCGTCATGACGAGAAAGCAACGGTGTCCGTAGGGAACCAAGTTCCCGAAACTCCGGTAACCCTAGTGATTGTGCAAATAGTGGTGACTCAAATCAGCATAGAGAAAAATTGTTCAAATACACCTAGAAAAGCACTGAAAGCACTAAATATGGTATGCTGCCAGAGAGGAGAGACCACAGATTAGGATATGTACATTGTGACAAAGCATCCCTTATATTGTAGACTTTGTTGCCACTATGGCACTTAAAATACAAACTGTATCTGGATACCCTGTTCAGGAGTGGGCTTGCCTGGTCTCCCCACGAGTTCTATTCATGATTCCCCTGGTTCAGTGCCTTTCCCTCCCAAAATCATTCAACCACTCGCTCCCTGGCCATTGTTCGTGCATGAGACATTGCGAGCAAGTATTCTGCTATGGAGCTCAAATCGGCTATAAGTTGTCGTGCCTCCCGGTCATTTTTACCTACAGTTATAACCCCTTTACCAATGTGCCAGGAGAGCGTTTTTTTGAGGGAAGATACCTAACAGGGAGGGAAACAATTGCTCCCTGAGAGCCAGGAGGAATACCATTTACTGCGTACACAGGAGTCCCCAACAGTTGACCTGCCAAAGCACCAAACACTCCTTTTGGGCATTAACCACGTGTGCGGCCAGTCAAATCTTTACCCAAGTGGCGTTTGGTCAGTTCTCCATGGAATCCGGTTGCTATTTGGACAGATTGGGAGCTCAGAGACTAGCTATCTGGGGATTTATGACTTGTGGGGGTTCAGTATTGTAGTTTGTTTTTCTTTATGTTGAACCCTCTTTGTCCGGGAAATAATTAGTTTACCGATTATCAACTCAATTATTTCCCAGACTCAGAGACGCCTGGGCGGGTTTATGTGTCCATGAATAGAGACCCCATGTTGGGGATCTGTGTATAAATTCTGTGTGTTTGGCCTGAAAATAAAACAGATCTACTCCTAACATTAAGTCTCGACTAATGTGTGAGGGAAAGCTCTACCAGCTATATTCATTACTGCGTCTGGAAAGGGAATCCTTGGTGGCGATACTACAGTGGTCCACATACATACATTATCTGAAGAGACTATTCTTTTTATTTCTATTTACATTTTTTTATATATACGAGTGCATTTTTTATTTATATTTGTTTTATTTATACTTATTTATTTATTTTTATTTTAGTCACCACTATTTGCACTATCACTAGGGTTACCGGAACTTGCATTCACGTCATTCACGTCATGACACACGCATGCGCATGATGTCTGCTAGTACGCACTCGTAATCACGTCACACACCGACACATCACACTGGTCAGTCACTTCAGTCATGAAGTGGGCATAGACCGAGAGTCACTCACACACAACTTAGGTAAGTTTGAATTGTATTATTATTCTAGAAATATAATGTATTTTCTGCAATATGGTATCTTGATAAAGACACAGGAGGATCGAAATGTTAATCGTTTAAAAACACTTACCGTATTTGAAAAATTATTCACACAAAAATGCAACAAAGATTAAAAAGCAAACAGTTTTGGCAATAATAATGTGTGCATAATTAATGCATCTTAAGAAAAGTAATTCTAAATAAATTAATTTATTTGTTCTGATTTACAGAGTTCATAATATGTCTATATTTTATATATAGTTATATTTATATATAGTTATATTGGTAGTTATGGGCAAGGCCAGTGCTATCGCTAGGAAAACTAGTCAGTCGCCGAGGTCAGGGGTCACTGAGGTCAAGCGCGACCAGGCCCAATGTGTACGGCTTGTCAGGGGGGCCCATGAATTCATCATCTTTGGACCACCAGGAAGTGTCCAGTTGTTTGCAAAAGCAGCATTGACACTAGCTTACCTGAACAACAGGTGCCGTCTCTGCCGAAATACAGTGTGTCTGGGGGACGGCTGAGCATAAGAGGTGAGGGAGGGTTGATAGTCCTGATCTTCTTCACTGCTCCCTCGCGCGCACTCTGTTGTGATGCCAGGAACCAGTATATGATGTCACTCCAGCCCTGTCTATATTTTATATATAGTTATATTTCAGTTTATTTTTGGTAGTTACAGGCAAGGCCAGTGCTATCGCTAGGAAAACTAGTCAGTCGCTTAGGGCGCAGTCAGTGACAGAACTACAGGGGTTGCTGAGGTCGCAAGTTTGACTGGGCACAATTTGTTCGATTTGTCAGGGGGCCCATGAATTCATCATCTTAGGACCCACAGGAAGTGGCTAGCTGTTTGCAAAAGCAGCATAGACACCAGTTTACCTAAACGACAGGTGCGACTCTGCCGAAATACAGTGTGTCCGGGGGACGGCTGAACATGAGAGGTGAGGGAGGGTTGATAGTCCTGCTCTTCTTCAGTGCCCTTCGCGCGCCCTCTTTAGCGATGCCGGGAGTCATAATATTGGCGGGCACGCACGCCAAACCCATGCACGGTCGGAACACTCCACGCGGTACCGGCACGGAACTCAGGTGTGGGCAAATGTAGTACTCTCCCGATTAGAGAGGGGGCCCACGATCCCTTGCTAAGCATGGCTATGGGGAGACACTCACCCATCAATAAGCTTAGACCGCTCAATGTATATTTATACACTACTAGTCAGACCACACTTTTCATTAATGTTTATTGCTAGAATTACACTGTTTACACCACTTTAACAAAAACAAAAATGTGCACTGTTATCCATGCCTAACTATTACTGATCTATGTTGATCCATTCGCCAACAACAGCTGTTGGGGCATTGCCAGCATGTATGTAACGTTTATTCTATGCACCAAAAATAAAGAATTTAAATATATTACCAGGAAAAAAAATGTGTGTGTCAGTGAGTTTGTCATTAGTAATGTGTGTGTCTGTCAAATGAGTGAGTGAGTATGGGTGTCTGTCAGTTTGTATCAAATTAATTAGATGTATGTCAGTGTGTGTCTGTCAGTGATTGTGTCAGTTAGTATGTGTGTCTGTCAGCGTGTGTATGTATATCTAAGTTTGTGCATCTGTCAGTGAGTGTTTGTCTGTCAGTGAAAATGTGTTGTTTAAACAGTGTGTTTGCCAATGACTTTGTGTCTAATATACATTCAAAGAAAGTGTATGTGTATTAGTGACAGGGCCAGATTAAGAGCCCAGTGGGCCTGGTGCTGACAATTATGACGGGCCTAATTACAGAATCATATCAACCAAAACCAGTAAAACACTCCCAAGCGTCATGTATCTGATAGAGATGGTGCTGGAGAGAAAGAAAACAGCAGCTATAAGAAAACACATACCCTAGGCTAATCTCTCACTAATTTATGTTTTCATCTATCAAGTAAATCCATAATCCCTAACAGCATTGTCCAGTCAAGCAGGAAGTCAATGGGCGGGGTAAAAGGGTGTGCCACTGACACAAATCACGTAACCTGCCAAAAGGGGCGAACATGCCCAAAAAGAGGACATGTCTGCTCAAAGAATTAGAAGGCCAGCCTGGTATGAATGCATTTCAGGCTGCCTGCCAATCAGGGAGCTGGCAAACTAAGGGCATACTATGCAGACAGCACCCTGAACTTGGCATAAATGCATCTAATGATGCGCTCGCTCAACGCTTTCTAAGGACTGTCCCCTAGCACTCGCTGGTCCACTTGTCTCCTTACCTTCTTACTAGCAGGCAGAAGCTCCTGGTATATAGTCTGAAGGAGAAAAGCTGTATGTAATGAGTGTAGAAGAAAGGGAACATGCCACAGTGTTAGAGAGACCGAAGTCAGCATTACCTTAAAGGATCACAAGAGGGTCAGGATCACAAACATGAATTCATGACCCTATAGTATTAACACCACCATCTAGCCCCCCTGGGCCCCTCATGCCTCCATAAATATAGCAAAATCTTACTATATTCAAGCCTGAAGCTGTAACTCTGCATGCTGTTAGACTCATAAAAACAAGCAGTCTGCTGACATCATTAGAAGTGGTGGCCTGATCCAATCACAGTGCTTCCCCATAGAATTGGCTGAGACTGACAAAGAGGCAGATCATGGTCAGAGCCAGCATGATTCAAACACAGCCCTGGCCAATCAGCATCTCCTTATAGAGATGAATTGAATTAATGAATCTCTATGAGGAAAGTTCAGTGTCTGCATGCAGAGGGTGGAGACACTGAATATTTGGATGCATTTTAGGCAGCCATGACCCAGGAAGGATCTCTAACAGTCATCTAAGGAGTAGTCAGTGAAGTTACTACTAGGCTGTAATGTAAAGACTGCATTTTCTCTGAAAAGACAGCGTTTACAGCAAAAAGCCTGACGGTAATGATTCTACTCACAAGAACAAATTCAATAAGCTGTAGTTGTTCTGGTGACTATAGTGTCCCTTTAACTATATTCATTGTCAGCCAGTCCACACAAGTTTTGTTCCCATACATCCCTCTTAAGTTTCCATACTTAAGTAAGAGTATGTGAAAAGTAGTTAGGGTTGCCACCTTTCTTGGAAAACATACCGGCCTTACTAATTTGCATAATTAAATATGTATGGGTGACATCACATGATGTAAATCACAAGGAGTGACATAAGAGAAAATTCTGTAAAATCACCAAAAAACTACTTAGTTTGATTCTGCTGTATAGATGGATTCCTCCCAGTGGCCCCATGTCTCCCAGTGCCCCATGTGTCGATTACTCCAAGTCTCAGTGTTCCTATGTATCAGTGTCTCAGTGCCCCATGTCTCCCAGTGTCCCCTAGTGTCGTGTCCCCAGGTCTCCCAGTGATCCTATGTATCACAGTGTCTCAATGCCCCATGTCTCCCTGTGTCCCCATGTATCCCAGGGTCCCCATGTCACTAGGACACTAGAAAGACGGGGAGACCTAGGGACACGGAGACACCAGTGACACTGGGAGACTAGGGGACTCTGGCTGGGACACATGGGGACAATGGGAAAATAGGGGACACTTGAAGACATGGGGACACAGACACCAGGGACACAGACACTAGAGACACTGGCTGGGGGACATTGAGACATGGGGGCACTGGGAGACATGGGGACACTGAGACACCAGGGCCACAGACAGTGGTGTATCCTGGTTTTGTGCTGCCCTAGGCAGGACAAAACTCAGGCACCCCCCTCCCCCCGCGCCACCCCCACCCAACCCTTCCCCCTGCCCCACCTTCTAAATACACATACACACACACACACACTGTCAGACACATACACACACACAGTCAGACACATACACACACACACTCACACACACACAGTCAGACACAAACACACACACAGTCAGACACAAACACACACATAGACAGACACAAACACACACACAGACACAAACACACACACAGTCATACACACACACATACACAGACACAGTCAGGCACAAACACACACACATACACACACAAAGTCAGGCACAAACACACACAAACACACACACAGTCAGACACATACACACACATACACAGTCAGACACACACACACATACACAGTCAGACACACACACACTCAGTCAGACACACACACACTCACACAGACGCACAGACAGAAACACACACACAGTCAGACACAAACACACACAGTCAGACACATACACAGACACACACACACACATACACAAACACAGTCAGTCACACACAGTCAGACACACACACAGATTAACTTTTTTTTATTATTTAAATCCCCCCCCAACCTCCTTACCTTTGGGAGTGCTGGGGGGGGGGAGGTCTCTCTCTCCCTGGTGGTCCAGTGGCTGCCGGTCGGGCGGGCGGCGCTGGCAGGCGGGCGGCTGGCGAGGGAGCACTTCCTGTGAGCTGTCTGCTCAGCTCCCTCGTGCGCCGGCTGCAGAGTGAGGCTGGGAGCCGGAAGATGACGTCATCTTCCGGCTCCCAGCCTCACTGTGCGGCGCCCGAGGGAGCTGAGCAGACAGCTCACAGGAAGTGCTCCCTCGCCAGCCGCCCACCCGACCGCCTGGGATGTCAGTTAGCCGCAAGGCTAACTAGGCATTTGCCCTGGGCATTTGGGGGGGCGGCGTTTTTTGCCGCCCCCTGAAAAATGCCGCCCAAGGCAAATGCTTTGTTTGCCTCGCGGCTAATACGTCCCTGGCCACAGACACTAGGGACACTAGCTTGGAGACATGGGGACATTGTGACACTTGAGGCACTGAGAGACATGGAGGCACTAGGAGACATGGGGACAGTGAGCCACTGGCAGACTGGGGGCACTGGGAGACTAGGGGTCACTGGGAGACTAGGGGTCACTGAGACACCAGGGACACTGGCTGGGAGACATGGGGACACTGTGTCCGCATGTGTCTGTGTCATGTCTCCCAATGTCCCTTAGTGTCTCAGTGTATGTCTCCTTGCAGCCTTTCCCCCCATCCCTTACTTCCCTGAGCTGTAGGCTGTCTCTGCATGGTGGGAGTTGCTGTCTGGACTCTCTGTAGCTGCACCCCTGCAGATCAGTGAGTATAGAGAGGCAGGGAGGGATATGCTGGAACTTCCTATCCCTGCCTGTCTCCACACACACAGTGACCCCTACTGGCCAGTGCTGGTATTGCAGAGTAATCTCTTGTTTATACTGAGAAAAATACCAGCATTTGTATTGCCAGTATCACTGCAATATTGGCACCAGCCAGGCAGCCTCAAATACTGGCTGTGCCAATAAAATAAAAGCCAGGAATCCCTAAGAGTAGTGTGTGAAAAAAAAAAATGTAAAAAAATTTCTTTTATTTTTTTATTTTTTTTAAATCAATGGGCCTATTTCATGGGCCTGGGCCTGGAGCTGCAGCTCCATCAGCCCCTATGTTAATCCGGCCCTGATTAGTGAGAGCAAGTGTCTGAAAGTATGTGTGCTAATAACTGCGTGACTGTCAGGGACTGTACATCAGTGTATGTGTACCACTGAGAGCGTAAGGGGGACCCTTCTTTGATTCTTGCACTGGGGCCCTGCAATTTCTAGTTATGCCCAAAGGTTCAGCATTCCCATCAGGGTGTCTTCCCCATTAACCACACCAAACTGCTCCCAGGATGCACTGTTGTAATCAGAGCAGGCAGAATTAAGATTGGCTTAAGTTCACAGGAGACGTGACGACCTGAAGCTGAGTAAGCAAGCTGAGTGTTACAGGGAATCTTAATACTGCCTGCACACAACAACAGTGCACCTTACAGGCTGCGATAAAGATCCCGTGTCAGCTGTCTGTCACATTCAGCTAGCTCATTCACCTCCCACAAACATCACCCAATCCATTAACAGGATTCAGGTCGCCAGCCAATGAGACGCAAGCTGAGCAACATCTGACTGCCTCTCTGCTGTTTCTAACTGGATGGCTGCCTACTTCCCTAAACTAAACTTGACCAAAACTGAAATTCTGATCTTTCCTCCCTCAAGTGTTGTTACTCCTGTGTCTGTCTCAATCCAAGTCAACGGTGCTACCATCAGCTTCACAATGCAGGCTCGCTACCTAGGTGTTCTCTTTGACTCCGACCTCTCCTTCAAGCCTCATATTCAAACTATCGCCAAATCCTGTCATTTCCATGTCAAAAACATTGCGCACATCTGTCCCTACTTAACACCAGATGCGACTAAGGTGTTGGTCCATTCCACTGTCCTTTCTCGCCTTGATTATTGTAATCCACTTCTCAGTGGTCTTACGTGCTCCCAACTAGCGCTGTTACAGTCCTTAATGAATGTGGCGGGAAGGCTCATCTTCTTGTCTGCCCGCACCTCCCATGCCTCACCCTTCTGTCAATCCCTACATTGGCTTCCTATAAAATATAGAGCTCAATTTAAAATTCTGGTTCTTGCTTTTAAATCTCTACATAATGCTGCTCTCACCTATCTATCCTCCCTTATACACAAATATGTCCCATCAGGCCCTTACAATCTGCTGAAGACTTGCGTCTATCTTCTGTCCGTACTCCCACCTCTGATGCTAGCCTTCAAGACTTCTCGAGGGCTGCAACGTTCCTATGGAACTCGCTTCCTTCCTCCGTTAGATGCTCACCCAGTCTCCACTCCTTCAAAAAATCATTAAAAACCCACTTCTTCATAAAACCGTATCAATTAAACTGTTAATAGCTCCCGACTGATTCCTCCTCTGCAACTGTCATTAGTCTAACACTATCCTTACCTTTTTGTGTCATTTTACCCCACTCCCTCTAGCATTTAAGCTCATTGAGCAGGGCCCTCAGCCCCTATGTTCCTGTGTGTCCAACTTGTCTGGTTACAACTACATGTCTGTTCGTCCACCCATTGTAAAGCGCTGCGGAATTTGATGGCGCTCTATAAATATCATAATAATAATAATAATAATCAGTTCCTCCTACTGAGTCAACCCCCACACAAGGAGCTAAAGGGAGCCTCCTGCAGGGAAGTGAGAAGGAGATCATGCTCATGTTATTAGATCATGCCTTGTTATAAATAATTAAATGGCTACTGCCACTTGGAAATTATTATGAGTTTCTACCTCGCAATGGTTTCTGTACCCTAACGTGTCATGGAAATTAGTATTTTGTGTGTTTGTTTTATAGTGGCATTTTTTTTTATTATTCCTACCAGCACTGTAACAAGTCACCTCTCACTCCCCCCACTTTTTCCCAGTGGCAGCGCTTGAAGGAAGTGATCTTGTGTCATGAAATTTGCTGGTGGCAGTGTGTGCAAGGGGTACAGTGTGTGGGGGGCAGTGTGTGTGAGGGGTACAGTGTGTGGGGGGCAGTGTGTGTGGGGGCAGTGTGTGTGGGGACAGTGTGTGTGGGGGGCAGTGTGTGTGTGAGGGGTACAGGGGTACAGATGTGTGCTACTATTTTGTAAAACCCCATGTTGCGTTCAGCTACATCTTTTGAGTACAAGGATACCCCCAATCAGGGCCGCCATCAGGGCATGATAATCATGTCAGTTGTCATGGGCCCGGTGGTCCTGAGGTGTCCGGACTGCTCTAGGAGTTCTGGGCCACACGTTGCCTAAGTACACAAATATAGCGATTTTTGCTATATATGTGTACTTGCGGGCCACCAGCTACCTGTTCTTTGTAGAGGGGGCCCACAGAACACTCTCACTTCCCTTCCCAGCAGCTCCTCAGTCAGGCCGTCACCTGGCAACATTCCACGCGGCACACAGGCCATGAGAGTTAGACAGGGGAGCTGCTGGCAAGGGAAGTGAGAGTGTGCTGTGAGCGAGAGTGTGCTGTGGGCCCCTTTTGTAGAGTCCAGCAGGGACCATCAAGGAACGCAATCTCCCCCCTCACTGGCCAGTTAAGAAGCAGGGAGGGGGGACTAAAATAAAAGGCTGGTGCAGGGGTTTTGTTGAAGGGGGCAGTACAGGGGTTTGTAGCAGGGGGCAGGACAGGTGTTGTGTAGGATGGGGGCAGAGCAGAACAGGAGTTTTGTAGAAGCTGGATGTCAGAGGATTTACAAAATTTACCCCTGTCCTGCCAACTATGTCCTTGCACTCAGACCAACCCAATTACTTGAATGCCGGGTGTACTTCTAAGCCATAGCCAACAAAAATACAGTAATGAAAAAAAAAGGCTTGCACTCACTTTCTTTATTCAGAGTTATTCCATAAAAGCATGAACCTTTCAGCCCTCGTCCAGGGCTTTCTTCAGGATCAACTAACAATACATATTTGACACCGAGTACTGTATTATATAGCCCATAAGAAGAGAAATTAACTCACCACAGGTGATTGAAGTCAGAGTATCGGCGTCCCACGAGCCATGTGCGCATGCGTCTCATACCCGGAAATAGAAAAAATAGCGCATAACCTGGTTGCTGTAGTTACATGCTGATGCCAAGAGCACCATAGTAACATGAAACATAAGCAAAGCGTGTAGGGTGTATCAGGGGAATAAAGATCAAGATCCCCAAATATATAAGAGATATCTTCTATAACTAATACGCCCAAAGAAGTGTGAAATAATTAAAACCCGATATTAGGGGGAAGAGGATGAGACTCAAGGTCTAACTATATGTGCCTAGGCTGGATAACAAACCCCTCCAGAATTCCAATTAAAGTAAAAGGTGCTAGACACGCTAGATCCCCAAATATATAAGAGATATCTTCTGTAACTTATACACCAAAAGAAGTGTGAAATACTTAAATATACTCCTGTGCACCGGCACCCGTATATTCTCTGCAATATTGCAATGTTATAATGTTTTTTTGCCCTATATGATTTTTTTTTTCTCTTGGTAACATCAGGTATGATCAGCAAGGCCGCCATCAGGGGGTGACAACCATGACTGTTGTCACGGCCCGGCGGGCCCTGGGGGGCCCGGTCGCCCGCGCCCCACGTGTAGCGGCGGAACTGCCGCCGGTGCAGTTGCACCGGGGCCCGCACGCTGATGGGGCCCATCGGGTGGTCCAAGTGCGCGGGCCACCCGATGGGCCCTATACCTTCAGGGGCCCGGTCAGCACTATGGCCGTGTAATAGCGCGACCGGGCCCCTTTTAAAAAAAAACGCAGCAAGTACTGCTGGGAAAAAGTGGTCACTTCCTCCCAGCTCACTCCGTGCGGGAGGACCGCCAGACAGGCTGTGAAAAGGGAGAGCCAGCCGACTCCTATCAGCAACAGACACCCTCCTGCAACAAAAAGCTAAGAGACAGAAGGGCAGCTGGAAAATGAGCTCTGTGTGTGTGTGTGTGTCTGTATGCATGTATGTCTGTATGTCATTATGTCTGTATGTATGTCTGTATGTATGTCTGTATGTCATTATGTCTGTATGTATGTCTGTATGTATGTCTGTATGTCAGTATGTATGTATATGTCTGTATGTCTGTCAGTATTGTGATAAGGTGAATGGGGTGGTCTGTGAGGGAGTTTATATTTCGACTGAATTGTTCAGAGAGGCATATGAACTGGACTGAACCGTAGGGAATCCACTCAGCACTCCAAAAGGTAAGGAGGCTGGGGGGATTAGTTTTTAAAAAAACGTGTGTGTGAGTGTTAGTGTGTGTGTGTGAGTGTTAGTGTGTGTCTTAGTTTTAGTGTGTGTGTTAGTGTGTGTGTTAGAGTGTGTGTTAGTGTGTGTGTGTGTGTGTGTGTGTGTGTCAGTGAGTGTGTCTGTTATTGAGTGGGTGTCTGCTAGTGAGTGTCAGTGAGTGTGTTACTGTGTGTGTCTGTTACTGAGTGTGTCTGTTAGTGAGTATGTTTGATGTCTGTTAGTGCGTGTGTATTTGTCAGTGAGAGTATGTTTTGTAAGTGATGTCTGTCGCTGAGTGTGTCTCTGTCAGTAAATGTGTGTGTCTGTTCGTGAGAGTGTGTGCCTTCAGCACTTACCTTTCTCCAGGCCGGAATCGATTTGCGCTGGGGATCCCTCCACCTCTCAACTCCGAATGCGCATACGCGGCAAGAGCCGCACGCATTCAAACCGCCCATAGGAAAGCATTACTCAATGCTTTCCTATGGACGTTCAGTGTCTTAGAATCACAAAAGCTCCTCTAGCGGCTGTCAATGAGACAGCCACTAGAGGTTGGATTAACCCTCAGTGAAACATAGCAGTTTCTATGAAACTGCTATGTTTTCAGCTGCAGGGTTAAAACTAGAGGGACCTGGCACCCAGACCACTTCAATGAGCTGATGTGATCTGGGTGTCTGTAGTGGTCCTTTAAGTGTGTGTGCATCTGCATGCACTGGAGTACATACCGCGATCGCAGGGGTCGCAGCCCTGCAACCCCTGCGACCAGGTGCCCACTTGCAGAGTAAGCGCGGGTAAGGGGGGGAGGGGAAGAGGGTGGCCCACGGATCATTTTTCGCACCGGAGCCCCATGGGTCATGTGTACGCCACTGGGTCCAGACCAGGGTTTGGAATGTCTCCAACCCACTGCTCAGCTGCAGGTAATCAGCTGCAGCAGTGGGAATAAACCCCTCCCTGCTAGGCAGGTAGGGTAGAATGTTTGTTTCTCTCTGGAAGGCTGGAAGCAGCAGGCTGGCTAAACACTGGAGTGGAGAGAGCTGACAACGACACTAGGTTGGTGAAACCAATATTGTTTTGTTATAGTTTAACCCCTGAGAGATAGGGAATCTGATGTTAGTTAGTGCTCAGACGAGCTAGGTTTTTTTTTATAGGGATTTGTGTTACATTATTGTTTTTTTTTCATCTGCCACTGTCTCTGTAGTGAAGCTCAACAATAAAGTGCCTGGAATTAAGTTACTTTTAAAGACTGTGCATGTTTGTACCCAAAAGGACCATGCTAACTGCAGACAGGGATCACACTATGTATGTATATATGTATACATGTATGTCTGTATGTATTTCTGTATGTATGTCATCATGACTGTATGTCTGCATGTCAGTATGTCTGTATACATGCATGTATGCCATTATAAATGTATGTATGGATGTCAGTGTATGTATATATGTCTGTATGTAATTTTGAATGTATGTATATATGTGTCTGTATGTCCTCATGCATGTGTGTCTGTATGTATGTTAGTATGTGTCTGTCTGTCACTTTGTATGCCTGTGTGTCTGTATATGTGTGTATGTCTCAGTATGTGTGTCAGTATGTATGCCTATATGCATGTATGTCTGTTTCAGCATGTGTGTCTGTTAGTATGTATCTGTGTGTGTGTATCTGTGTCCTTTTGTATCAGTGTTTGTGTCTGTGTGTGTGTGTGTGTGTGTATTCCTGTGGGCGGGATTGGAGGTGGGCCCCAGGGGGCCCAGACCCTGAGCTGAGTTAGAGGCCCCAAAAGCTATAGCATTCGTTATACCATTACATGCAAGACACCATTTGTCATCTATAAAATTTCCTGCTCATGCAGGCTAGCATAAATCGGTAAAACAGATACTCCCTTATGTGAGCATATCCAGGGGCACAGATCGAACATAAGAAAAGCTTATAGGGATGGCTGTACAGACAAGCTGGTGGCCAAGCATTTTTTGGAGTTTGGTCACCCTCTTGCCACACTCAAATTCGTGGCAATAGACCATGCACCACAACATCAACGTGGTGGAGACCGCAGCAAGATGTTGTTAAAGAGACATTTTGGATTCATAAACTAAATACAGTGTCACCTTATGGCCTGAACAGATTAATATCTTATCACTCCTTTATATAAAACTAAGCTACATCAAATCATCTGGTTGAAGATAATTAAAAAAAAAAAAAAAATTCTTTTTGTAAATATTTTTTCTTTTTGTAATTTTTTTGTATTTTTATTTCTTCCAGACAGGTTTTCTTCAGATATTGTTTTTAAAGAGATTTTTTGAGCAAGATCTAGATAAAAGCAACTTTTGCTTTGTGAAGGTGTGTGTGTGTGGGTGTACAAACACTATATTTTTGTGTGCTGTGAGCTTGAAGACCACATCTGTAGCTCATGCATGCTTATAATTTTTAATTCATGATGTTCTACTAAACATACTATATTGGGTTTAATTTTTAGGCACTGCTTCACTTTCTAAAAGCACTACACTTCACTGTGGTACAGCTTTTTCTCTGTAACACCCTTCACCTTAGCACTTTACTCATGTCTAGCGTCTAGCACCTTTCACTTTAATTGGATTTCTGGATGGGCTTGTTATCCAGCCTAGGCACGTATAGCTAGATACACCCTACCTGCTTTGTTTATGTTTCATGTTACTATGGTGCTCTCGGCATCAGCGTGTAACCACAGCAACCAGGTTACGCACAATTTTTTCTATTTCCAGGTATGAGGAGCACGCGCATGCCCACATGGCTCGGTGGGACGCCGACACTCCTACTTCAATCACCTGTGGTGAGTTAATTTCTCTTCTTATGGGCTATATAATACAGTACTCTGTGTCAAATATGTATTGTTAGTTGATCCTGAAGAAAGCCCCGGACGAGGGCTGAAGCATTGATTATTTTATGGAATAACTCTGAATAAAGAAAAACCTAATTTTAATGTTATAAGACTGTGAGTGCAAGCCTATTTTTCATTACGATATATGTGTATGTATATATGTGTGTGTGTGTGTGTGTGTATATGTGTGTGTGTGTGTGTGTATATATATATTAAAAATGCTGTTGGTTTGCCTCTGACTCTTCCCCCAATGTTTGCTTTGCCACTTTTCTGTGCTGTACTAGAGTGCCATGTAAGAGACCTGGCAATTTCAGTTTTTACAGCTATAATTTTTACAAATGGATTTGACAGGGATGTCTCATTTTGGGGCAATATAGTCGTTTGTACAAAATATTCTACAAAGGAATACTATTTGTGGAAATAGACAGTTCAGGGTATCTCATATGGAATATATTATTATACCTAAATGTACTGCCATTTTCGCCAGTTTATGTCAAAGTTTGTGATAATTTTGTTGTCATTGAAATTTAACTGGGCATTTTTCAATATATCAATTTCTCTTATAGGTGCCACTGTGATCAATCCCCCCTAAATTATAGTCAGTAAGCTCTTCTGAAAAAATCAATACCCCCATGTATATGCACCATTGACACTAATTTACAATACAATATAAGATACCTGACATTTCAGTGTTTACAATACATTTTTTAGAGATTAAATTGATGGGCCTATGCTGCATTTTGGGGCATTGCAGCAGTTTGACAGTTCAAATTATCCCATAAATGCATAGCATTTGTGAAAGTAGAGGCCACAGAGTATGTCATATTGTATATTGTGAACCTTATTATACAGCCATTTTAACACCAATTTCTTTCAGAGTTTATGAAATTATTTTATTTTCAAATTTGTTACATGCACATTGCAATTTAGAGGTTTATTTTGTAAACTTTATTTGTGCTACTGTAATAAAAATCACTAAATTGTGCTCAGCTATAAATCTATAAATCCTGAGTACAGAATGACCTAATTCATATACCCTTGTTAAGTTTTTTTTTTGAAAATTCAGAGCTGAATTTAGGTTTTTTTGGGGGGGGGGGGGTTAAATGGCAAATTGAAGATGAGTCTGTGGTGCATTTTTGGGCATTTTTGTAGCTCACACATCTTAATTACTACATAAATGCATACCACTTGCAAAAGTGGACACCATGGGGACTATCACCTGATATATTGTTACCTTTATTGAAGTGCCATTTTTTCACCTTTTTTTTCCCCAACATTTGTGATATTCATTTTCATTTTTCAATTATTAAATACATATTTAAATCTCATGTGTCCCATTGTAATAAAATTATATTAACAATATACAGCAACATCTCCTGAGTACAATCAGGGCCGGATTAACATAGGGGCTGATGGAGCTGCAGCTCCAGGCCCAGGCCCAGGCCCATGGAATAGGCCCATTGATTTAAAAAAAATAAAAATAAAAAAAAATTTCTTTTTTTTTTTTCACACACTACTCTTAGGGATTCCACCTGGCTTTTATTTTATTGCCACAGCCAGTATTTGAGGCTGCCTGGCTAGTGCCAATATTGCAGTGATACTGGCAATACAAATGCTGGTATTTTTCTCAGTATAAACAAGAGATTACTATGCAATACCAGCACTGGCCAGTAGGGGTCGCTGTATGTGGAGACAGGCAGGGATAGGAAGTTCCAGCATATCCCTCCCTGCCTATCTATACTCACTGATCTGCAGGGGTGCAGCTACAGGGAGTCCAGACAGCAACTTCCACCCTGCAGAGACAGCCTACAGCTCAGGGAAGTAAGGGATGGGGGGAAAGGCTGCAAGGAGACATACACTGAGACACTAAGTGTCCCCATGTCTCCCAGCCAGTGTCTCAGTGCCCCCTAGTCTCCCAGTGACCCCTAGTCTCCCAGTGCCCCCAGTCTGCCAGTGTCTCACTGTCCCCATGTCTCCTAGTGCCTCCATGTCTCTCAGTGCCTCAAGTGTCACAATGTCCCTATGTCTCCAAGCTAGTGTCCCTCGTGTCTGTGGCCCTGGTGTCTGTGTCCCCATGTCTTCAAGTGTCCCCTATTTCCCCATTGTCCCCATGTGTCCCAGCCAGAGTCCCTGAGTCTCCCAGTGTCACTGGTGTCTCTGTGTCCCTAGGTCTCCCTGTGTCTCCAGGTCTCCCCGTCTTCCTAGTGTCCTAGTGACATGGGGACCCTGGGATACATGGGGACACAGGGAGACATGGGGCATTGAGACACTGTGATACATAGGAACACTGAGACCTGGAGTAATCGACACATGGGGGCACTGAGTCATGAGGGCACTGGGACACATGGGGCATTGAGACACTGTGATACATAGGAACATTGAGCCCTGGAGTAATCGACACATGGGGGCACTGAGTCATGAGGGCACTGGGAGACATGGGGGCACTGGGAGGAATCCTTCTATACAGCAGAATCAAACTAAGTAGTTTTTTGGTGATTTTACAGAATTTTCTCTTATGTCAGTCCTTCTGATTTACATCATGTGATGTCACCCATACATATTTAATTATGCAAATTGATAAGGCCGGTATGTTTTTCCAAGAAAGGTGGCAACCCTAACTACTTTTCACATACTCTTACTTAAGTATGGAAACTTAAGAGGGATGTATGGGAACAAAACTTGTGTGGACTGGCTGACAATGAATATAGTTAAAGGGACATTATAGTCACCAGAACAACTACAGCTTATTGAATTTGTTCTGGTGAGTAGAATGTATGTGTATGTGGTGAGTAGAATCATTACCGTCAGGCTTTTTGCTGTAAACACTGTCTTTTCAGAGAAAATGCAGTCTTTACATTACAGCCTAGTGATAACTTCACTGGCAACTCCTTAGATGGCTGTTAGAGATCCTTCCTGGGTCATGGCTGCCTAACATGCATCCAAACATTCAGTGTCTACTCCCTCTGCATGCAGACACTGAACTTATCTCATAGAGATTCATTAATTCAATTCATCTCTATAAGGAGATGCTGACTGGCCAGGGCTGTGTTTGAATCATGCTGGCTCTGACCCTGATCTGCCTCTTTGTCAGTCTCAGCCAATCCTATGGGGAAGCACTGTGATTGGATCAGGCCACCACTTCTAATGATGTCAGCAGACTGCTTGTTTTTATGAGTCTAACAGCATGCAGAGTTACAGCTTCAGGCTTGAATATAGTAAGATTTTGCTATATTTATGGAGGCATGAGGGGCCCAGGGGGGCTAGATGGTGGTGTTAACACTATAGGGTCATGAATTCATGTTTGTGTTCCTGACCCTATAGTGATCCTTTAAGGTAATGCTGACTTTGGTCTCTCTAACACTGTGGCATGTTCCCTTTCTTCTACACTCACTACATACAGCTTTTCTCTGTCCCAGACTATATACCAGGAGCTTCTGCCTGCTAGTAAGAAGGTAAGAAGACAAGTGGACCAGCGAGTGCTAGGGAACAGTCCTTAGAAAGCGTTGAGTGAGCGCATAATTAGATGCATTTATGCCAAGCTCAGGGTGCTGTCTGCATAGTATGCCCTTAGTTGGCCAGCTGCATGATTGGCAGGCAGCCTGACATGCATTCATGTCAGGCTGGCCTTCTAATTCTTTGAGCAGACATGTCCTCTTTTTGGGCATGTTCGCCCCTTTTGGCAGGTTACGTGATTTGTGTCAGTGGCACACTCTTTTACCGTGCCCATTGACTTCCTGCTTGACTGGACACTGCTGTTAGGGGTTATGGATTTACTTGAAAGATGAAAATATAAATTAGAGCGAGATTAACCTAGGGTATGTGTTTTCTTATAGCTGCTGTTTTCTTTCTCTCCAGCACCATCTCCATCAAATACATGATGCTTGGGAGTGTTTTATTGTTTTTGGTTGATATGATTCTGTAATTAGGCCCGTCATAATTGTCAGCACCAGGCCCACTGGGCTCTTAATCTGGCCCTGAGTACAATAATATCCCATATGTATATGTTTGCAAAGTAGTCTTAATCCCAAACTAAATCCTTCATCCTAAACTAAACTCTAATTCTAAACCAAATTATAATTCAAAATCTATCCCCAAATCTAATAATACCCCTCAACCTTAATCCTAACCCATACCTTATCCTATAAATAGTGTTAGAAGCTGTAATGGATCCCCTATACTCCGGCTGAGTGTGTCCATGAAGAATCTCCTGAAATCCAAGCATAGAAGAAGTTGTAGTGATTATAACTCCCAATCCCCTAAACATGAGCCAAGACTTCACGAAGAGGTAAAGCATTCTGTTTAATGGAAGCCACAGCTGGCCTTTTATGCAGGTCCCCATGCAAGAGGCACTCCCCCCTGGACCTAAGTGGGGACAGTAACACAAACCAATCACCCAATGACAATGACACCCAGGTCCAGAACACTCCCACATATACAGTATAATCCCTACTCTGTACCTGAGAGATAATTGGGTTAAGTTGATGTCTTAAACTCAATTATCTCTAGGTACAGAAAATATTCACTCTTTTATAAATTCACAAAAAACATTTTAAAATACATATAGTCATGTTTCATACAACCAAACCCCCATAGTCTACACATCCCAGATTGCTTGGATCTGAGCGCACTACATATCAGAAAAGCATTCAGATCCCACGAACATAGTCAAATCGCCACTGGGGTGAAGAATGGACCGACCGCTCTGCAGATGTGTGCCCAGAAATAGTTCCATAGTTTCAGGGATAGTGGTCAGTCTAGTTCGAGAGTATTCATACAAAATAAAAAGGGAACCAATCCAAAAGGAGAACAGGTTCCCTGGCTCATAGTGTGGGTTTGTTCGGGAAATCCCGTCAAACAATCTGTTGAATAACGCTCTCCTGGCTTGCCGCGAAAAGAAGCAGGCGTTAATACACTTTCACCGGTGTTCGGGCTGTCGATTGGCCACCTCAGAGAGAGCACTGTATTCCTGTGGTCTTTTTGAACTTAATGAGCCAGGGGGTGGTCGGTGTTCAGAACTTATTCTCTTCGGATGAATGGGTAACAAAATAGTAACAAAATGCCCGAACGGTGTAGGAGAATTCCTCTGGGGAAGGCAAAATAGGAATTTTGCCACAGAAGCATTCTCTGCTAATGTCCACATAGGGATTGCATTATGGGTCCTAATCCTAATCCAAACCCAATTTCTGAAACTTAATCCCAAACCTACAATTAATTCTAAAACCATTTTAAATCTAAACCTAATATTAAACCCTATACTTAATCTACACCTAATCTTAATCCTTAATTTAATCTTAATCCCAAAGGTTTCCCCCTGCTAATATTAGTAATGATGCAAAGGGAATGCTAAGCTAAAACAGAGTTATTTTCAATATGACAGCTTCATATATATTGCACTGGAAATGGTATATCCAATGTATTGCGCTCTGTCCTGGGCAATTGACAAAGCCCACTATTAATCAGAATGGCATTGGGGCATGGAGGGAGATTGTCAGTTTTTGAATTTCATGTGTTGGAAGCAGGACAAATTGGAAAAGATCTAATAGATTTAGACAATTAGTGAAAGCTAGACACTAGTTAAAAGCATTACCAAAAAGGTAATTATTGTTGATGCTCTTGGGATGCAATGGTTAGTACCTACCAAAAGTAGTGCAAGGAAGGACAACCAGTGAATTGGTATTCGGGTTATAGGCACCCAAGGCTCATTGATGTCTATGGGGGAGTGAGTCCATGTCTCAACACATCAGAGCTGTTTTAGTAACAAGAGGGGGACCTACATGATATTAGGCAGGTGGTTTTGAAGTAGTGTCTGGTCAGGGTATAGCTCATGTAGACTAAATCGCAATGCACCTATAGAAAAACCAGAGCACATTGTTTCACGGCTATGATGACAAAGCAGAATGAATTACCATTTATACCATAATGGCTTATATTTTTTGCATCAGAAAAGGCGCAAAGAGATCCCTCATCTCGTTATCCTAGTAAAAAGCCGATTGTAAACATAGGGAGTTGCAAAAAACTACAGCAAAAAACTGCAGTGATACATGCTATAGGTGGAAGTTTTGCTTCATATAACACTGACCGCAGTCCACTCTTTCAAATACTTGGGTATGATGTTAGACCCCAATCTATCTTTTGGCCTGCACATAGAAAAGCTTGCATCTAAACTTTATCCAAAACTAGGTGCCCTGTACAGAAACAAAGCCTACCTAAGTCCTACAGTAAAGGAAAAGATTGTACTGCAAATGCTGATGCCAATCATTGATTATGGGGATGTAGTATATGCATCTGCATCGCAATCCCACATTAATAAAGTCAACACATTGTATAACTCGTTCTGCCGATTTGTGCTACAATATAATTACAGGACTCACCATTGTGACATGCTAAAAAAACTAAACTGGCTGTCGCTGGAATCCAGACGCACCCTTCATCTTTCCAGCCTTGTGTTTTCTGGGACACTCCCACCCTACCTGAACACAATGCTTTCCTCAGCTGTTCCCACTTCCTATAACCTCCGATCCAGTACCAACACTTTACTTTAGTCTACCTCAATACAAAAAAAAAGCAGCCCGATCCTCCTTCTCCTACAGAGCACCGCAATTGTGGAACGACCTCCCGCACAATTTAAAATCTTCCCTAAGCCTAAAGTCCTTTAAGAGATCCCTCTCTACATACCTCAAAACAGAATGCACCTGTCATGGTTGATTATATATTTCCTGCCTGTTCTATGTTAAACTTTGTATTTATTGTGTATTAATATTGTTTTTTGTATTTTATTGTACCATAATTGTAACAATGCAATGATTTGTGGACCCAGGACATGTACCTTTCCTGGTAAAATATTTTATAAATAATAAATAAATAAATAAATATACTCTGTGCAACGTCTTGTCTCAGTTCCGCATATATAACCTTTAGATTGTAAGCTCATGGGCCTTCTTGCTAATCACTATCACTATCATGTACTTATATGTCTTTGTTGTATTGTCTGCATTCCATCATTTGTTGTAACACTACAGAATATTTATCACTAAATAAGCAGGTTTAGAACTAACAGTAAGGAGACTGGTACACTTTCTTGTCAATGATCTCAGTATTATAGTATTAGTGGGTTGGTAGTGCATTCTAGCTGGGACTTGGTAGAAGAATAAGGAGCTTACTCCTGTAACCGGGAGTATAACATAAATAGTATGAGCTTTGGTAAGCTCTTCGTAGCTAGAAGAGAATCCTAATAGAAAAGGCAGGGCCAGACCCTTCCTAAAGTGGTCAAATCAGCTCAGTGTTCTTCAAAGGGAAACCCATATTTAGAGCCCTGCGGCCCTCCTAAAGTATTATTGTATCGATTAAATACCCTGTTTTTGAATAGTGCAAAGCAAGCTAATTGAAAAGACGTCGTCAAACTTTCACTTCAGGTTTTTTTTGTTTTTGTTTTTAAATATTTTGCTATGTTTAATTAACGTAATGATTTATTTATTTTTAATTATGCCTTTTTACTTTTCTTGAGAAATTCATTTATTTCTGCCTAAGCAGCTGTGTTGGGTCACATTCTAAATGTAATCTGACCCATTGTTGCTTAAACTAACTTGCTGTTGTGGTATTTGGTGCCCCATAATTTTTAATATTAAAAGAAAACAATATGGATGCTGGTAGACTGGCCTGGACATTTCGTAATGCTGTTTCAACACAGGTCAAAGGAACTTTGTATTTTGTAACCTTAAGAAGTAAACAGGAGGAATACTTATCTACAGTTTAATTTGTGAGCTATCTGTGTACAAGGGTAACAAGAACAATGGTTTATTACTCAATGGGACTTTACAATCCGAGATACTTAAACTATGCAATTGTTTGTGTATAAACATCACAGGCAATGGGTGGCGGGGCTGACGGCTGAAGTGAGCGGCCGCATGGCGTGAGAGCTCCCGGCGGCACAAGACCTCTAAGCCTGATAACACAAAGCGAACCGCTCGAAAAACAAATCAAAAGAAGGTACATTACCTCTAACACTGCTGTGATGGCCCCTGCCAAACAAATGAAGATCACAGATCCCATCCGCCAGCAAAAAAAAGATAGAACGCGGTCCACCCAAGATGGCGGCGACGGACCTGCGCTATCCCAAGCCTCAGACTCCATACATGAGCAAGACAATGAGGCAGGCAACTACACAGATGCCCCGGTCACAGAGAGAAAGCTTTTCTCCATGCTGCAGGACTTCAGGTTAACACTGCAAAAAGACCTGAGACAAGCTACAAGTGCCATCAAAAAAGAAATCTCAGAATTGGGGGAGAGAACAAACAGCCTGGAGGCCAGACAAGACGAGCTGTGCTCGGCACATGACACGCTGGCGACAGCTGTACAGAACATAACTGAAGAACAAATGTCCCTTAAAATGAAAATGGCCGAGATGGAAGATCGTTCAAGGTGAAACAACGCCAGGTTCCGAGGAATTTCGAGTAGGGGACAAGAGTTTGTAACGGTCACAAAGACATTAAGGAACAACAACATTCAATACCGCTGGGGATACCCGACCAAGATCATTGTCTGGAGGAACGGAAGAACACATATAGCAAACGAACCAGAGGTGGGCATGCGGCTCCTAAAGGAATGGGGCCCTTTTCCAATAAGATCCCCAGAAAAAACGCCACCAGAATCGCCAAAACGCCCGCAGAGAGAATGGCAGATGGCGGGGTCACCCACCCTATCTTAAGAACACAATGGGCCCTCTCAACAAGGACTGTAGTATTGTCTTAAAGTGACTGTCCTGTTGCTACTTACAAACTGAACTGACAAAGTGTTGTGAGTATAATGCATATGCACACATGTATAGAACTATAACAATACAATTTTAGCAGTACACACTCGAGACAGAGTCAGGTTGAGAGGAAAAAAAACCAAAGGTTTTCAGAGATGGGCACAACGGGAGCCGGGGAACATAAGAGCAAAGGAAGGCCCTAGACATCCAAAATACTGGATAGGTGGGTTAAAGCGGCAGTATGCAAACAAAAAGAAAAATTCATAGACAAAGGTTACACTCTTATCTACCCAAAGGGCCAGTTATGATAGCAACCGTTCCACAGGGGCAGAACACTTATGAGAAAAGGGCGGCACACCTAGATCCGATAGAGGTCGTAGTAGCCGTGCTCTCTCCGTCAGACGAACCCCTAGGACTTGAGAGCAGAGACGGGACAGTTTGCCCGGCTCGCACTCAATTCAGGTAAAGCGCTGAAAAAACAAATGGCGCTATGTATATACTTAATTTTGTTACACCCCCCCGTTTTGTTACCTCTCACTTTTCCTACCCCTGGGCAACACCAACAACATATGCTAAACATAACTACTCTAACTCGTACGCACCACAAATGCATCCTAAAAAGGGTTTAGAATGGCTAATGTAATGAAAATCTTAACCTTGAATGTGAAAGGCCTTAACAGCCCCCATAAGCGCAGAATGGCGGCGCAGGAAATGGTCAAGCAGCAATAGTGTGTTTGCAGGAAACACACTTTTGCATCCGGAACCCACCGAAATTCAATGTCAAACATTATAATCAATGGTACCACGCCTTAGCTCCGACCAAATCCAAGGGAGTAGCCTTATATTTCCACAGCGATTGGGCGTTCGCCCTCTCCAAACAATACGCCAGACGAGATGGGAGGTTACTGATTTTGGTGGGTTCACTGAATGGACTGAAAATGACAATAGTCTCATTATATGCCCCGAATGACACGCAGAAAGCCTTTTTAAACATGGCCTTCCGCACAATAGCACAACATAGAGAAGGTCACACCATCATCTGCGGGGACTTTAACTGCACTCCCGACCCCTCCCTAGACATTAGACGGGTAAACAATGAATCGCCAAAGCCAGCCTCCTTGGCCCTAGGCCAACATCTCAGCACCCTTATGCACGAACACGATTACTATGACACGTGGAGGAACTTATACCCGCAAGAGAGAGATTTCACTTATTACTCGCCCGTTCATATGACATACACCAGAATATATCTATGTCTTCTTGACATTAAAACACTACCATTTGAGCTAAGTGTACACATTGGACCAATCACGTGGTCTGATCACGCTCCACAAATTGTAACAATAAAGATCCCGTACTCGGCTAGGGGATGAGGCACATGGCGTCTCAACGAGCGCCTTCTCGACACTCCTGGAAACCTTATCCAAGTACAAGCCCAGGCACAGGCTTACTTCGAGAACCACGCAAATTGCCAGACGTCGATAACAACCCAATGGGTAGCCCACAAGACAGTCTTAAGGGGCGGCATTATTCAACTAGGGGCGAGGGCAAAAAAGCAACACAATACTGAAAAAACACAACTAGAACGAGATCTAATTGCACACGAAGAGGCACACAAATGAAAACCCACAAGCAGCACACACGAAAAAGTAACAGACACCAGAGCAAAACTTAAAGCACTTCAGTTAATAGAAACTGAAAAGAGGATGCGGTTCCTCAAACAATCATGCTACATCATGGGCAATAAGGCGGGGAAGCTCCTGGCTAGAGGTTCACCAAACTAAACTACAAACAAAAATACCCTATATCACCTCGGAACGAGGAGTAAAATTATACAATCCCCAGGATATAGTCAACGAATTAGCAAGGTATTATGAATCCCTCTATCAATTAGACAGAGACCATAGTACATATCAGCCAAATGAATCGGAGATAGAGCGCTTCATTGAACAAGTTGACCTACCATGTCTGTCTCACGCACAATGCTCCTCTTTCGAAGAACCCTTCTCAGAGGATAAAATAGCGGAAGCCATCAAGACCCTAACCAAACACAAAGCCCCTGGCCCAGATGGCTTATCTAACTATTATTACATAAAACTATCCCCACAATCCCCACAATCCCCACTTACTAGACTCTTCAACAACATAAAAGAATCAGGGATAATGCCCAAGGAAATGCTGGAAGCCTTCATTGTAACACTGCCCAAACCAAACAAACCTCCCACCCAATGCGCCAACCTACGCCCGATTTCCCTACTGATCGCCGACACAAAACTGTATGCCAAACTGATAGCAACGAGACTCAAAACAATACTCCCGGAACTCATTTCCACAGAACAAGCGGGTTTCGTACCAGGGAGACAGGTGGGGGACAACACACAACACTTTTTGAATCTAATAGACTGGGCAAATCTAACGTCTCAGTCTGGCCTGATTTTGGCGCTGTACGCCGAAAAGGCTTTTGATCGCCTCCACTGGGACTACATGTCACTGACACTAACCAGAATGGGTTTCACCCCAAAAATCCTGGCAAGCATCCTTGCCCTATACCTACACCCAACTGCCAGATTGTTCAGCACAGGCTTCATATCCAACCAAATAGAGATAAGGAATGGCACAAGGCAGGCCCCCTCTCGCCCCTCATTTTCATACTGAGCCTAGAACCCTTGATTCGCCTCATTAAACATGACTCGGCGATACAGGGACTCCACACACCAGGGGGCACACAGAAGCTGGCACTATTCGCGGACGATGTTTTAGTGTTTATAACGCACCCAGAATCCTCCCTACCACAACTTCTACACAGACTCGACACATATAGGCAGGTATCTTACTACAGAAACAACACAATGAAGACACAAGCACTGTCCATTAATTTGCCGAGGGCTACCGTCATGTCATTAAAAATACAACACTCCTTTGATTGGCGCAAAACCTCTCTACAATACCTAGGGATCAAACTCATGAAAAATACCCAAACCATTATACGGGAAAACCATCACCCAGTCATTCAAAAACTTAAACTCACACTCGAGAAGTGGGAGGGGCTTGAGGTGTCCTGGTTAGGCCATATCAATCTTGTGAAAATGATGGCACTGCCGCACATATTGTACCTGTTCCGAACCCTGCCCATCGCGCTACAAACAACAAACTACTAAAACTCTATCAAAGCACCATAAATGCACATGTGTGGAAGCGGAAGCCCCCGAGAGTGGCAAAGAGTACCCTAGGACTCCCAAGCACAGGTGGGGGACTGAACATGCCAGATATTAAGGCTTACTACAAGGCGTCTGCACTGGCACAGGGACTTCGACTATTGCGCCCCACACACACACTCCAAAGCCCCATATGGTTAGCAATGGAGAGTGCCTGTCTAAATACCCACGATTTGTCAAGTTATCTATGGGCGGGGGGGCAAACACAAGTGGCGGAGGGAAAACAGCTGCAGAGCTCAAAATTCTTACTGATGGCCTGGAATAACTGGAGCCCACAAATTGTAGACCCCAAAATGCTCTTCCAATCAGCACCCCTGACATTAGAAATACTCTCCCCTGACCTGAAGATGAATCGATGGAGGGAGGGGGGTGCAAATAGGGTCCAAGACATCTTAGAAGGGGACAAGGTTAAGCTATTCCCAGATCTGCAAAGGGATCTACGTTTGCCAGCGAGGGATATCTTCCTATACCTCCGAGTAAAAAATATAGTACACTCGCACATCCGCAAACTTACCAGCCACCCCTTCACACCCCACTTAACAATGGCACAGGTACTCTCCAACAGGCACATAAAGCCATTGTCAGCATGCTACAAAACACTGATCACCGCGACAGCACCTGATAAGCTGTCATACATGACACAGTGGGAAGGGGAACTGGGACTCCAGATCCCCACGACAGACTGGCTGACAGCACTGAAAATCACGAAACGGGCTTCGCAAAGCATTGCGATCTGAGAAGCCTACTGCAAGGTTTTAATGCCGTGGTATCTGGTACCACAAAGACTAGCACACATGTACCCGGGCACGTCCGGGAAATGCTGGAGGTGCAACATAAGCGAGGGAACCATACTTCACATCTTCTGGGCTTGCCCCCTACTAACAGACTACTGGGAAAAGGTTCACTCCCTCATACTAGGTAGGACAGGGTTCACCCTGCCCATGAAGCCAAAACACTACATTCTTCACATTGCACCCGGTATTGCCTCTCAACCACACAGAAAAGTAATCCTTAACATACTCACGGTAGCGAAAATAATGTTGGCCGGCAGCTGGAAGAGCAATCAAACCCCAGCTGCAGTCACTATAAATAACAGAATGGACACGATTAGTCAATATGAAAAAATGGCAAGTAGAGTAAACGGCTGTAGTGAGAGATATGACACAGAATGGAGCAGCTGGCCGGCTGAGAGTTTAAAGGCTGAATAGGGGCAACAGGGTCACACACAGGGTCACATCCAACAAACCATTATAAAATGCAATACGTGTTGTCTAGGGCACCCCCTTACCCCTACCTTTTCCTTCTGTAACCCATCCCCCATCCCCTAGTTAAAGGTTATATAACAAAAGCAATGCAGATAGCGCAACAGATGTGCAGCACAAGTAGCTGTCCCTACCCACACCGAAATGACACGAAACACGAGCGAGGGATGAGTCACATCACACGATACAAGGGCTCCTCAGGGCGGAAAGACCAAGATCATACATTCCTGGCAGCTGACAAAAAGACTCCAGGCTTACACAAGGAATATGTGGGGCTAATCTTTGGAATGGGGAATCAACAGCTGCGCCTGTGATTGAAATGGCATGTCAAAAATGCACTGCGCTGCAAAATGTCTGATCATTTGTTTTGCATCAATAAAAAAGATAAATGAGAAAAAACATCACAGGCAATCCAGAGTGTTTGTCAGCCATACGAACCCAAAGTCTAAGGTCGCTTCCATGTTTTCAGGATATTAGAACTTAAATGAATCTATTGGAATCATGCATGATATATAAATGTAAACTAAATGTATGATTGCTACAGTAATGTCTATAACTGCATCCTTGACTGATTTAGGGGTAAAAGGTAATATAGATATACTAATATAATTAGATTCCATTTTTCTTTAAGATGAATGTATCAATCAGTTAATCATACAGGTTAGATTGATACAGGATATAGACATGTTGCATTATAATTAATATAACCAACCCTGTTTTAATTAAAGAATATATATAACCCAAGACAGATATTTAACGTAATTTGAAATATCCCCAGTATAGGTGAATTAAAGGTCAATTTATTTAACCAGGTTATCGATGATCTAGTTCAGGTCTTCATACCTAGGGAAATAGTGCCATCTATTGATGAAGTCCCTAAGGGCCACATTAATAATTAAATATTAAGATACGCCCATAACCAATCAAAAGCTAGATTTAAGTCCCAGGTACCGTCCATTTACAAACAAGGGGCAGGAACTGATAAGGGGGAAATAATGGTTAAATAGTGAGAAAAATAAGAGAGGATCAATATCTTCATATCATCTTAAAAAAAGATCAAAGGAGAAAACAGAGGGCTAAGAAAGGAGGAGATTGACTGACTAAAGGCAATAGACTGAATTATAGACCAGAGCACCCAGAGAGAAGAATCCCAAATTGAATTAATTCATCCTAGACTCTTGGTAATGTATAAAGGTTTCTCTTTACTTTATCTTAAATAAACTGGACTATTGAATGCCCTATGTGTCTATATAATGAACTGATCCCTATTGATAGAACAGTTATATCTCATTCTACCTGCAGCCTGAGTCAGATATAACTTCTTAAGTTGGAACATTCTTGATTCCTTCTTTAGACGTAGATCATTTCAATATATATATATATATATATATATATATATATACACACTAAGGCTATCAGAAACCTTATATAAACGTACTGTAGTTAAACTGATGGTATATACTTGGCAGGGTTGGTTGGTATTTAACTAATTAATATAATGACAATTGTATCATTAATGCAAGGGGTGTCATATGATTAATTCTGTATACTGGTATTGCTGTGAAGTTTGTAATAGATTTTATTGTCCTTTGTTGATAAGATTATAGATGAGACAAAGTGTAATGTTGACTCTTAGGCTTGTCAAGTAAATTTATTGACTTGTTGATGGAAACTCATATATAATATAGCAAATTGATTGTAATTGTATTGTTTTGTTGCTTTGCATTTTATAGTGTGTATTATTAAATTTATATATATTTTAAACAAAGTCTGTTTATTGGGCATCTGCCGTTCATAAGTGTTTATATCACCGCTTAAAACAAAGAACTACAGGGTCCCTGAAGGCTCAATGTGTGTGTGAATATCATCAGATATTATTCAATCTATATTCCATACATATAAAACCTTAGATTACCCAACTGCTGTTGGTTCACACAGAGCATTTACAGCAGAAGGCAAGTTAGGTTTAGAAGCAGTTGGTCAGATGACAGTAGCCTGAACCAGCATAACTGGTCAGCCAGGGACAAAAAGTGAATTTTCTCAAAGAATCTGTATACATCAATAAACAAGTATAATTAAAAGAGCAAATAAATATGCCTAACCCTACAGTGTTAAAATCACTATTTAGCCCCCCAGATTCTCTCTTGCTCCTTTAAATATAGTACAAGCTCACCTTATTACCAGCATTGGATTTGCTGAGATTGTCAATTCTGATGCAGAGCGTAGAGACGCTGAACATCAGTGCAGCACACAGTGCAGCCCTGACCCAGGAAGCTCCTCTAGTGGCCGTCTTAGGCTGTAATGTAAGTGTTTACAGCAAAAAGTCTGCAAGGACAGGCTATAGACACCAAAACAACTACAATAAGCTGGTGACTATAGGGTCGCTTTAAATTTAATAAACTTTTTAAAAACAATAAGTAAAGTTTTAAGGATTTGATGGTGGGACAACAGAGAACAAAGGTGGGAGAATAAGGAACCGTTGGCTTTACAGGGACAACAAAAAATACTATGTTTATGTTTTTTATTATTATCATTGCGTTATTTCATTATAACAGTTATGGAAATTGTAAAAAGTCCCTTACTTTTTCAAAGCTATAACTGATTGGGTTTTCCACTTTGGCATGCCAATACAGACTACATTCAAATATGATGTCATCTTCCTCCTCGACTTCTATATAGCGTGCTATAGTAAGAAGAAGAATGCTGTATTAAATGTATTTTTTTTTTAAATATGAAAAACACAGAAGTGGAGCGCTCCAAACTTAGGAGCTTCCACTCTCTAATGACAAAAATATATCAATAATTGTCAAATTCCAATCCAACACACAACTCAATCTGAACAGAAGGCGGGAGACAAGGGAAGGCAAAAGTACCAATCACACGTAAATGTTTAAAGTTTTATTTATAAAATAACAGAAGAAAAGAAATGAAAACTTAAAGGAACACTATAGGGTCAGGAACACCAACATGTTTTCCTGACCCAAAAGTGTTAAAACCACCATTTAGGTGGCTTGCCCCATTCCCCCTTCCCCCCTAGTCCCTTAATAAAACTTACTTTATTTAGGTGGCCCTGCCCCTGGTAAACCTCCTTGCTGACATGATCAGAATGTATGATTTCAGCCATGGCCGAGATCGGCAAGTTGGCAAGACGGGGGCAGGGCCAAACACTGACTTGGCCCATCAGCACCTCTTCATAGAGATGCATGGAATCAATGCATCTCTATGAGGAATGTTTAGCGTTTCAATGCAGAGCGTGTATGGCAGTAATGCACACTATGCAGCACTGCCCCAGGAAGCACCTCTAGTAGCCATTTGAGCAGTGGCCATTGGAGGTATCCCTAGGGGACAATGTAAACATGAAAATGCCTGCAGGGAAGGCTTATACTTACCAGAACAACTACATTGAGCTGTAGTAGTTCTGGTGACTATAGTGTCCCTTTAATCATAAGCCAGCCTATATTAAAAAATTCTACCTAGCAGAATTCTGCCTAGCAAAAGCAATTCAGTGTAACACTGTTACACTGAATTGCTTTTGCTAGGTATAATGTTAATTTGAATGTATCCCTAGACTATACGTTTTCCAAAATACAGGGAGATTATGTTTTCAGTTATATAAATCACAGTTCAGTTAACCTGACAGTTTTACTCTATAAAGGAAAAGAGGAAATTATATTTGCTTGTCTTAAAGGGATACTAAAGGCATCAAAACAACTTTAGTTTAGTAAAGTAGTTTGGGTGGATAGCCCTATGCAAATAATGTGTATTTATTTATTTTTTTGTCTGGCTGAACAACCAAGTTGGTTATCTGACCAACTGCTGATATATTAAAGTTGTCGGGAGCAGGTATTTCCTGACAATTGTCCTTTACGGGTTTATAATACTTAAATGTGATTCGATGTGTTAATGTTTCCATGTGTGATTGTGTTTTTGGAAACATTATTAAATGGTAGGCTGTATATGAGTGGCATATGTAATAAATTAACATTGATTCTTCCATACATCAAACATCATCACTTAGCACAGCCTCAGTATCATTTTCAGTTTAAAACCCTTAAGATAAGTGTTAGAAACATACTTCCGCATGTTTTAATATCCATCATGCAGTCATTCAAGCCTTCACAATATGTACAGGGTTCATGATACAGTAAATCTAGAAGAAAGAAAAAATATATATTTGTAATAGTTTCTAGTTTACATTGCAGGTTTGAATTGGCATAGCTATTGTGAATTATACTCTGCCTTAGCAATATCTCTTGCACGGGTTGGATTCATGGATGCCTGGGAAACCTGACTCAGTATCAAACCGATCAAAAATGTACAGTTACATGTTGGATGGTGCCAGGCAACTCCATAATTGTAGCCACTTCAATGAGATGAAGTGCTTACAATGCCTAGTGTGTACGTTTAAGGTAATTTACTCAATACTATATATATATATGATATATGTGTGTGTGTGTATATATATATATATATATATATAGTGCCAAAATACCAGAGTATTGCAGTATGCAATTATACCTTTTTTATTGGACTAACATAATACTTAAAGGATCACTATAGTGTCAGGAAAACAAAGCGGTTTTCCTGACACTATATAATCCTTGGGGGACCCTCACCCTCAGGGTCCCCCTCCCGTGGCACTGAAGGGGTGAAAACCCCTTCAGCAGCTTACCTTTATCCAGCGCTGGGCTCCCTCGCCACTGGTGACCTCTCCTCCTCCATCGACGTCAGCTCCCGAGTGGAGCAGAATGCGCATGCGCGTCAAGTGCCGCGCACACAATTTAAACAGTCCATAGGAAAGCATTTCCTATGGACGCTCTGCGCAATGGATGCAGCATCGCAGATGCTCCTCTAGCGGCTGTCAGGAAGACAGCCACTAGAGGTTGAATTAACCCCTACTGTAAACATAGCAGTTTATTATCCTCACAAGCTATCAGCTGCTGCAGTTATACCATTAACTCTCTCTGCCATCACATACAAATTCCTCTGCTACCTTGTCTCATCTCCCCAGTTTAACCTTTGGATTGTAAGCTTAGGGCAGTGCCCTCTAATTGTTGTATCGGTCTGTTCTTATTGTATTGTCTTTTTCCCAATTATACAGCGCTGCTAAATATGTTGGCGCTTTATAAATACCAGTAATAAATAAATAAACATTTAAAACAACTGATGTTAGACACACATCTTCATGTCTTATATAGTTCTCTTTCAATACTCCTGTTTCACGTTTATTTGATCTATATATATATATAGCTATATATTGGTATGCCCTGCTCTGCTGTTTTGCTTTTTTGTTTTTTTCTTTTTAACTAGCTTATTCACTCTCCTCTGTTTATTTACTTTTTCTTGCTATTCTCCAATCTGCACCTTTCACTTTCAGGCACACCTGCTATCTATGACAACCCCCAGGGACGGATTAAGAGCCTATTGGGCCTGGTGCTGACAATTTTGATGGGTCTAATTACAGAATCTTATCGACAGACAACACTAAAATAGTCATACCTCTCAAGCGTCTTATATCTGGTGGAGGTGGCGCTTGAGGAAAACTCACACGATATAACTATCAGAAAACACATACCCTATGCTAATCTTTCGCTTTCATCTTCCAAGTAAATCCATACCCTCTAACAGCAGTGTCCGGTGAAGCAGGATTTCTGTGGGCGGGGTAAAAGAGTAGGTCACCAGAACCGCTAAAAGGAACAAACATGCCCAAAAAGGGGGCATATCTGCAAGAAGAATAGAATGGTCAGCCTGGCATGAATGCACGTCAGGCTGCCTGCCAATCATGCAGGATGGCCAACCAAGGGCATACTGTGTAGACAGCACCCTGAGCTTGGCATAAATGCATCTAATGATGCGCTAGCTCTACGCTTTCTAAGGACTGTCCCATAGCACTCTCTGGTCCACTCATCTCCTTACCTTCTTACTAGCAGGCGGAAGCTCCTGTTATACAGTCTAGGACAGAGAAAAGGTGTTGGAGGAAAACTCACCTGATATAACTATCAGAAAACACATACCCTATGCTAATCTTTCGCTTTCATCTATCAAGTAAATCTATACCCCCTAACAGCAGTGTCGGGTGAAGCAGGATTTCTGTGAGTGGGATAAAAGGGTGGGCCATGACATGATTCATGTAACCAGAACTGCCCAAAGGGACAAACAATGCCCAAAAAGGGGGCGTGTCTGCACGAAGAATTAGATGGTCAGCCTGCCGTGAATGCACGTCAGGTTGCCTGCCAATCATGCAGGATGACCAACCAAGGGCATACTGTGCAGACAGCACCCTGAGCTTGGCATAAATGCATTTAATGATGCGCTAGATCCATGCTTTCTAAGGACTGTCCTATGGCACTCACTGGTACATTCCTCTCCTAACCTTCTTACTAACAGGCAGAGGCTCCTGTTATACAGTCTGTGACAGAGAAAAGGTGTATGTAGTGAGTGTAGAAGAAAGGGAACATGCCACAGTGTTACAGAAACTTTAGCAGCAAGAGCATTTGCATAGAGTGCAGTCAGGATAATACTTACCAGAACAACTACATTGAGCTGTAGTAGTTCTGGTGACTATAGTGTCCCTTTAATCATAAGCCAGTCTATATTAAAATTCTACCTAGCAGAATTCTGCAATAAGAATAAGTGACTGTCTGCCTGTAAATGTGTGTGGGTGTGTGTGTGTGAGACATTGTCAGCCAGTCCACACCAGTTTTGTTCCCCTACATCCCTCTTAAGTTTACATACTTAAGCAAAAGCATGTGAAGAGTAGTATAGATAGATAGACAGATAGATACAGCAGAAAGAATCGCACACGAGGGACTTTGTTAAAAATTGAAATAAGACTTAACTTTTTTTTAATCCATTAAAATGATGTCAGCGTTTCACCTTCCACATGGAGCTTTCATCAGGACAGCAACAACAGCAGAATAAGGGAAGTGTCAGGTGCCTCAGATGTATCACCTGTGGGCACATGACTCGAGGACACACCTTCAACCATCCTCTCACAGGCAAGAAATATAATATCAGATACCGGATAACATGTAAAACCATTTTTTGTAATTTATAAGCTTACCTGGCACGCAGGGTGGATCCTGTTTGGCACCCCCCTAACCTCCTCCCACTTTAAAATGTAGAAAACACCCGCAATATGTTTAATGTTTTCATTTTTTAAAATTGCACAAATGTGTACATTTTGATAAAACCCTGTTCTGCCCCTTCTACAAAACCTCTCTCTTGCCCGCCGTTCTACAAAACGCACACACACACACACACACACACACACAGTTACAGGCAGTCACACATCCACACAGTTACAGGAAGACCGTCACACACACACACACACAGTTACAGGTAGACAGTCTCACACACACACACCACTCACTAGGGGGATGCCATGACCAGGGAGGCATTAGGATGTGTGAACTGTGCGGCAGGGACCGTACACAAGACCACCTCTGAGGTGTCAGTCACTGTGTTATTGGGGCGTTTTTTACAGCTCACTCACGCAGGGACAGGCAGCCACAGAACTTTAAAACTGCTGCATCTAAAATAAATGTTACGGCGCTAATCGGCAGTGAGGGAGCAGCCAAACTAGTAGCGGGGTGGAGCTAACCACTGCCTCCACCCGCTACTGTTACTGCTGCACATCGAGGGGAAGCAGGATGGAGTCCCTGCTTCCCCAACAACTACACAGGATGGACTGAATCCACTCCTCCTCTAGCCCAACCTGACTGTGAGTAAGAGAGAGAGAGTGTGTGTGTGTTGACAGTCTGCCTGTGACTGTGTGTGTCTGTGTGACTGTCTGCCTGTAAGTGTGTGTATCTGTGTGACTGTCTGTGACTGTGTGTGTGTGTGTGTGTGACTGTCTGTGACTGTGTGTGTATGTGTCTGCCTGTAACTCTGTGTGTGTGTGTGTATGTGTCTGCCTGTAACTCTGTGTGTGTGTGTGTGTGACTGTCTGCCTGTAACTGTGTGTGTGACTCTATGCCTCTGACTGTGTGTGTGTGTGTATGTGTCTGCCTGTAACTGTGTGCATGTGACTGTGACTGTCTGCCTGTGACTGTGTGCGTGTGACTGTCTGCCTGTAAGTGTGTGTGTGTGTGTGTGTGTGAGACTGTCTGCCTGTAATTGTGTGTTTGTGTGTGTGTGACTGCCTGCCTGTAACTATGTGTGACTGTCTGCCTGTGACTGTTTGCCTGTGACTGTGTGCATGTGACTGTCTGCCTGTGACTGTCTGTGTGCGTGTTTGTGTGCGTGTAACTGTCTGCCTGTAACCGTGTGTGTGTGTGTGTGACTATCTGTCTGTGACTGTGTGTGTGTGTGACTGCCTGCCTGTAACTGTGTGTGTGTGTGAGACTGTCTTCCTGTGACTGTGTGTGAGAGACTGTCTGCCTGTGACTGTGTGTGTGTGTCTGCCTGTCTGTAACTGTGTGTGTGTGACTTTCTGCATGTAACTGTGTGTGTGTGTGTGTGTGACTATCTGCCTGTGACTGTGTGTGTGTGTGTGTGTGTGTGTTTGTCTGCCTGTGACTGTGTGTGATTGTCTGCCTGTTACTGTGTGTGTGTGAGACTGTCTGCCTGTGACTGTCTACCTATGAGTGTGTATGTGTGACCACCTGTAACTCTGTGTGTGTGTATGTGTCTGCCTGTAACTCTGTGTGTGACTGTCTGCCTGTAAATGTGTGTGCGTCTGTGTGTGTGTGAGACTGTCTGCCTGTGACTGTGTGTGTGAGACTGTCTGCCTGTGACACTGTGTGTGTGTGACTGCCTGTCTGTAACTGTGTGTGACTGACTGCAACTGTGTGTGTGTGTGTGTGTGACTGTCTGTCTATGACTGTGTGTTTGTGTGTGTGACTGCCTGCCTGTGACTGTCTGTGTGTGTGTGTGTGTGTGTGTGACTGTCTGTGACTGTGGGTGTGTGTGTGTGTGACTGTCTGTCTGTGACTGTGTGTGTGTGACTGCCTGTCTGTAACTGTGTGTGTGTGTGTGTGTGTGTGTGTGTGACTGTCTGTCTGTGACTATGTGTATGTGTGTGTGAGACAGTCTTCCTGTGACTGTGTGTATGCCTGTAACTGTGTGTGTGTGTGTGTGAGACTGTCTACCTGTGACTGTGTGTGTGAGACTGTCTGCCTGTGACACTGTGTGTGTGTATGTGACTGCCTGCCTGTAACTGTGTGTGACTGACTGCCTGTAACTGTGTGTATGTGTGTGTGACTGTCTGTCTATGACTGTGCGTGTGTGTGTGACTGCCTGCCTGTGACTGTGTGTGTGTGTGTGACTGTCTGTGACTGTGGGTGTGTGTGTGTGTGACTGTCTGTCTGTGACTGTGTGTGTGTGACTGCCTGTCTGTAACTGTGTGTGTGTGTGTGTGTGTGTGTGTGACTGCCTCACACACACACACACACACACAGTTACAGACAGGCAGTCACACACACACAGTCACAGACAGACAGTCACACACACACCCACAGTCACAGACAGTCACACACACACACACACAGTCACAGGCAGGCAGTCACACACACACGCACAGTCATAGACAGACAGTCACACACACACACACACAGTTACAGGCAGTCAGTCACACACAGTTACAGGCAGGCAGTCACACACACACACAGTGTCACAGGCAGACAGTCTCACACACACAGTCACAGGCAGACAGTCACACACACACACACACACACACAGTTACAGGCATACACACAGTCACAGGAAGACTGTCTCACACACACATACACATAGTCACAGACAGACAGTAACACACACACACACACAGTTACAGTCTGTCTGTGACTATGTGTACGTGTGTGTGAGACAGTCTTTCTGTGACTGTGTGTATGCCTGTAACTGTGTGTGTGTGACTGTCTGCCTGTAACTGTGTGTTTGACTGTCTGTCTGTGACTCTGTGTGTGTGTGAGTGCCTGTCTGTGACTGTCTGTGTGTGACTGTGTGGCTGTGAGTGTGTGTGTGTGACTGTGTGCGAGTGACTATGTGCCTGGGACTGGACTCTGAAGACTGTTTCTAATATTGTAAAAAAATGAATTATATTGTAAGGGGCGAAGCAAGGGCTTTAGAGGGAGAGGCAGTTTTTTGGGGGAAGGGGAGTGCAAGAGTTTTATGGAAGGGCGTGCAGGGGTTTGTAGAAGGGGGACAGGGATTTTGTTTAAAGGGGGCTGAGCAGGGGATTTATGGAAGGGGGTGCAGAGGTTTTATAGAATGGAGGCAGGACATGCGTTTTGTAGAATGGCCGGCAAGAGAGGGGTTTTGTAGAGGAGGGCAGAACAGGGTTTTATCAAAATTTACACATTTGTGCAATTTTTAAAAATGTAAACATTAAAAATACTGTGGGTGTTTTTTACATTTTAAAGTGGGAGGAGGAGAGGGGGAGGAGGGTGCCAAACACAAGATCCGCCCCGGGTGGCAAATGCTCTAGTTATGCCCCTGACACACACACTCACAGGCAGACAGTCAACACACACACACTCACAGGCAGACAGTTAACACACACACACACTCTCTTTCTTTTACTTACAGTCAGCTTGGGCTGGAGGAGGAGTGGATTCAGTCCATCCTGTTTCCCCTCGATGTGCAGCAGTTACAGCAGCTCTGCCTCGCTGCCAGTTTGGCTCCGTCCCCGCTGCCAACTTGCTCCACCCTGTTTATTTTAGATGCGGCAGTTTTAAAGTTCTGTGGCTGCCATGGCAACCTGTTCCTGCTGCACAGCTCACACATCCTAAGGCCGCCCTAGTCATGGCATCCCCCTTGTGAGTGGCACCCGGGGAAGACCGCCCTCCCCCACCCACCACCCCTCCTTCGCCACCAGCCCCCCCTCCCCTTAGTATGCTACTGCCTACCCATGTGGTTTGTCTTACATAGGAAAAACCCAATTTGCAAACGTGTGTCTAACACATCTCGTCAAGGGACAGCGATCCAGCATATGTACAGCGTACAGGGATGAAACTTCAGATAAGCCAGTGGCAAAACATTTTCTAGATAAGAAGCACCTTCTATCAGTCTTACAATTTATAGGAATCGACCACATCCCTGAGCCCAAAATATGTGGCAATCGAGCAAACAGAATCTTACAAAAGGAAACTTTTTGGATCTTCACATTGGACACCGTTGCACCAAGAGGACTGAACGAAAAACTATCATATAGCCCATTTTTTATAGTTCTATGTATAGTTCCTCGGTAAAGTTTGGCCTCAGCTCTAAAAATATTATTTTTTTTACTATCAAACAAAATAGTTTCCTTCCCTTTAAAAGGACTGTTTTGGGACACTTGTTTTAAATGTAACATTTGTGTTGTGATTTTTGATTCATCCATAATTTTTAATGATATGTGTAGGTTTTCGGATGGACCTACACAACCTAGATTTTTAATTTAAATAAATAAAGGAATATTTTATATGGATATGTTTTAAATAGGTAGAAATCAATCCTCAATTCTCATTTTTTTTAAAGGTAACTTTTCCCGGACGAAGTAGAAACGCATAGTTCAGTGCGCCCTGCTCCGACGGTGTATTACACAGGGGAATCCCCAATACTCTACGAGCATCAGGAGAGGAGAATACTCATCTTCAACTCTCCTACCAACAACCAAGAAGCACACCTGCTACCAGGCAATAGGATCTCCATCAACATATGAGTAAGTGGAAAAATGGCTGATATCTACTCTATTCTGCAACAAGGAGGTTTTTTTCTAAGCCTTCAACCGAGCTACACACTCATATACCCACAAGCAGACTCAGGACATACAAGATCAGAACAAAGAGAGCTCTCTCCTCCATCACCAGGTTGGACTTTTTTGTTTATTCCTTTTTACATTTAGACTTTTATTTTTTCACCTTTTTTCCCCATATACTTATTGTTTCTTTTTTACTACAGTTTTCATTTTACATTTTTTTATTGGTCCATTTTTTTGTTTTTTATGCTGTACCTGTAAATAGTGTGCACACTCAATTTAGTACAACAGGTACCTGTTTTAAAATCATTGAATCTCAGCATATAATTAGTATATACAGATTTATACATATTTTATGTTTTAATTAGACAAATAAATGTTTTATTTTATATACAAATAATAGTAAGGTTTTTTTGCGCTTCTTTCAACACTTCTACTGTTTTATTTTGTACAAGAACGTGTAGGGATACTTTCTATATAAGAAGCTGTATTCCTAACATACCCTCACATTTTCTTACTGGTTACACCCCAGATTAAGTGGGACTTTCCTTCTAACATCACTATTAACATCTTACAACCATTATTATTTCCCATTATTGGGGGTATATTTGTATGCGCAATTTAAAACACGACTGGAGAAGTTATTATTCTCTAGCTATCTTTTCTATTGATCTGGTGCTGAATGACTGTCCCTGTGCTGCTAGGATTAGTGCCTCAGTGTTGTCTTTCAGTCCTGCCTTTTCCAACCATGGGAAGGTTGTTTGTTATGTGAGCCTCATCCACTATCTGCTGGTGGTACACCCCATGGAGAGGTTTGTCTTGCCAATGAACCTCCTCTTTTTCTGCATCCTCTATCTGTAAAAGTCTCAGGCATTCCCTTAGCAGTTCATCTTTAGGAGCCATCTTCGTGATGTACTTGTGGATGCTCTGTGTTTCGTCCAGGACTGTGGCCTTGACACTCATCAGGCTGTGACCTCCTTTCTTCCGGCAGGTGTACAGTCTCTGGGTGCTGGATTTTGGGTGGAATCCTCCATTAATATTGAGTAGTATCATATCAGCTCTGATATGGGCTGACCAACTCTTCATGTGTGCTGCTCTCTGTTGGATATCTTCGACTGTGATGGTGACTGGTTCCTGTTCTGGCAGTATGCAGTGCTCTGCTGTCAGGTCTAGTAGCCACTAGGCCTCTGTGTTGTGAGATGTTTCTTTCGCCCAGATATTCTTCCAGTACTGTTCAGTCTTAGCTCTGGGTGGATCTTGCGAGGAGATGTAGTGGTTACCCTGTAGCTGTGCATACACCTTGGATGGTTCTTTGGTAAAGAGGGCATTGATTCTCTGGTGTATCTGCTCAGTCTGGTTGCCAGTGTTGTCAGTCTTTGCTTAGCTGTTTCCAGCACCTCTGGTATGGGCATATCCTTGTACTTCTGCAGCAGCCATGATCTATCTTTTATCTTTCCACCTCTGTTAAGTTGATCCACCATACTAACTTCGTTGTTGTCTTTATTTTGGCTTCCAGTCATAGTCTCCAAGGTGGGCATTGCTTCTCTTTGAACCTGATTTTGTAGTCAAGTAGCTGGAGGACCACTAATGCTTTGGCATATATGAGCCTGTTGGTCTCTGTGATGGCGATAGACAATGCTTCATTAACTGCAACTGTCTTGTGGTTGATTCTTCGGTAGTCTTGTCCGCTGGTCAACGACTGCTAGTTTTCTAGGATCATTTCCCTTATATCTGTTTGTGACGGCACTCCGGGTATGAGAAGGGGTTAAAGCCGCCAAGGTTGTTATTTTCACCGAATACGAAGTCAGCTACCGAACACTCTTAAGCGCCGAACAGGAATCTTAACAAAATATCCCCCCAAGCATGAGACAAGGCTCTGTGTTGAAGGTCAAGCAGGATCTGTTTAATGGTGGCCACATATCGGCCTTTTATGCAGGTCTTCCAGCAAGGGACATTTCCATAGGGCGTCCGACTGTCTAAGATGGCCGTCGCCACGTGTTCATTCATAAGAACGACGACCACCCAGCCGACCGTTTGAGAGTTGGAAGTGGCTGCGATTAACCGCAGTGTTAACAAGGTCAGAAAGGTTAACGAGCAGCACACTTCCCTGCTAGGTGGCCCGCCATTCGGTAGTTATGTTCGTCTTTTAGTGAATGCAACCAGGGAAACACACGAACAATCGGGGACTAGCGATCAAACAGTTGAAACAGTCTCAAATAATAATCCAGTGGCAGGGAGGTCTGCTACACTGTTGTTATGCCATCTTGGGGAATGGATTCAGGTTGGCAATTCTCTGCAGGTAAGAATGTGAGTATGGGAATTTTTTCCTCCTCATGGTGCATGGTTGATTTCTTCTGTAGTCCATTTATTTCCAGTTGGGCACTAGATTTCTCTTGAAGATGTTCAAACATTGTGTAACCAGCTGTTTTGGTGTTAGGGTAGATGATGGTCTCTTATTCATCCATAGCTCCCACATACGTTTCATGTAGCCTATCTCATTGGGTCTGCTGTTGTAATAGCATTCAAGCAGGTCTAGGTTCTCGCTCCATGTCCAGGAATGCTTTGCTCCAGTAGCCCACTTGTCGTCAGATTGCCTTGGTTCCCTAGCATCTGACACGGACATTGTTAATCCAGGCGACGTCCAAGCCGGCATGACTCTCTTGGTTCGTGTTGCTCTCATATTACTGAGGTGGGCAGGATGTATATTGTTAGGTGTCTTGCCCAGGGACACTTACTGGTGTAGTGGTCAGACCAGTATTCGAACCAGTTCGAAGTCAGTGACATCACTACTGTGCTATCCAGTCAAGATATATATATATATATATATATATATATATATATATATATGTATGTATGTGTATGTATGTGTATATCTATATATATGTAAAATCTATATGTAAAAACGGTGTTTGCACTCAGGCTAAGTCCTAGGCATGCATATATAACAATCTATACATTGTGAAGGATTATATATGAACCAAGGCTCAAGCTACAGATGACCAGATGACCAGTCTGTTTAAAATTGGCTAGCTTGGATCATGTTATGCTTTATATGTTGATGAACTTTACCCTAGGTTTAGTGTCTGACACATGCACACAATCTTTTACTTGTGGCATCCTATGGCTTCTGAGGAGAATATTGCAGCGGTCCCCCTTAGGCCCCCCTCCTCAGTAACTTCATGTTTTTTATATATATATATATATATATATATATATATATATAACCGTTGAAATATGCTTAGTTCTGTAAATTCCTTTTGTGGTAAAAATTGCCTTCAAGCATCCCATGTTTGTTGCGCAAGTCATAAAGCTATTTGCTATATAACCTTGTATGCTCTCCCATTAAAAATCAGAAGCATCTTTTGATTACACAAACAACCTTGTGTGTCTGATTGCTTCTCTGAGCGCACACCAATATATTTATAGATTGAACCCCGTTCGTATGCTGGCTTTCCTCCTCTATACTCACGAAATTCAGCATGAAAGAAAAGTTTTTATGAACTGCCTTCCGAGATTATCGACGACAGGTAAGCAGTGGCTCTTGGGTTTAAATAGGACCAATAGTCCCTCCCACAACTATGGCTTGGCCTGTAGTTGAGGGAGGGACTATTGGTCCTATTTAAACCCAGGAGCCACTGCTTACCTGTCGTCGATAATCTCGGAAGGCAGTTCATAAAAACTTTTCTTTCATGCTGAATTTCGTGAGTATAGAGGAGGAGAGCCAGCATACGAACGGCTAACTGTAAGTCATTTTCATTACACGAACACACCTATTATCACTTCGTTAGTAGCATCCGTTCGTTTAAACTCCGTTTGTTTAAAGTTTCATGTTAAAACCATTTCGTTAAAAATACTGCTGCATTTCATTTAAAGTTTGTCTGTTTCTCCGGTCACTCAATTAGGTCTGTTTCCCACGGTTACAATTTCATTCATACAGAATCAGACGAATGGCATGAAATAGCTCTCATGTGCTTACATAATATAAGGCTATTACGTTCGTGTAAAAATCACTAACATACCATCATTTAAAGCCCCGTTCGGCTAAATCCTTTAGGTCATTCCCTCAAAGCTTGAAGCTTGTATATCTTGCATAGTACTATATAAATAGTTCCATGTGACATAATTTATGAAAATTTAATTTTTCTCTAGCATTTATTCCTGTCTGAAGGTTAAGTTCTTCTTCCTACTGTCAGCCAGCTAATCTTTGTCATAGCTTGTTCACTTAGGTCATACATGCTTTTGGTAAATTGCTCAAGGTACATCTTGGCATAGTTTACTTTAATTTTCCCTATTGCATTACATTTGATTACTGTTCGGTTAACGCCGGTTAAGCAAGTAATATATTAAGCTAGTCAATTACATGATAGTTTATTTTCCCTCCTCTTTTCAAAAAGATACTACGATTACAGACATTGGTTACAACGGCCCTGTCTTTAAAAAATACCAACTCTGCATGTATTTAGAGAGGTAGGCCTCTAAAGTAATACCTCCTTCTTTCCAGTTTTGTCCTTGTTATCTGTCAATACTTCTGGGGGTTTAGGTTATAACTCAATCATTATGACATGTTTTAGGAACAAGTAGGGGTCATTCTTACCAACTATGTCCTACAGGTCAATAGCAGGTATGTATAATAAATAATTTTAAAAAATCAAGATAGGTAGTAATTCTAGTGTTAAATCCACGCCAATCAGGTATAATTTCCATAGGCCTCTTCACCTTTAGTTGAGTAGTCCTGAAAGGCCAGCGCTCATCCCTACGATCAGAGGTACAAGCCCAATCGGCCCAAACGCATAGTTATCACCTTGCATCAGGTTATAGTTAGGGCCTCACTTGTCACAGCCAATCGATATTAAAATCTTATACGTTTCACAGAGGGGCCAACACCCCACCGCTGACCTCAGTGGCACAGAGGCCCCACGAGCCAAATCATAGTTAGAGCCTCTCAAAGCCACTTGGCAAGTAGTATGGGCGTCATCCGTCAGCTAAGTTAGTTAGAATAATATAATTTCGCCTTTGGGCATTAAACTAGGGAACTTGGTTACTTCTTATCCACATGGATACCAAGTTATCTACCTCACATCCTTAGCATGTCTAACACTTCCATACAAGGAGATGACCTGTCGGTGGACAGCACCCCGACCAGACCAAGTTCCCAGATGAGACAAACCGTACTGGCCAGCCCAGCGTCCAGCTACAGATCCTGGACAATACCTAAAATTACTGCCGAACTTGAAAATAAAAATATTCCCTTCCCTGCCACAGCCAGGAAAGCTGAACTTTTTCCCCTGTTAAATACAAATGATGATAATGAAAGACCTGGCCTTAGTTCTGAATATAATATTCAAAATAGTTTGTCAGAACTTCACAACATGATGGCCTCCCTAGTGACTTCTGTAGCCACAATAAATAACCGGTTGGATAATTTGGAGTCCAATAACCGATCAACCATTCTGGAGGCTCCAGTACCTATAGCCCAGCCAGAGCCTAACCCAGGAGGTAACGCTAACCCTCTACCCGCAAAAAGTACTAATATCATTAACCCAGTACATCTCATTCCACAAAAAATTAAACAGGACATAATAGAAGGGAAAGCCATTAATCTGGCTTCTCTTCTCATAGCATCACAAGACGTAATTGAGAACAGATCATACACGTTTGACGACCTGTCCGTAATAATGAAATCTAGGGACCCAAGACTGAACAGGAAGTTAAATATTCCAGAATTTGTCCTGGCATTTGGCCTGTATAGGAACGTGATTTGTTCTGCTTTTCCCAACCTTAGAGAGGAACTTGATTTATATTTACATAAGCTGATAGACTTGGTGTATAAATATGGAGGCTACGCTTTTTATGACTACCACAAGTCCTTCCCTTCTAGATCTGCTGCGTCACTGGCCCAATATAATACTCCTACCGACTGGGGCCAGTTAGACACAGAATTATTCTATAGACCTTTTGTGGGTCTTAAAACACCATCATGTGCAATATGTTCCTCAGCTGCCCATACTGTTAACTTCTGTCCCAGCAACGTAGTAATTCCTTCTACTAGCAATGCCAACCCCGAGTTTCAACCCAACGTGGCCCAAAGAGAGTTAAGAGATAAACTAGGCAGGCCTATCATTTTTCTTGGGAAGGCTCAAGTCTGTAACAATTACAATGCTGGAGGATGTAGTTACAGTGCTTGCAGACTCCTTCACGTATGCTCACTTTGTTTCAGAGAACATGCTAAAACAATTTGTCCAAACAGATTGTACCCTAAAAGATCTTTTACACAAATAAACGTAATTTACAATGTTACCTGTCTGATAATCCTTCTTCAGGTCTGGTAGAATTTCTCACCTCTGGTTTCACTAATGGGTTTCACACGGGTTTTGTTGCACTCCCCACAGGAATTCTAGAATGCCCAAACCTACAGTCGACACTCACTGACCCAAGTAGTTTGCATGAACTCATCAATAAAGAAATAGAGAATGGTTTCATGATTGGGCCCTTCTCTACCCCACCTTTCACATCCTGGAGAACTAACCCTCTAGGCATAGCTACAGGGAAGTTTAATAATAAAAAAGACTCATCATTGATTTTTTTGAGCACCTCACTCTTCCACTACACCTAGCTTAACCCCTTAAGGCCAAACTTCTGGAATAAAAGGGAATCATGACATGTCACACATGTCATGTGTCCTTACAGGGTTAAATGCACTTATACCATCTGAGGATTTCTCATTACAATATGCAAGAATAGATGATGCCATACAAGCTATCATTAACTCTGGCAAGGCAGCTTGATTAAGTAAAACAGATATTACGAATGCATTCAAACTACTACCAATTCATCAGTCACTCTGGCACCTGCATGGCATTAAGTGGGAAGACAAGTATTATTTCGCAACTAGACTTACTTTTGGCTCCAAAAGTAGCCCTAAGATTTTCGATATTTTCACTGAAACATTGACCTGGCTCTTACTTAACAAATGCAGATGTCCTGTAGTCATTCATTATTTAGACGATTTTCTCTCTATTGAACCACACCACTTCACACCAGGCAGCCTACATCACATGCTGTCACTATTTGAGAATTTAGGAGTTCCGGTAGCCACAGACAAAACAGAAGCTCCCAACACCGAGATTATGTTCCTGGAGAGAATACTAAATTCAGTTTCTATGCAAGCTAGCCTGCCTCAAGAAAAGGTAGATAGGATTTTAGCGTATATTGATATCTGCACCTCACAAGGGTCTTGCACCAGGAAAGAACTACAGTCACTTCTAGGGTCCCTTAATTTCGCTATGAGGATTATTCCTCAAGGGAGGCCTTTCATTTCCAGAATTCTCTCTCTCTTACACGGTCTTCCCAATGACGATTCCAGAACTAACTTAGATCAACCAGCTAGGGCCGACTTAAAAATGTGGCATCTATTTCTATCCTCTTGGAGTGGCAGGTCATTATTCGTTCCCCCATCTCTGATGATTCCCCGATAATGTGGACTGATGCTTCAGGAGCCATAGGTTACGCAGCAATTTTTGGCAATGACTAGGTATACGACTGTGACAGAACCATCTGTCTGTTTATTGCGGTGGATTTGTCTGTTTCTGCCCCGTTCGTGTAAATGGCTGTTTCCTATAGCCCAGCCATACGAATGACTGTTTTTCCCGAACAAACCTACCGAACGGATGGCCACCCAGGAGAGAAGTGTGCTGCTGGTTAACCTATTGATCCCAATTAGAACGTTGTGGTTAACCGCAGACACTTCTCAATTAAACCGAATTCATGGTGGTCGTCGTTCGTATGTCGACCACGAGGCAGCGGCCATTTTAAAACACGCGAAAGCCCAGCGGTATTCGACTCTATTTTCATGGAACTAAAAACTGACACTTTTTCTGCCGAACACCGCTGAAACAACAGAACGCCTGACTGCCTCCACGAAAGTGTACGAACACCGGCCGTTCGGGAGTTTTGAACCACACGAAAGGACTTAACCAAGATAGCCTTCCCATGGAGTCAATCGCATACCGAAAGACTGTAAGAACTTTGACTCCATGGCGATTGAACTGTGTGTGTGGGATCTGAGCGCTATTCGCTAATAATATGCACTCAGATCCAGGCTATCTGGGGATATGTGATGCGAATGGGAAATGTTAAAGTTATGTATTTTTATGTATTTTCTAGTATTGTATCTAAGATGGCGATTTGTCTTTGTCCTGGAGATAATTGAATTACTTCTAAATTATCTCCAGGGCAGAAGGGAGGAAACCATATTGCATTGTGGGTAAAGGCTGTGACTGTATGTCTGGAATGTCTTCATGCCCATCTGTAATTCCAGTCTCCCATTTGGTCCCCTAGGGGAGTGTCCACCAAGTGGGAGACCTGCATAAATACGGGCAGGTAGCCCACAGTAAAGCCAGATCCTGTTTGACCCTCAATGCGGAGCTTCTGTCTCGTTATTGGGGGGATTTCTTCTTTGCGCTTAGAGACTGCTGGATGGTACCGAAAGCCGCTTGGTGGATATCGTTGTTCGGCGGCTAGCAGCAGTTCATGGATTTCTCTTCGGGAGTTTGGAGCCTTTCACGGATCCCGGTCGGAAGATTACCGCTTCCCCTGGTTATGGTTCGTGTATTACAATTGATGCGAACGGATTACTGAATTTGCGAAAGGGGAAGGTGAACTAAACGGCGGTTTCTCTTAAATACACCAGACACGTCTTAACAACGACTCTTGGCTACCAGAAACTTCCTCCTTAGAAAATTTCAACAGGACCTCAGCACTGTTTGAAATTTTCCCGATTGTAGTTGAAGCACAAATATGGGGTAAAGAATGGAGAGGTAAATTAGTTAGGTGCTTTTCAGACAACCTGGCAGCTTGTAACATTATTAATAAAGGCCGCTCTCAGTCCCTTACAATCATGAACTTAGTAAGGAAACTTACCTGGTTAGCGGCAAATCTACAGTTCTGTATAAGTTGTATGCACGTTCCAGGCATTCAGAATAATGCAGCTGATGCACTCTCACGTTCTAATTTACAGGAATTTTTCATAATCCATCCGACAGCATACTTACAGCCCAATGAACCTCCACAGTTCACAGACCTAATAATGCTCTGAATACCCTGTTAAATCACAGTAGGTCGCTCGCACAGGCTGGTTTATCACTCAGTGCTAAAAAAGCCTATGTCAGAGCATATGATCTGTTTAAAAAATCTGTACGTGATTATAATGTAATAAATGAAACCATGGTTGCGTTCAAACTTTTTGCCACATAACTCTAAAATTAGCATACAATACAATCAAACTTTACCTAACAGGCATACAATACTACATTTAAATTATTTATCCAAACAAAGCTCCATTCTGAGCCTCTTATCCAGTCAAAAGTGTCTTAAGAGGCGTTCAGAGACTAACAATTCATAATCCCCTCAAAAGACTTCCAATAGATAGAAACCTATTTAGGAACATCTCCGATTTACTAGACAGTATCACTAATCTGATAACCAAATCCGCAGCCTATATAGCCTTTTACGGTTTCCTGAGACCCAAGGAATTTTCTGTGGAGAAAACATCCGACTTTAAGTCATGCCTTAAAAGGAAACAGCTAACTAAAGTAGACGACCATTATATCCTGTCAATCTCTCATGCCAAAACTAGCCAGACTGGCCCCCTAGTAGAGATAAAATATTACCCTACCTCTACCAAGTGGTGTCCAATTCAAATATTGGATAACTTAGTCAAGGCACAGCTTACAGCTAACCCCAAATTCCCACTATTAGCCATTCAAGGGAAGCCCCTAACCACCAAACAGTTCATGCTATACATACGCACAATGATACTCAGATTAGGACACAACCCACATTCCTTCTCTGGCCATTCATTTCGTATTGGGGCAGCCACAGCAGCTTCTGGTAATCACGTACCAACACATATCATTAAGAACATGGGACGCTGGAAATCCTCCGCATACAACAGGTACATTCCTAATCCAGAAAAGGGAATCAGACTAGCTTTCCATGAAATGTCCAAATAATGTCTATGGCTAAATAAAGTATGTCTTGCAAAATAAATTGTTTTCTTAATTTTTGCCCTCTTTTTACAGGTCTAACCTCACGTTGGTTTCGGCACACCTCAACTGACTTTTGTTCTTATTAATTTACATAATACCATAACCATACATTCCTCTAAATGTGCCGTACACAAATGGAAGGCTTGGCCTGTAATTGTGGGAGGGACTGATGGTCCTATTTAAACCCAGGAGTCCCTGCTTACATGTCATCGATGATCTCAGAAGTTTCCCTCCCACCTCACCCTTTATTATTTCATATTATCTAGGTGGGCCCTCTTTTCACAGGTCTAACCTCACATCGGTTTTGGCACACCTCAGCCGACTTTTGTTCTTATTAATTTACATAATACCATAACCATACATTTCTCTAAATGTGCCATACACAAATATATATAAGCTTTTATATATATATATATATATATATATATATATATACACACAAGCTTTAAGACACCTGACATCCGTTCTGATATCAGTTCTCATTTCAACACTCTAATCAACACCTCTTCAATCAATCTATATATATATATTGAGGTGTTGATTAGAGTGTTGAAATGAGAACTGATATCAGAAAGGATGTCAGATGTCTAAAAGCTTTGAGAGGAAAGGGAGTAGAGATATGAAACTTTAGTTAGAATGGTAAGATGGGTCACAAGATGGCTTTTTTAGGATGAGTAAGGCAGTAGCATGTTTAAGGGCAGTGGTGGAAATGCCAGAAGAAAGACAGTGTTAAGGATGGCACAAGAGGAGAGAGATCTGATAAGGTTAGATGGAATGGGATTAAGCAGACAAGTTGTGGGGTGAGAGGAAAGGAGAAGGCAGCCACCTCCTGCTTGGTAGAAAGGAAGAACACCTAGAGGCATTTTTGTGTGGTGTATGAATTGTTATTTAATGTATACATATACATTCTAGCTGTATGGTAGCATATATTACAGACACTTTAAATTCTACAAGGTTAACTCAGCAATGAAATGGTTAAAAGTTCAAATTAGGACAAAGTCATATGTTGCTTGTCAATCAAGGGGTTAACAAGACAAAGGACAACGACATATGTTTCCTGTCAATCAAAGGGTCAACAAGACATATTTCTTTGGAGCTAACAATAGACAGTGCTAATTAAATTAAAAAAACAATATGAGAACTCTAAAGGATGGACAAAAGCTTAGAGAAACTCAGTAGCTTGCCCTTCGGTAAATCCCCACTCAGGTCTCAAAATAATTTTTGCTCACTTGTGCCATTACAGAGAGAACATATTCCGAAGCATATCAGACTGATCCCACCTGCAAGGGCAGTCAGGAACCTAAATGCCAGCAAGTTCCCTCTGCACAAGAGATACAGCAAGCCCAGACGATCTTTTCAGCCTACTTTGGGCAACCTTAGTGAGGTGTAGCTCATTCCCATCCAGGCACAGTGAGCACGGGGTCCACGCCTGGATTACCATTTTACTTGGGGCGAGCATTAACTATGCATTGAAGCAAAAACAAAGAATATGAAAACTGAGAATATGAGAATGGACAAAAGCTTCGAGAAATACAGCACATTACACCATAGAAGGGAAAAAGTTAAGAACTTTTTTTGAACAAAGGAAAAGGTATACAATCAGCAAAGGGATAGCTGGAAATTGTCATTCATCTATACTCATTTATTTGCACACTGCATCAGACATACATCTCGTTGGCACATCATTTCTGTTGGTAAGGTAGTTTACTTATCTAAGGCACACTCAAAAATATGATATTATCATAGCAATACTTTGTATTCATTTACTTCCAGTCTGTTGCCAAGCATAGCAACATACTGCACTTACCTTTCTATACTTCTAATTATCAGCTCTATTTATTTAATATCTATCTTTGGTTATACCCTTACTGATTTTACGTTATAGGTGTAATTGCAAATCCTTTGCTCAGAGTTGATTACTATATCCTGATTTACCAGCTCAGCATTATTGATTTGCATGTATCTATTAGCTATTTCAGTGCATTCCGTACAACGAGGCATTGCAATCAATCTAACAATTCTAATTAGCTCTTATAGTTAGAGTTATTAATCCAATGGCAGTTATAGGGCTATACCTCTTAACTATTATTATCTTGGATATTCAGCACGCCCTTCCAACTTTGATTTTCTAAGATAAAGATCTATTGATATATCCCTATCTATATCCGATCTCACTAGTACCACTTCCTTTACGCTATCATATCACTCCTCTGCTATTCTACCATAGCACCCATATATATATATATATTTTTTCTAAATAGCACAGACGTGTGCTGTGGCTGATTGTGTATATATTATTTAAGACATCAGAACTGATTCTATATAATCAGTTTGTATTTCTTTTCTGTTTCGTTTTTTTAACTTCATAGTATTTTTCGTTGTATCTACTTACATCGATTTTCTTTTTATATTATAAATATCTAATAAAGTCTTTTTTGTTTTTGTGGACCTTGTGGTCTTTTTATCCCATGTCTCCAATCTTCTATTTAGAAGTTTAGGCACATGTTTCTCTCTCTCAACCCATAGGTACACTATCCCTCTGCTTAGTATTTCATTTCTACTAGGGGTTATCCCCCTTTATTTAGTGTACCTTGGCTGTATTGTATAATTTTCTATCTTTGATATTATGTATTGTTTTTTAAAATGCATCTGAGTATGGCATTACATTTATAATACATTTTAAGGGAATACTCTCTAAGATGTACAACGGTAGAAATAATTTAAAGGGATGTTCTGTTTTTATTTGTATCTTATCTAGCTATATGTGACTTACTGATGCAGGCGACCCCTCCTATACAATAGCACAAATGGCATTTCTTAACAACATCTAAAAATGAAACAAAACAGAATGACAGTAAATTATTTTATAGCAGTCAACTAGTTTAATAAAAGTGTTGGCATTACCATGAGGTGGAAGAAACTGTGGGAAGACAGGTGGGAAGGTGGTGCACATATATATATATGTGTGTGTGTGTGTGTGTGTGTATTTGTGTTCAGGGCATAGAAAGGCGTAATGACAGTATGTAACTTATATAACTTATACCTTATGATAACATAGAAAATATGAACAGTCGGTTATGGTGTGCCGAAACCGACAATACGGTATGCCTGTTATAAAGAGGGCAAAAAAAGTATACTATGCAAGATTTATTCAGCCTACAAGGACAATCATGTAAGATATATCACATATTCATTTTACTAAATGCTTCACGTATTTCCTGTATTGGATGAGGTATGTATCTGGTATATGCTGATGAATTCCACTGTCCCAATGCTTTGATAATATGTACCGGTATGTTTCTGCTGGAAGCAGTGGTGGCTGTTCCAATGCGGAAGGAGTGTCCTGAGTAGTGAGATGGATTAAGACCTAATTTACTCAGCAATACTCTTATATACAGCATGAATTTACTGGCAGTGAGAACCTTACCGTGTAATGTGAGCAGAAATTGGTTTGGAGACCCTGGAACGGTGGTTAGGAATGTATCTAGGACTTAAACCGGGCACCATTTGTTTCCAGTAGGGTAATAGGTTATTTGTACCATCTGGTCCCTGGGTGTGGTTTTGGTGTGTTTGAGGGACAATTTGTAGTGGTCCTGTATTTTAACAATTTGGGATCTCTTAAGGCCGTCTTGGGAAGTGATGTTCGTGGTGGTAAACTCTCCGGGTTTGTGGTGCCTATAGAAAGCTAAGCAGATAGCAGTTTTAATGACATGATTGGTGTGTGATTCGAAAGGGGTTGTATCCATGAGGTCTGATAATAATTTGAAGAGTTGACTATGGATAGGTGATCTAGAAGATGTTGGCATGGGTTTTGATTTTTTAATGCCTTTAAGTATGGTTTTGATTTGGTAAGAAGATAGGAAACTGTGGTTGTTTGGCCAAAGTGTGAGTATATAGTGTTGTATCCCTGTCAGATATAATTTGATAGTATTTTATGATAATTTTAATTTGAGGTGGCAAAAAGAAGTGAAGGCTACAATAGTTTCCATAGAGTGTTTATTTACAACTTGAAAGTCCAACAAGAATTTGTTATAAACATGGAAAGCCCTTTCGTATGACTTCCCAGTGTTGTCAGACAAAGCTATTTGTTTAAGGAGTCTGCCATGCTTTAACAGATTTCCGAATCCAATGTCATGTCCTGCCATGACGGAGCTGGAGTAGCCATTAGGGCTGCCGTTGGTAATGCATTGTGGAATTCCTGAAACTGAGAGCAAGATAAATGATCAGCCGCTACGTTCTGAATGCCAGGAATATGTACACATACCAGGAAGAAATTATAGTTGGCTGCTAGCCAAGTCAATTTCCCCAGAAAGCTCATGATGGTCAGAGATTTGGAACGTAATTTGTTAATTATTTGGCAGGTTGCCAAATTATCCGAACAACATCTCACCACTTGATCTGACCAGGCTGTTCTCCAAGCTCCTGCAGCAGCTATAATAGAGTAGAGCTCGAACAGGGCAGACGTGGTGAAAAACCCTGGTACATTATATAGCTCCCTAGGCCAAGCCCCCCAAAGCCAGTGATCACCAAAAATAGCCGCAAGGCCTGAGGTGGCTGCTGCATTGGTGAAAATAGTGAGGGAGTCAGAGATAAGTAAAGAGATAAACATGCTTTTCCCATTCAATCTTCTGAGATATTCCTGCCACATGCGTAAATCCGATGTAGCAGGTCCATCTAGTGTAACGTGGGAACTGTCTGTCTAAAAACGGGAAAATAGATTGAGCAGTCTTGATATGAAAGCCCTTTCCTTGTGGGGTAATTTTCATGGCAAAGTTGAGGGAGCCTAATAAGGACTGTAGTTCTGTGCGATTACAGGGTTCAGTAGAGAGATATATGTTTATGTTTGATAGGATGCGCTCAATCTTATCTCTAGGCAAACTGGCCAGCATGTTGACCGAATCTAGTGTGATACCAAGAAAATTAATCAATGTGCTGGGTCCTTCTGTCTTTTTAGGGGAGACGGGGACCCCCAGAGATTGGAATAGCTGGGTCGTGGTTCTTAGGCTATTGGGTGGGAATAAGTTACTCTCAATAGTCAAGAAGTCATCCAAATAGTGAATATCTGTGGGGCATCTACAGACATTGAGTAGTAGCCAGCATAACGTCTCGGCAAAGGTATCAAAGATCCTGGGGCTACTTTCTGCACCAAAAGTGAGACGAGTAAAAAAGTAATAAGAACCATGCCACTTAATGCCATGTAGATGCCACAAAGAAGTGTGTATGGGGAGGAGCTTGAAGGTGTTAATGATGTCTGTCTTACTAAGCCATGCTCCCTTCCCTGCTGTCATAATAGCGTCAATGGCGTTATCAATAGTAGCGTACCGCAGGGAAAATTCCTCTGAAAGAATGAGAGAAGTCAAACTGGGTGTTGTGGACGAGTGGGGAGCAGAGAGGTCGACAATCAACCTTTGCTTAGCTGAATTTTCTCAGAGACCACGCCAATGGGGTTAGTTCTCCAAGCTGAGAAAGGTGGGGAACTGAACGGCCCAAGTAGAAAACCTTGATCTAATTCAAGTTGTAACAGATTGTTTACTGATGTTGGATTGGTTAGGGCGGACAGTAGGTTCTTACATTCTATGATGCTGACAGGCATGTAAATGATACCTGTATGGAACCCTTCCGTGAATCCTGACACTAAAAACTCCACCAAATGTGGTGAGGGGTGGTTCTGCAGTAATTTGGCGAAATAAGTCACATTGATTAAGGTCATGTAGGGTTTTGGGAAACAATTTATTAGGAAACATTGTTTTAGCATGTGCCCTGAAACAAAGAGAATAATGCAATAACCGGCATGCGTTAAATCGACAGGAACCTGCATTGAAGTTATTGCAGATCTGGGATTCACCAAGGAAAACAATATTACGGCAGAGCTTGTCCTTAATCCCTCTCTCAGGTTTAGCTGAGGGAGTAGGAAAAGAAAAGGCGCACCCTGCTCAGGGGTATTAGGACATAGGTTAGTGGTGTGTAAGGATGAAGAGAATACACTACAAGCTGGGAACCTGAGGCCCACAAAGTGCCTGCAAAATAGTTCTGTATCCAGCTGGCTCCAGTCTGCCTGAAAATTAAACTGAGCCAGGGCCACAGACGCCTTCGCGGAGAATGATCTGTGATAATCATAAAAAGAAGTACCACCATATTTATGCCCCAGGTCCACCAACTTGTGTAAATACAAGTCAAATTCCTCTCTGCGTTGCAGATAAACTGAGCACACCCCATCCCTATAAATCCCAAAAGCTAGTACGAACTCAGGGATAGACGGCTTCCTTTTCAACCTGGGGTCCCTATCTTTTAGCACAACAGGCACATTGCCATATGAATACGTCTTGTTTTCCACGATATCTTGGGAGGCAATCAGCAGCGAAACTAGACTGACATCCTTACCTTCCAAGATATCCTTCTTAATATGTGCTGATACCATATGAGCTGGGTTAATGATGTTCGGGTTTTGGAGTGGGCCAATGAATTTACCAGTCTGGGTTGCTTGAGAGACCAGTAGTTTCATGAGTAACCAATCCAGATGGTGCCACTGGCCTATCATTAGCATCCAACCGGTCCAGCTTATCCGTAATGTGTCCCAATAAGGACAGGACTGATGATAGTATGGCATGGAGGTCGGGTGACTGGGCACTACTGGAGCCTTCGCCAGCCCTGGTATTGTCCATGTTGGTTTTTAAGCAATCTATATAACTCTGCCTCCCTGGCAGTGGCAGGGTAAGGAATATTCCTGCGTCTTAGTTCGATTGTGATCCTGGGTATTGTCCAGGACCTGAGGGAAGACAGGCTGGCAAGGGAGAGGGAAGCCCTTACTAGATGCCAAGTGGCATGAGAGGCTCTAGCTATGTGTTGGCCCGAGGGGATTTTTGAGGCCACTGATGTTGTGGCGGGGTGGTGGCCTTTTGGTGACTAGTAAGGCAAAAGAATGGAAGTGACAGGGGAGGCCCTCTCTATACCACTATGCGGGCGACTAACTATGTGCTACCTCAGAGTATAAAGATGGGTGTTGGCCTCGCGTGACCACTAAGACTTGGCCAGAAGGCCAGAAGAATCAACTAAGTGGATTCTGAACCCTATCAGCCAAGTAGGTAGTGCTTGATGGGGATTGAAAAGTATAACGATCTCTGGGTACACCTACCTGTAGTTTATGAGATGAATAGGGTAGGAAAGCGTAGATGACTGTGAATGATACCTACGAGAGTAAATAGTCATCATGTAGTACCCATCACGTGACTGTAAAAGGAGATAGTAATATGAAATTATGTGGAATACCTACCAGTCAATAGACTAGGCCTAAAAAATTAAGCAGCTGGAACGTAATTGGTAGTATAACCAGTAGGGCCTAGTGCCTAGTAGCATAAAGGAAACAGTTAGGTTTCCGAGCAATGAGGGGCAGAATGTGACATTGAAGATAAAACCAAAACACTAACCGATGTAATATTGTAGGAATGAAAAGACAGGAGACATATGTGAATATGCAGAGGGACCTCAATCTGTAATATATAAATATGGCCAACATTAGAACTTTAAGAGAACATAAATGGATTACTAACCGATCAAAATTACAGAACCCACCTAAAGAGTGTGACAATTGAAAACCAGAGTCAATCAGAAATTATAAGCCTTCACAATTTCAGAGGTACAGCAAAAAGGAGAGGTTTCAGGCTTGGTTACCTATAAAATATGTATATAAGGGATCAGAGCTTAGACAAAAATAGCAACAAAGTGCTGCTGGGTTTAACTTGTAAAAACACATTTTGAGAAAAGTAATACGTGCAGTACTTCTTTATGACCTCTAGGAGTCAATAGTCTACCCAGCATATTCGTGGAACTTAAACCGAATGGTCACAATTCCTACAGGTGAAAATAGGGTATTCGGCAGTAATCATACGAACGGCTCCCAAAGAGGAACAAAGAGTGTTATAACTGCCGAACGCTCCAGTAAAACGAACCACTATTACATACTTGTATGTAGGGATGTGCATGGGGAAAACTTTCAGTTCGGTTCGGCATTCCGAAATTTGGGACTTCGGCAATTAAGAACTTCGCCACTTTGGTTTGGTTCGGCACTTCGACACTTCAGAACTTCGGTACTTCAACACTTCGTCAACTTCGGAACTTCGGCATTTTGGAATTTCGGAACTTCAGCATTTTGGAATTTCGGGACTTCGGCACTTGGACACTTAGGGCGTTATCTACCAAAAGGCTGAAAGATCTAAATTGGTCTTTCAGCCAAATTTACTAATACAGTGGAACATCAGTTTATCAACGCCTCGGTTAATATAATTTTCGGTTTACATACTGGAGCCTGTGGGTAGCAGGTGGCGTCGAGTGTGGAGGTGTTGGAGCGGCTTTTGCATTGAGTTTTGGAGCCATTCTGGAAATTATTTGCAGTTGTTTGGGGACTTTTTGGTGCATTTCTCAAGCTGTGGAAAGGTAGGGAGCTGAGCTTCAAAGTTCAAATTTTTCGCAATAAGAAACGTCCCAGAGAATGAATTATATTTGTAAACCGAGATCCCTCTGTACTAAATAAAAATTACTTAGTATCAGTAAATTCTGCCCCTACTTGCTACCCCACTCCCCCCCAAAAATTAACCCCTACTTACCCCCCTCACCCTAAAAATAATGAGGGGGGACCGTTAATTAGGTATCTGTAAAAAAATAAAAATTAACTTACCATTTGATGTCTTCTTTTTTCTAAAATCTTCTTTTTTCAGCCCCAAAAAAGGCCAAATAAAAATCCATAATGACCGTCGCACTTTGAAGAAAAAAAAAAAAACGGCGCTCAGAGGTGGGGGCCAGGGGGGAGGACTATAGGTCCCCCCCCTATTTTACTTTAGAGCCCCCACCCGCCATTCAGGGATGGGGGCCGTGGGGGGGGCGGCAATAGGTGTTATTTTTATTTTTTTACAGTGAGCAGCCTGTAGTTTAATAGACATGCCCCTACTCGCGGTATAGCGAGTAGGGGCATAATTTACTAATACTAAGTAATCTTTACTTAGTATTAGTAAATTTGTCTGAAAGACCAATTTAGGTCTTTCAGCATTTTAGTAGATAGCTCCCTGGAATTTGGAATTAGAGAGTTATCTACTTATTCATGCCTGTCATTCCATTGACTGGCTAAGTAACTTACATTTTATATGAATGTGTGTTACTTGATTGTTGTGAATGCTTACACTTGAATCCTGGCTATGTTTGTATACTTTTTATTTAAACTTGTATACAGTGTAACATTCTTCCACTGGGTAGGTATATTAGTACTTAGGCAATACTGTGTTTCTGCACTTTGACACTTCGGAACTTCAGCAACTTCGGGACTTCTACAATTTCGAGACTTCAGCAATTCAGCTAAGTATCCGAATGTCCGAATTTCCCGAAATTCGTCTGAATTCACATTCAGACTGAAACGAATTGCACATGTCTACTTGTGTGAGAAACGTGAGTATCGTTCGTGCGTACCGAACAGGTGAGTATAATCCCACAAAAGACAAGTATACGAACCAATAGAATATAGCGGCCAACTACCTAACCATTGTTCGTATGAAGCTTTAAACGAAAGGATGCACAAAACTATACGAACAGAGGTAAGTATGTGAAAATAGAGTTGGCCCGTGATGACGCTGTGTGCCTGCGACGGGGTCAACCAACTCACTGTTACAGTAGCTTGGCTACCGCGCGGTAGTGACCATAGGAGAGGGGAAGAACCCGGCGGTCTTTAACGGTAGAAATAACCTTGATCTAGGAATGGGCAGACACTCTGAAGGCAGGTAAGGTCTCCACGAAGAAAGGAAGCAAGATGGCGGTCTGCAGCAGCCGTAAATCCAGGTATGCACATTGCCAGACCATCAATGGTAATGAGGAGGGGTCTGGCGGTCCTTAAATAGGGAAATCATGCACCTCCCACAACTACAGGCCCAGCCTTCCATATATATATATATATATATATATATATATATATATATATACATATATTTGTTTTATATAACTTTCCAATAAATTATTTCAACTTTTATAACATCTATTAGACCTTTTGAGTAGAGATTGGGGTGAATTATAAACATAACCACAAAGCTGATAATTGTCGGTTTTTATCTTTCATATACCATGTTTCTTTAATTATATTGTCATTATTACATTTTTATTTTTTTTACCCCATGTTCCTTTTAAACTGTGATTTTTGTCCACCGTCGAGATCAGGAGATATCCTTTGTTAGGTATAATACCACCGTAAGTGCACTACTTTCGAGCATAGGGGAAGGCTCACAAATCTGTAAGTATTTTGATTTACGTTTATTGTGAGACTTCATAGCTGTGACATAACACTATTGGAACTTTCTGACTTTTACTCAACATTTATTCATGTTGCTATCCACATGTAGTCACTGGGCAGGGGTGTGGGGATACCAAAAATGCTGACCACCTCAGAGTTTATAGATATTTATCTGTTTAAAAAGTGAGTGTGATACCTGCTACTATATTGGAACATACACTACTGTGAGATCTCTATATTGTATATAGTGGGAGTTTTTTCTTTTTGATTTATTGTATGTCTCTTGGATGTATATTGCCTGGTCCATCTACTAGATGATATGCTTCTTGGAGATATAACTCTTTTCTTGCATTTAAACTGTAGTGATCTCATTACTAGCCAGTCACATAGATCTAATTCAACAATTAGAAAAGTGAATGTATTTCAATATAAGCTTATTTGTGTATTTCTATATAAGAAATCATTTTTCCAGTTTGGTGTATTTGTTGTGATAACATCAAATGTCCCATATAGGATTTGAGCATGTACAAACAACATAGGGAATCCTGCAACATACTTGAATGAAATGTGAAAGGAAACTTTACCTTGGCAATGTTTAGAACCGCCGGCACAAATTATCTTTTTCGGGTCACAAGTTTTGCAGTCAACTACGGTTTGTATCATCAAACCTGAGGAAAAGTATTAGTAGATTGTTATAAAAATCTGCCACTATTTGAAAAATTAGATATAATAAATTATTAAATCTGAAAATAAAAAGAAAATGTTGACTGTTTTTAAATTAACTTGAAATTCCAACCCAAACCAAAGATATCTTAGGACAAAGTAGGGCCGATTAAGTCTTAGGGGCAAGCCTGAGCTTGACAAAAAGCAGAGCTTCACTATCAACTTTTGTCAAATCCCAGCAACCGTTATAAGTGACAGTGATGGGAATCAGTCATTGCCATGCTCATCATAAGAGAAGATCTACGTAAGCCATTCTACATCTTGCAGAATTCTCCATGGACCTCAGTGTTGTACTCTCATGTATATTCGATAGTACAGAACTGACGCAGACCCCGGCACATAAACCTTTGTCAAATCTCTGCAGCCGTCATAGATGACGGCTGTGGGAATCATACATTATTAATGTCCTGAGACTGGTTAGCCTTTTGGCATACTGCCAATTAAGGGGGCAATATAATATTGTGTTTTTGTACAGTTCTAGAATTAATTTAGTTTATTTAATACCAAACAATATTTTGGTAAAGACTAATTTTGACTAATTTTGCCTTATACAATATGATTCAATGAACAAAAATCAGCAATCTGCTTCATTTTATGGAATGTATAAAATATGCTTTCTAACTAAATTTAGAGGCAAGGAATCACATTTTGTTAATACGGAGGCTGATCTTGACTACAAATATATTAGAGCTACATTTGGTATCACTGAAAAAGTGGGTAGATATCTTTATAATTAATATGTAGTAAACTAGTAATTACTCAACCTCATCTATTAACCCAACATTTCACCTTTATGATTTTTCATTTCATGACTTTTCATTTAAAAGGAACACTAGAATGTACTAAATAAACATTTATTTAGAACAGTAGAATGTTTCTCTCTTGTATGTGGCATTCAACTTGTCCTGCCTCATAAAGAAGCATTGAATCAGCTTTCAGTGCTAAGACATGCTAAATGCTCATACTAAGCATTCAAAGCATGAGAAGGCCTTTATAAAAGCCTTTCCCATATTTGCAACTCAATATGCACAGACTATGCACAAACATTCATACAGTTTTTTTTTATTTTTGCTCTGGAGTTTTATCTGTTTTGTTGCAAATGGTGAGTTTTTTTTTTTTTGTTTTTTTTTTACGAAAGGGACATGCATCACACTAGGACAAAGGTTTCGTTCAAAAGCTTTAGCTTTAAATGAGACCATTGTCTCACTCTGCAGGCTGCAAAAAAGCAAGTAAATGTGATTATTTTCATGTTTACTTGTTTCTTATGCATTCCACAACCACCCCAGGGGTGACACTCATTAACCAATCAGTATCCTATCCCTAAGAATGTTGCAAAGGTGCATTGGGCAAGCCTAACAGATTAACATATGTGTGGTTGGAAAATCTCTTTACCTTTTAACATTCTGGGGAAGAGGAGAGGGAGTCTGATCATTGTGATTATGCAGAGTAGTCTCTGGTGTTGGGTTTGTCCCATCTGCTGCTGCACAAGTAAACTGGTCTGAAACTGAAGTGGGCAGGTGAGAGGGATATAAAAAATAATTGTCATGTGATGCATGCCCTTTAAAATGTGTCAATTTGTGATGTATTATGTTTTGCCAATTATATTTGTCGAAGACTGAAGATAAGTATGTTTTCAATTTATACATCGACAGGCAAATATAAAATAGTTTTTTTACAAATGTATTTAACCTGGCCTAGAGAGAATTTATGCTTGTCTAGCTGAAGTGTTAATGCTGTTAAAATGGCTTGTCTGATGCCCTTTTTTGTTAGTGAATCCTAAATAGTGTTGTGGTTTTTATGGTTTACTATGGAGGTGTTAAAGCAAAGTTCCGCCAGTTAGTGAGCAAGCGTTCTGGCGTAACGTTGCTGTGCAAGCATAAAAAAGCTTGTTGGACTCTAATAAATTGAGCTGAGAGTGTGGTGTTGCAATTTTTAGATAACAGAATTTTTTTAATATCTTTGGGTGTAGTGTGAACCTCTATTCATTCCTATTATCTTTAACAGGTCTAATAAAAGTAAATTATTTAGTCAAAATAAATGGTTATTGATAAAGTGAAATTGATTATTACGTCTAGATAACATTAATTGAATAAATGTTGATTTATCAAATACAACTAAACAGATCACTCTGTATTATAACAATATATTACAGTGAAACTAAACTTCAACTTACCGCAATCCATGTTATCTAATGAAAGAGAGAGAAAAACATTGGTAAGAGAATTATATTTTTCTGAAGTATCTGTAATTAAAATAAACAGCAGATAGCAGAAGTTATTATGCTACTGAATTATCCTAGAACTCAAACTCATTCAATAAACCCTGTAACGTTCTGCTGTGGTATGTTCACACGGTATGTATTCCGCTACATCCCCTGGGTGCTTCAATATATGTATAGGCATATATTTAAAATCGCTATTAGATATTTGTTTTATTAACAAAGGGAGACAAAACACACCTTTTAAGGGCTGTACGGTAATCTGGGGTAATCTCTTTATCACATGAACAATGTATATAGTAATCGTTGGTGTAACGGACCGTTTCAGCACACAAGGGGTTTAGGCGATCGTCCCCTTTCAGAGATGCAGGCACAGCTACTGTATAACACCCAAACACATGAACCACATGTAAGGGAATGCTCCAAACTCCCGAACGGCATACACTGTAACACTCCAAACTCACAAACTGGAACCATACGAATCGCTGCTAGCAGACGAATAGGAAAAGCACCCAAGCGGCTTACACTCCTGGCAATCAGTCTCTATCAGCATAAAGTAAATCCCCCCAAAGACGAGACAAGGCTCCATGTTGAGGGTCAAGCAGTGGTCTGTTTAATGAGGGCTACCTGCCCAGTATTTATGCAGGTCTCCCACCTGGTGGACACTCCCCTAGGGGACCAAATGGGAGGCTGTGACAAGGGACAGACAAGTAGCCAAATAGGACACACAGTCACATTGTATTCCCACAATGCATCCTGGCCATCCTGGCTTCCTCCCCTCTACCCTGGAGATAATTGAGAAGTAATTCAATTATCTGCCAGGACAAAGGCAAATCGCCATTATGCACGTGGGGATACTAAAACAAGAATTACTATTAAAATACACTATGTGAGACACATTACAATAAAACTATACATTTAACATCTTTAACAACTTTATACAAATATATTCGGGGCCAGTACAAACCTTTATCTGGAAATCTATTCATAAACAGGGTTATACATAGGACACGAGGTCACACATTTAGGCTGGAAGAAAGGAGATTTCATCTAAGGCAAAGAAAAGGGTTTTTTACAGTAAGAACAATAAGGATATGGAATTCTCTGCCTGAAGAGGTGGTTTTGTCAGAGTCCATACAGATGTTTAAACTGAAATTGGATAAATACTTACAAAAACATAACATACAGGGATATAATTTCTAATTAGTGGGGTAATAGCTGCTTGATCCAAGGAGACATCTGACTGCTATTTTGGGGTCAAGAAGGATTTTTTTCCTAGTTTGTGGCAAACTTGGAAGTGCTTCAGACCAGGTTTTTTGCCTTCTTTTGGATCAACAGCAAAAACATTTGTGAGGAAGGCTGAACTTGATGGACACAAGTCTATTTTCAGCTATGTAACTATGTAACTATATAACATGTCCCCAGATAGCTCAGGTCTGAGCGCACATTTTTAAGTGCATGGTGCTCAGACCACACAAATACAGTTCAATCGCCATGGAGCCAAAGTCTTTACAAAGTTAGTTCTCATGCGAATGAGCTCCATGGGATTCCTATCTGGGGTATAATACAGTCAAGTAAAACTACCGAACACTGGGCTATTCATACACTCCTGCCGAACAAGAAGGGAGGTCGGCAGCTTCAGTGGTGTTCGTGCCAAACTGTGTCCATTTTTAGTTCCATGAGTTAGGCGTCGAACACCGCTGTGCATTCGCGTGTTTAAAATGGCCGCGACCTCGTGTTCGTGATACGAATGGCGGCCACCCAGTATTCGTCAATTAAGCTGCGGTTAACCGCAGCTTCTGGGAGGCTAATTGCCGGCACACTCCAGCTCCCAGGTGGTCTAGTCATTCGTGCGGTTGTTCGGTAGATTGAAAAGCATGAATACGTTTTTTCTGCAGAGAAAAAGGGGTCTTGTAACATGGGGCCATAATCCAAAGGTAACAGGCGAGCAACCAGGCTTCTCCAATGCAATGTGGCAAGGTTGCTCTCGTCACAGTTGGTCTCAATCCAGGAGAGTTAAGGCTTCAATATGTGATTGGAAGACATGAGGGGTACCATGGAAGACCGCAGGATTTTTCCAGGGCAAAATATGCTTCCCCCCTTTTTCCCTCTCCAATCCCAATTACTCCTCCCTATTGCCTAGCTTTGTTGGCTCAAGAGAAGGGTTTCCTGGCTGGAGGTAAATTTTAGTTTTCCTTTAATAAGAAATATTTTATATGACTGTGGTAGAGGTAGCTAAAATATAGGTATGTACCTGTTCAACATCAACATGAGAACATTAATTTACAATAGCTCCACCCTTGTGGACGCCTGTGAGGGGTACATTGACGCTGACTTTCAAGAAGGTGCTTAGTGATATACACTGAACATAATTAAAAAACGCAATATTTTTGTTTTTGCCCCCATTTTCCATGAGCTGAACTCAAAGATCTACCGGTAAGACTTTTTCAACGTACACAAAAGGCCTATTTCTCTAAAATATTGTTCACAAATCTGTCTAAATCTGTGTTAGTGAGCACGTCTCCTTTGCCGAGATAATCCATCCACTTCACACGTGTGGCATATCAAGATGCTGATTAGACAGCATGATTATTGCAAAGGTGTGCCTTAGGCTGGCCACACTAAAAGACCACTCTAAAATGTGCAGTTTTTTTTTTCACACAGCATAATGCCACAGATGTCGCAAGTTTTGAGGGAGTGTGCAATTGGCAATTGGTATGCTGACTGCAGAAATATCCACCAGAGCTGTTGTCCGAGAATGTTCATTTCTCTACCATAAACCGTCTGCAAAGGCGTTTCAGAGAATTTGGCAGTACATCCAACCGGCCTCACAACTGCAGACCACGTGTAACCACACCAGCCCAGGACCTCCACATCCAGCATCTTCACTTCCAAGATCGTCTGAGACCAGCCACCAGGACATCTGCTGCAACAATCGGTTTGCTGTCTCAGAGAAGCTCATCTGCATACTCGTCGTCCTTATCGGTGTCTCGACCTGACTGCAGTTCGTCATCATAATCGATTTGAGTGGGCAAATGCTCACATTTGATGGCATTTTTGAGAGGTGTTCTCTTCACGGATTAATCCCAGTTTTTACTGTACAGGGCAGATGGCAGACAGCTTGTATGGCGTTGTGTGGGTGAGCGGTTTGCTGATGCTCTGGATCAGCGTATACGGCAGCGTGTTCCAGGTCCTGCCAACATCCAGCAACTTCGCACAGCCTTTGAAGAGGAATGGACCAACATTCCACAGGCCACAATCAACCTGATCAACTCTATGCGAAGGAGATGTGTTGCACTGCATGAGGCAAATGGTGGTCACACCAGATACTGACTGGTTTTCGGCCCCCTTGGTCTCCCACGGATCCCCCCAATACAGTAAAACTGTGCATTTTAGAGTGGCCTTTTATTGTGGCCAGCCTAACGCACACCTTTGCAATAATCATGCTGTCTAATCAGCATCTTGATATGCCACACCTGTGAGGTGGATGGATTGTCTGGGCAAAGGAGAAATGCTCACTAACACAGATTTAGACAGATTTGTGAACAATATTTGAGAGAAATAGGCCTTTAGTGTACATAAAAAAGTCTTAGATCTTTTAGTTCAGCTCATGAAAAATGGGGGCAAAAGCAAAAGTGTTGCGTTTATAATTTTAGTTCAGTGTATAACTCAGCAGTCATTAAGGGGTTGTTGCGGACCGCCTGGCACCCCGACTGGGTACCTCCGCCAATCATGATTCCTAGTAATTACTGAGTACCATAAGTATTGCACCGGACACCAGAAGCACTGTAGCCCCTTATCCAGCTCCCAGTGGGTAGACCTCTCCTCCAGAGTGTATAGCAATCAATAGAGCATTATAGCTGCCCCCCACATGAGCTGAGGCTTAATTCTGGGAAGTCATCTGTTTTATTCAGGGCGACACACAGCCTTTTATGCACAAGCCCATGCAAGGGGTTTCTTACAGAAAATCACAGGGTAATCCCTACCCTGTGCCTGAGAGATAATTGAGTCAGGAACTGTACAAACTCAATTATCTCCAGGTACAGAAAACACACAATTTACAAACACCCCAAAATCCATGGAAGCCCCACAAAAGTCACATCCCCAGATAGCTTCGAACTGGGTGACCAACATACCAAAAAAAATCACCCAGATCCGTTCAGGGGTTCAGGTTTTCCATGGAAGTCACTTTTTTGACTCAATCTTGGTAGCATAAAAACGAAAGAACTCACCAAGATGAACGATTCCACCAAACAGTGCTCTTCTAGGATATACAGAACCAAACGCAGGCGATGATGGAAGTCCAGCAGTGTTCGGGAGTTTCAGTGTCCAATTTTAGTTCCATGAACTCGACGACCAAACACCGCTGCCTGCATTCATACAAACAAGATGGCCGCCACCTTCTGGTCATTCATACGAACTTTGGCCACCCAGACAAACAATTAGAACACTGAGGTGTGAATCGTTACCAGGTGTCAATAGCGCTTAACAAGCACACGGGTGGTGCATTGTTTGTGCGTCTGTTCGGATCCCGAAACAGTACAGGGAAATTGCACAAACAAAGTCTTTTACCATGTATTTTGCATGGCCCATAGTATTTGGGCAGGAGGCTAGCCAGCAGGCCCCTCCATGAACAAGTGGCAGAGGCATCTCTACCACAGGGTTAATGCAGTGTTATTTCTTAAAAGATGTGGTTGCCAAAGTCTTATCTGGATTTTAGAGTTTGTGGGTGCAATACACTCTGTAAACGGTAACCCAAGGATAAAAGGGGTTAAAACCGTATAAGATGCTCCTTTCCCAAATACGAAGGCAACTACCGATCACTCCAATCGGCCAAACAGGAACCATACAAATTGTATACCCTCCAAACATCCAAACGAGAATCACCATACGAATAAATCCCCCCAAGTACGAGACAAAGCTCCGTATTGAGGATCAGCAGGAATCTGGTTTATTATGGGCTACCTGCCCGGTATATGCAGGTTTTCAGCGGTGTTCGTGAGAAACAGTGTCCATTTTTAGTTCCTTGAAATCATCGACGAACACCGCTGAGCATCGTATGTCAAAGATGGGCGCCGCCTCGTGGTCAAACGAACGACGACCACCCAGTCGGCATTCGACAATTAGGAAGTGTCTGCGGTTAACCACAATGTTCTAATGGGGCCAAGAGGTTAACAAGCAACACACTTCCATGCTGGGTGGCCGGCCGTTCGGTGAATTGTTCGGTAAAACAGAAACAAGCGTGGGGACCGTACGGACTGGGAAATAGCTGAACAAACAGACGAATGAGGGAACAATAAAAGTATTTCACAGGCAGTTGGTTCTGTCACACACTCTTAAAAAAAAAAGTTTTTTTTATGAAACTATCTAAATAAGTAAATAATATTAAAGAAACTTACCCCTTTTGTTTGGACAGAGCCCTGTAGATAAATATAACATTATTAGTTAAAAACAGTAAAGAGATGTAGCACATAGAGGGATATCAGTAGTAAATACCAAATAGTGAATAGTGAATAATTAATTTGTAAATCTAAGTGTCAAATCTAGGTCAAAATAACGATTCTCCAAATAAGTCATAATCATAACATGTTGGTTTTCAGTTCACTAGCAAGTGTTATTTAGTGAATGCACCCCAAATTGTATCAATGCATGCAATTCAGCATAATTCATTTAGATCTAGTTTGTTTTTTTTGACAGTGATGTGTGGAACATCATCACAAGCTGCATGGTCCATACTTAGTACATCTAGTACATCTAAATATATCTAAAGTGATTTATGCAGGAATTCCAATTGAAGGAAGAACTGAGATTAGCAGGTTATGTAGAATTTTGAAGATGTCAGGACAAAGAGTGTACATAATTAAAATATCCCTTCTGCAGGAAGAGATCTGAACTAGTTTATTATCATCACAACAGCTATTTCTCCATGTTGCACATTACCAAATAAATCAGGTATTACCGTACCACACCTTCCTCTAGTCTACCTCTGGAAAGAAGCTATAGCTGTCAGTTTATTCTCACTCAGCATTTCTTTCCATTTCTCATCCAATAATCCTTTATCCTAAAAATGTCCATCAGTAGGGATAGGAGAAGACTTTTACATATTCACCAAATACACAGACTATACACTGTTCAGCAACAACATTAAAATCACCTGCCTAATATTGTCGAGGGTTCCCCTTGTGCTGCCAAAACAGCTCTGATGCATCGAGGCATGGACTTCACAAGACCTCTAACGGTTCACCTATACAAAAGGCTTTCACCTATACAGAAGGCTACACTTTGAAAAAGCCTTCTGCATAGGTGAAACGCGTTAGTGTGTTACTTTTTATTTGTTTAATAAAATTAATCTACTTTGTACCCCCGGACATCTTTTTATTGGAGAAGCTGTATCTCACGTTCCTGTGAAGGACTGGGTAATCCCTATTTGCTCATCCATTGTGAGTATATTTCTCTCTTTATTTTATTTGTTTTATTAATACAGAGAACACTATTCCTGTTCTTTTATATTCCTTATATATCACTGGAGCATCATCTGGAATACACCACGTGGATTATTGGCACAGGGATACAATACTAGAGGAAATCAGGACCATACTAACATCCACAGACGGGGATTGTACCGTCCATACGCTGTGATCTGGAGCTGATCTTGAGCTCCAGAAAAGTGTTAGTACAATATATTTTTTCTTATATTCTGCCTCTGCTGTTATAGACATACTACACTATATTAGTATTCCTGTCCCATTTTGTTTTCTCCCTTATATTGGCTCCATTGGACCCCACACAAGGAATTCAATTGTTAAGCGCTGCTTCCTTACATTCCACGTTTTACTTGCATCAACGACCAGAAAGAAGAGACTCTGGTTTTGGAAAGTTTTAGCTGCTACACACATAAGGAACAAACGCCAGAAATCTCACTTGCTGATATAGCTTCACTCTCCATGTGCTCAAATTGCTGAAAAAGTAATGCTAGCCATGATAGAAAGGTATCAAAATACACAGTGTATCACAGTTTGCTGCATATATATGGAGCTGTTTAGCCTCAGACCGGTCAGAGTGTTTCAATGGGAATGTGAGCGTCAGAGCTGGACCATGGACCAATGGTAGAAGGTTGCTAGGTCTGATGAATCACATTTTCTTTTAAATCAGATGGATATCCAGGTGCACGTGCATAGGAAGAGAATGCAGAAGGATGCTGTGGCAAACCTAGCTGGACCATGGACCAATGGTAGAAGGTTGCTAGGTCTGATGAATCACATTTTCTTTTAAATCAGATGGATATCCAGGTGCACGTGCGTAGGAAGAGAATGCAGAAGGATGCTGTGGCAAACCTAGCAACTTAAGACTGTATTTCCCACTTAAGACTGTATTTACATGTATGTGATATTGTGGCTTTAAGACTACCTGAACTGTCCATGTTCCCTATTCTGTATTTTATGTGAACGAGCGCATTCATATGCTGGCAACACGAAAGCCACCAGCATTCATACAGTAGTTCACAAACAGTGAATTTCAACACTGTTCGTGAAACGAACAAACTACCGAATGGGAGACCACACACAGGAGGTCATGTGGCTCCCATTACGGATCGCAACAAAGTATCTGTCGGCAGTTAATAGATGTTCAGGGTTGCCACTGTTCGGATACCGACCACGCGGCAGCGGGCATCTTGGATCCTTTGTTAGCCCAGCGGTGTTTGGTCGTCGAGTGCCTTGAACTAAAATCGGGTACTCGACAGCACGAATACCGTTGGACTTCCAGGCCGTTCGGGAGCACCGGTCTTTTGGTATTTTATCTCTGCATGCGTATTCGGGACTTTTGTGAAGAATTTGTGTTCAAGTGTATTTTGTGCGGCGTTCGGCTAATTGTGCTGGGATCTGAGCAGTACTTTCACGAAGTATGCGCTCAGACCCCAGCTATCTGCCGAACGGTTATTTGGTACAATAGCACGAATAATATTAGAGTTATAGATTTTTATGTAAAAAGCCAGTTCTGCTGTACGGAGGGATAATCCACTTAATGGGATATTCTAGTGGGAGTATCCCTCTCGTACAGCAGTGCATGGTGGGAGAAATGTTCTGATTATTAAGTTCCCCATGTAGTCCCCTACTGTACAACCCCTGTAAAGTCAGTAAGGAAACCCCTTGCACGTGGAACCACATAAATACTGGAGCTTGTGAATAAAACCTCAGGTGACT